GACAATTGCGCGATGTGATAGGGTGTGCGCCTGTACGCGCATTTTCTGTACAACGTACGTACAAATCCACCATGGCGATCCGTGAACAATAACTCTTCCTCCACTCTCGGCATTTAATGGCCGGCCATCTATTTATCGTGGAGGAAGAGGAAGCGGCTGATGGGTAGATAGGTCGAGCGTTTTGTAACTAATTTCGCGAGTAAATTGTCCGTAACATTGGTTTGGTGCACTCGGACTAAACTAACGATAGCTAACCGGGGGCTGGAACTGTGTCGGCGTGCCAACGCGTGAATCCTGTATTGTACTCCAATCAGGATTTCGAGCCGCGAACACGCATAATTTCAGTGCACATATAGATTTCGATAACGATAGATACGAGAAATGATCTCTGTAACACGAGTGAGAAATAAAGTCGAAGTTCCATGTGTGCATTATATCAAAATAATTCAAAGATGAGGCCTGATATTTGACGCAAAATAAACGACAATTGATATTATTCAACTTTAATGACGGACGCTCGTGATGTTTATATTACGATTAATCGTTTTATTTATATGAATAAACCAAATATCTCGGAAATTGATGAAATTTTGTTAATGATAACAATATAATCTATCATTTCCGTGCTTCAATCTTTGCAAAACGGCATCTGACCGATAACGATGAAGGAATGGCAATTTCTACAACCACGATTGCTGTTACTATTACACGAAAGAACGCTGTGAGCTACTTGATGATTATCGGAGAAAACGAAGTAATGTAAAAGGGAAAATTGCAACTGCTGCATACTTATGGAAATGTACAATGTGCTCGAGCGTAAATAATAGAGACACGGTAGCAAGTAACGATATTTGCGGGCGTTTAATGCACACGATGTTCTGCGCACGTTCCGCATATTTCTACATTCGTTTCCAATTTAGAATAATCTGTCGTAAACGTTACAGAAAACTTCTTCACGCCAGCTTCGATAATATTATGTGATTATATTACGAGAAAGAGAGGAGAAAGAAGGAAAGAGATGTGCGTGAAGAGAGCGAAAAATTCCTTTTCCACCGATTCTTTGTCCAGCCAGATTCAAGATAATATTGGTATTAATATTTTACTTACCGAAATGAAATAATTTTTAGATACAATAATTCGTGTATATTCAAAGAAATTATGAAATACTCTTAAAATATTATCTTCTTACATAATAATTCTTTGCATTATATAAGAATTATATTATAATAAACATAATTAATTCACACATCTGATCCCCTTTCAAAAAGTTAACAGCGTTACATACTTTTGGAAATAACAATAATAAAAAATGATGAAAAGAATGTAGCGGAAAGAAAAAAGTTTGCTCTTTTTGCGCAAATCCCATTGTTGAAGCGTATGATCCGACCGCAATCGACCCCAAGTGAGTGCACAAGTATAGAACCTAAGTAACTGCACGCCCACATCGTTCGCGATTCGACGTGAGTCACTGGCTAGAGGCTGGATAATATGACGACGGGTCGAAGAGTTCGTCGGAATCATAGCAAACGTCGGGGAAGGACCAATTATATCGGTACATCCTAACTCTTTATACTCACGTCCATCTGAACGTCGCACTGTCCTACATCCCTACCGGTGCGTGATAAAGAAAATTTTTTTACCGAAGTACAAAAACAGTTTGTAAAAAAGAAAAATTGGCAACATATAATAATGTGCACTGAAAACAGAAAATTAGGAATATAATACGAGCGAGTCGTGCGAGTAATACTTATCATAAAAAAATACCTACATCCGGAAATGTATCTTTGTAGTAATATGTGCGAGAAGATTGTAATAAAGTTATATACCTACGTGAGTCACAACGTCTCATTACAAGATAAAGAATTTGCCGCCAGTCGGCAGAAATAAGCGAAGCGACACGAACGATATTAGCGTCGTATTTTCGGTTAGGTCATCATCTCCGCTCGATGTTAATCGCGCTTCTCTCTCTCTACCTTTCCTCCCCGCCGACCCCTGTTTGTATTTGTACAGCGACTGAAATAATCGGCGGCGGAACGGTAATCGTACGCAGTTTTGAAACGAAGGGCGGTGAACCGTGGAAATGGTTCGTCCGGTGGTGGTTGGGATGTCCTTTCTGGCTCGAGCAGCACAATAATCGTGGATTTCCGTCCGCTTATTATCTTACACGCGTCACAATGCGTTTAGATTGCGTCGGGGGTATCGGCTAATTACCGGTCGCGATTTAGTCGAGCGTCCCCGCCTGCCGGCGATGGCGTGAGACCGAGATATATGTATATCAAGTTAAATCTTTCATATTAAAGAAAATTATAAATGGAAAAAAATGTAAGAAGGCAAAAATACATTAATATACGATATTGATAGCAAACGAAAATGTCTGTGATACCTACTAAATTCAAAGAATAATATTTACAATATACGCACTGAATAATAATTGCAACCGCAAAATATGCAAAATTGAAAATTAATTCTGATTTATACCGAGATTCTTCAAATGTAGCTTGATTAACTATTATATTAATTATTTAATCACATATTATATATTAATGTATTAGTCATTTAAAAATATATCTTAATATTTAATATTCTTTTTTTTAAATCAATCTTTTTAATTGTATTCGCATGATTTGAAAAATGTTGATGTTCTTCTGTAAATAAAAAAATTTCACTGTATAGCTTCTCCTTATTCGCGATTGTTGCAACGTTCAGTCGTTTCTCTCTATATTCTCTCTTTAAGATTCAAACAAACACTATGTCGATATTTGACGACGAATCGTGATTTTGCACGTCAAAACGCGGTATCCAGGAGTCGATAACGGTATCAAAAAACCGGTTTCCGGTTGAAGGCAGCAATAGGTGTTCGTTGTGCAAAATTCGTAGACCGGCTTTTCGTCACGGCCGAGAATCCGAATCGTCGCGCGCGCGCCTTTTCTCTTTTGATACCATCGCGAGCAGAAAACTTTCCATATTTGATCGATTGTTTTCGATTTCAGTAATCAATTTATCATAACTGATAAAAATCGTATCACAAAATTATTTATATATTTAAAAAGTCTGGAAAGGCACATGCATAATACATATATCTCAATCATATATCCTTAGCATTTTAACGAAAAGCGCGGCAGTATCAAATTTATTCTCGCGATATTAGTTTTTATAAAATACGTCGATTTCTAATATAGATAGAAATCGAGGTATTTTATAAAAACTAATATCGCGAGAATAAATGTGACACTGCCGTGCTTTTCGTTAAAATGCTAAGAATATACATATAGCGCTTTCCAAAACTACAGAGTGTCTTTTTTCTTATATTCGCAAATTATTAAGTAACGGAGAAATGCAATAAAGAAAGACGTTTTCCTACGATTTCGTTGAGGAGAAATTGCTTTCGAATTAGCCAAAAAAGCTGCGGTAAGAACGGCTTGTCGATGGTTCTGGAACACCCCGTGTATAAGGCCAACAGATTCATTAACGAAATAGCGGCCTTTACGAAAATCCTGAAGTCTTAACGACAAGCGAAACGGCCTTCGTAATGTGAAAAGTACACGCTCTCGTTCGTGGCGTGAGAGATCGCACGGACGTAGGCACGCACGCACGCACGCACTCACTCACACGTGTGCCACATAGATAACTTCCTTCGTAAGGTAGAAAAGAGGCGTACGACGCGTGTGCCAGACGGACGGCACGGTATCAAAGGATATTTACCCTGTCAACAGCGTGGCTTTACGTGGCGGAGACGCCGCCACGTCTATAAGGGGAGAACATATAGTACTCACTCGTACCGAGATAATAGTAATGGGTATTATTACTCCGCTCTATTATTTTATGATCTAGCGCTTCCCGGGAATTGATACATTATCGTGGAATTGCGCCGAGCCAAGTCGAGCCGCGCCGAGCCAAGTCGAGCCGCGCCGCGCCGCGGCCGCGTCGAGCCGAGCCGAAACCGCGTGCGCGCGCGCGCGATTGACGAATGATTAAGAACGTAAATAACCATCATTTTTTCCAAGATCCACTATCTACCTCTCGATATATCGCCAATGTAAATCACATCGACGCGCTAATGGGAAATCGATATCGACCAGGAATAAAAGCAAATTGCATTAATCATGGTACTTGAATCAATTTCCAAATGTAATGAGCAGAGTTAAGTACCGATTCCGAACGGATTAGTCCCACCGAGTATATTTTTTTTTTTTCGTCGCCATAGCTAATAATCAATATATCCGGCGAAAAATTGACAGCTATAACATTACCACTAGTTGAAAACCTACAATTTCGCGCGCCATTTAGACAAATTCTTAAAAAAACTAGCGTAGCCAACTAAGTAACACGTGCGCATAGATATTTAGATTAAAAGAAGGTAACAATTGAACGATTCTTCTCAAAAGTCAATTACTAAGCGAGTCTCAATAGTATTACTGTTTAATTGAGCCAACATTTGCGTCATGGATGTCGCATACCAAATTAAGTTACGCTTAATCGACGAGATTTGTCTTCTGCCGGGAATACGAAATTCATCACATAAATAGATTCTATTGTAATCTCTCTAAATTAAACTATCATGGATCATTCAATTTTTTTGTTCGAGACTCACAATCAGATCTTTCTTCCTATGCATTATTCAATTCCGAAATCCACGAAAAAAAATTAATTTTCATTTGTTTACTCATAAAAACTGTACAAAAAACTTTGAGTTATTCGTTTCATTTTTTTTACTCGATTCCACATGATGTAACCACAACTTTGAAATTTATTTCATACCACGAACTTAATCAAATATGTACATGCATTATCGAATTAAAATGAAAGTAACATTATTAACATGTGTTCTCGTTCACATGATATGACAATTTTGCATCTGAATATCGATTCGACATAAGCATCCGTCAAATGAACATATCTTTCAGAGTCGTGTTTATTTGTATACGATCGCGCAGAGTTGTTGGCAACATACAAGAGAAGAACAAACATTTCCGATTCCACAATTTCAAGACTGCCCTTACCTGCATCTGCAGCCACGAGTAGTCGATGTACGCGGTGGTGGTGGCGGTGACGGCCCCGGTGATCCCGGTGGACGTCGTCGACGAGATCTGCTGCCAGCTGTCCTGCGCGTTGCATCCGAGCACCGTCGCGAGGGGTCCGTCGGGTTGGGCCCGATCGGGCACTATCTGATCGGCGGCGTACTGGGCGGCGTAGGACGGCTGGATCGTCGGCGGCTGGACGCCGACGGCGGCGGACGGTAGACCGGGCAGAGACGCCGGATGAGGGTGCTGCGTGACCCCCGTGGTGGCCGCGGCACCGGCGGGCAGACAGCACACGCTCGCGTCCATCCGTGGCGGCGGAGAGTCGTAAAAGCGTAGCTGCTCCGGCTCCGGCTCCCGTGTCGTCGTCCCGCCGAGGGTTAATCCTCGGGGCACCATCCAACCCGCGGACCGTCGCCGCTCGCGCCGTGATACCCACCGGCCGACGGCTGAGAGAGGATCGGAACCTTCCTCCAAAGAATTTAGATCCTTCGTCTCTTCAGGTAGATCGAGGAGGTAGAAGACGACGGCGCGGTACTACCATCTTCCGCGGAGGCGCAGGAGCGAAGAATCGAATCCGGCCGTGGATGGTTCGTTAATTTTCGCAGCACCGTCCAATCTGCGATCGTCGCTCGTCCTCCCTTATTTCCGCCAACGCCTCGTCCCTGGTCCTCGGAGCAATCCGTCGACGGGTAGATTCTCTCGATCAGATTCTTGCTCTCAGATTCGGGATCCGCCCTTTCTTCGGGAAGTAGACCGTGGTGAAAGACGGAGCATCGTTTTCTCGCAATATCACTTGGAGTCGCGATATCCGACGATATTTGTCGACAGCGAGATCACGACAGACACGTACATCGGAATCGCGTTGACGTCCCGCGCGTCGAATCCAATGAATTCCGTGCGCGAAACACTATTCCGCACCAGGTTGCCGAGTACTCGTCAAATGTCATTGCGAGCATCGCGTCCTGCGAAAAAATAGAAGCGTTTCACTGTCAGTCCAAGAGATTATTTTTCGTCGACAAGAAGAGCAGTCCGATCGGCGACGTCGTCGTTGCCGTCGTCGCCGACGCCGCCGGCGCGTCGCTGTCGCGGGGAACACTAACGCGAGCAGGGAAAAGCGTTCGACTCCGATTTCAAAATTAAAACACGAGTCACTGGCGATACTCTTCGAGTTCTCGCGTCGACACGTTTCCCAAACCGAGACATCCGGATAAAGTTCGAAACTAGTTCGGTCACTCGTCGGTACACTGCGGACGCTCTCACACGGAAGATCGATAATTAAATTCTTCCATTAGAGAAACGTTTCTCCAAGAGATCGGCATCGTCGATCGCTCGCTGGGACGCTTCTTTGCTCAATGATTTTCTTCTATCTCTCTTATACGAAACGGCCACTTCTCGACAAGACACTTTCGTCGTCAGCTTTCAGCCGGCACTCGCGACAAGATCGTTCGATCGTTTTTCAGAGTAATTTTTACGCGACGCAAGATACGAGGCGAGATGCGAAGGGAAAACGCTCCAGCAGGATTCGGGAAGGATAAAACGCGCGCGCGCGCGCGCCCGTTCGCGAACGATCGAGTACGCCGGATCGTGGTCGACCGCCACAAGATCCGCGAAATGACGTTTCTCGACGGTGACAGCGCGCACTCCCGTTAACGCGTTGACGCGCGCGCGTGCTCGCCGCGGAGGACCACGAGGACGAGGGCGGAGTGAGAGAGAGAGAGTGAGAGAGAAAGGGTGGGAGAGAGAAAGAGAGACAGAGGACTTACGAGAAGGCGAGGGTGATGGGTATCGGTGGTGGTGGTGGTGGTAGTGGTATCGATGGTGGTGGCGGCGGCGGTGGCGGTGGCGGTGGTGGTGGTGGAAACGATGATGATACGGAGGCGAGGGTGACGGATGAAACTGGCGCGCACAACTCTTTAACTGCGCTCGCGTATCGTCCGCGTTGCGCACGCGCATGCGTGGATGCGTGTCGTCAAGGCAACGGTTCCAGAGTAACTGCTTAGCGAACGCAGCCCTCCGCGGCGAGTGTGTGTTCGCTTCTCTCTTTCGCGCGCTCGCGTGCTCTGTCTCTCTCTCTCTCTCTCTCCCTTCTACTCTCTCGCTCATTCCCGATCTCGCGCGCCTGGCTCACGCCCCGGGCGCGACCGATTCGAGCGGTCTAGGCGGCCATCGAGCGCACGCCCCCGTCCTGACACCGCGAGTGCCTCTCACTCCCTCTCTCTCGGTCTCTCTTCCTTAAGCGCGCCGGGTCGCTCGTCTTATCCCCTCTCGCTCGCTCGCTCCCTCCCCCCCCTCTCTTTCTCTCTCTCTGTTTTTCTCCGTCGCGTCGAGTATTCATCCGCGTATATACACACACTTTCCCCCTCCCGCATAATGTGTCCTACCCTACTCACTCACCTTCGGTCTCCTACGATTCCGCCGTCTCGTTCGAACCCTCGTCCCCGCGAATCGTCCCATCCTTCTCTCCCGCCGCACGAACAACACAACAGAACGCGAAGCGGGCGAACGCCGCCCGCGCGCGTCTCGACGGCGCGATTATCGACGTGAGCTATCGAGGAGAGCTCCTACCTCCGCCGACTTTGGCACACTTACTCTCTGCAACGTTCCCCCTGTCCTCCTGCTTTCTCCCCGCGCCTCTCTTCTCGCCGCGCTTTCGCGGCCCCGCCGTCTCGCGCGTCGCGATTACTTTCTTCCATCGCGTCGGGCGAATCATCCCTCGAGCACCACCGTTTCTTTCACCCGAACCCTCTTAATGCCGTATTAACGCGAGATCACGCGTATGCGGCGAATTTCGAATTGGACGAACAAACACGCGCGCCGCGATCATGTGGCTCTGACGTCACACGCGCGCGGACTCGCTCTGCTCGCGCGAAATAACGACCGGTTTGAAAATGGCGTAATAATTAATTTTGAAACAATGCAACATGATGTAACTGGCCGTCACAAACGCCTTGACACGTAAAGTTGCACTAGTTTCATGCATATACTTGAAGCGTCACGCACCGTACTTGGGTATCACGATATGTCAAAGCATTCAAAATTGTATCTTTATTTTGACTTAATATCGCGCATAACTGCTGTTTATCGTAATTTCACGTATTTCATGCGTAATACGATACGATTGCCGATATTAAATCGTTAGGCGGAGCTCCGAGTCACACGACTGGTGCACGATTTTGTGTTTTGAGCCAATTGTTATGCCGTTATAAAGTAGTACGTACAACAAGTTCGATCACGCACCTAACTTTCTCCCAACAAAATCGGAAGTATGTATATTGGAAATTTTCGCACGGGCAAATTATTCGCGCACTATTTTCAACACGAAATGAAAGGATTCATGTACGAAATTCGAAACGCATTCGAAGAAAGTTAAAAAGATGTATGCGATATATTCCGACGTATATTTTTATTGCAACTGGCAAGATCCTCGCGTTCGTTTCTCTTTTTTTTTCGTGCGTTTTCTTATATACTTAGGACGCGCGCTTATCTTTCTGTGACGACTGCATTGTGGCAATAATGCACCAACAGACGAAGCGATTGTTAAATCCAAAAATTGATCTTGCGATAAATCTGTATATTTACAATAACGGTGGAAAACGAATTGCCGAGGGTTCGGATTAGCGAATTGAAGTTAACGCGCGTCAATCGTTCCGCGAGTCGCGGCCGGCTCGATTAGTCTGGAGGTCCAGAATGCGACGACGCTTCTCTTTCTCGTGATATATCCGCGCGCGCGTCCATAATGCGATCGCATAATACACGGAGAAGCGGACGCATGCATCTCCGCTCTCCTTCTCTCTCTTTCTCTCTCTCTCTTTATCCCCCGCCCGCCCGACGCCGTTCCTCTCCTCTCCCCGCCCCTCCTTCTTCCGCGCGATCGCGACGAGGCAGAAAGGTTCCCTTTCTCTTTAGATTGTGAAACGATTTTCTATCGCGGCGCTTTAGCTCTCCGACGCGGCGCGGATTTATTATATATGCAATGGGTTACGCAAATTACGACAAAGTGCAAATATTTCACATGACCTGCACCTGCGTGACTCCCCTTTCTACACGTGATCGTTTAACCAGGCACGTGAATCGTGACGCGCGCGACGTTGTGTATGTACGTATGGATATGTTGTACATGTATATGCAACGCTCGAAATTCCGACGAGTTTCCTGAGACCAGAAGTAATCCCTCCGAAATATATACGCAACACACATAGCGCGAATTACATTCCTTGCGCCCGACTGAAGGATACATCCCCCCTGGGAACCGCGGATTATTTCGAGAAATATAATGAGCGCGAGTGCTGTTTCGCGAGTTTCGAAAATCCCTTATTCCTCTTTCCCGTTTGCATAAAAGACGCAGAGAACAATATCGTATCAATAACAATAAGATGTGATCGCAAACATTCGTAAATTTACTTTCCAAACTTGAAATTATAGCTTGTAATGACGATAACAAAAAATGTGATATACGATTCGCGATATATTTTTCGAAATAATCCACGGTTCCCAGGAGACGTACGTATTCTTCAGCCGGGCGCAAGGAATGTAATTCGCGATGAACGCTTATAATGTTATACATGTCTCTCTTTTTCCTTGAGGCTTGCTATATATAACTAACTTTGTGGTATACACCATTGGTAAAGTAATATGGAATAATTATGACGCCAGAGAGTCGTGTATGCGAAGCGCGAGAAAATTAAATTACCGTAATTTAGATATAATTAATGCGAGAGAGGCTATTTAGTTATAGACGGGGAATGACAAGCTCGCGTGATAAAACGCAATGACACGCGGGATATGTCATCGAGTTTAGGACCTAAAAATGACCTACGACCGCGCGGGGAAACCGGCTCGCGCGGGAGTCGCGGGACGACGAGCGCGCGCGAGCGAATGACGAGCGCACGGCTGACCGGTCAGCGCGCGCGAGAGACGCGGGGTGTAGTACCGCTCGCGCGGTCACCCGGGCCACCACCGCCGCCGCCGCCGTCGCCGCCGCCGCTCTTCCCCACCTACGTCCCCCGCGGAAGCGACGCGACTTATGAATGGGAGTAGTACTCGCCCATTGGTCGCGTCCGATAGCCAATGGCTGTCGACTCGCATTCGCAACCACCGCCGCGCGCGCGGGCAAGTAAAGCGAAACGATCGTGTATGTGCATACCGTATGTATCTATGTAACGCCGATACTCCCGTACTCTCCGACCGACACACGGAGCGGAGCGACGACGGGAAGATCGAGACGAGATACCGAAGTAAATCAACCGGATCCTATTAATACCGTGCCGTGCTACTGACTTTTCTGGAAAAAAATTATTAATCGTGCGAAATCGCTTTAAATCGTAACTCGCAACTCGCCGAGACCTTTACGCGCCTGGGAAACGCAAAGCGTTTATATTATATGCAGCTATTGTTATCGGCTCGCTGTTTTATATAATAATTACGTAAACATATAATTGCTATGTAAGCTGCAGCATGGTCTCGCGCCGTTTTTCGATCGTAAGACCCTTGGCCAAAGCGAGAGAATTTCACACAGCGACTCGAGAATCGCTTATCGTGGATAATCGGATAGAATATAGATAACGAGTATCGAGAACGAAGCGTTGCGCCGGCACGAGAGTTGCGATTACGATTCGCAGCTCGACCCGAGGCAAGCGAGCGATGGCAATTTCAATTTCTCCGGGACGACCGGCGATTAAGTCCGCTCGAGTCGACGAAGAGGGTGGCTCGTGGATAATCGCACGCGCGACTCGCAAGCAATGCGCGAAGAAATGTAACGACTCCCCTGTCATAGCAAAGTCGACGTGTCGATGCAAATCGGCCCGCGTGATTCGCGATGCGGGACGCGCGCGATTGGAGGAGAGACGGGCGCAGGTCGCGGGCGAAACGGCAAATACCGAACGGCAATTATCGGAGCTAACTTATGGAAAGTATAGGGAACGGACGCGCGCGGCGACGGCTCTTATGACAGGGAAGTGTGTGAGCGAGGTACTCTATCCTGGGTACGTCAAGGTGACAACGCGGCGGGGATGACACCATAGCGCCGGGATGACGCGGAGACGCGCTGTATATTACCTACACGTTACATTACATACGTATACGCGCTGCTTTGTAAGCAGCCGCTTCGCGCGCGCGTGCGAGCGAGCGGAGCGAGCTGCATTTATGCGCACTTACGGCCTGGCGTCATCTATCAATTAGCCGCCTCATAGCCGTTTGTGTCACACCGCTATCTCGCGCGAGATTGTGACTCAATTATGAGCGGTAGTACACGAGTTACGTCTCGTATTTCCATCTAAACTCGTGAATCATTCAACACGTCGCTTAGACAAGTAAGAATGTGCAGTCCTTTTGCCACACGCTAATTTTATCGCACGGAATTCGATTATACCGACGCTGATACTGTTGCGAATATGATTTATGTATTATTTATTTTATTCGTATATATTTAGCAAAGTTCAAACTTTTTTTTTTATCATAATCGCAATCTCTACATATATACACCTGTAACATCCGCGATATACGCGGCGATTAAGTTTCAACAACTAAATTTCAGTCCCACACATCACCGTATTTAGTTTTCTCCTGCGTCGGTGATTGGCTCCTAGTTACGGGAACTTGTTCGGTCTCTCTGGCTGTCGGAGGTTCTCTTGTCCTGGGACTATACCACTGCTTATTTCTCTTATAGAAATCATCTCTATTTTGTTGCCTCAGCTCGTCGTAACTGACGCCCTTTTGCAGATTTATCGGTTCGGTCAAATCCGTGTCCTCAGAGATATGGAAGTCGCCTTTAAAATATAATTTACATAATTATCATCGTGTGTAGCACGATGTGTGGATATGTGAAACATTGAACGATGATTTTTCAAACTCACTGTCGTCGTTAATACTGGAATACGTATCGTACGTGTTCATGGGTGGGTAATCGTCGAACACCATTCCTGTAGACGATTCTGCTGGGCTTTGAACTTCCGGCTGTAATCCTTGATACTGAAGTCTCTCTCTGGAAACAAAAACAAACATGAGACCAAAGTTTCAACGAGAGATGTAAACAGATGCGGGCGACTAAGACCAAAAGTAATACCTGTATGCAGTCCTATCGCCATAAAGACCCGCCTCTGCCAATCGGTCTCGTAGAGTACTATTCGGCATGGAAGCGACCTTTGCCAGGCACCCCTGGGCGAGGTTCAATCTACTCCCAAACATGCTTATCACGCCACTGACTAGTGCAAAATATTTGGCATGCGCGCGAAACGGGGTTATGCTAGCTATTCCGTATCCCGCAGCTGCGCCGAAGAGCGTCGACACGATAGTACTCGAGCCCCTCTGCTTCAGACATTCCTTAAAGGCAACTATCTCCTCCGGTGTCAACTCCAATTTCTGTAATTTACGCGATTACGACGATTAGATTTGAGCGTCATTACAGATATTTATAAATAAATATAGAATATAAAATAGAATAGAGACAAACAAGTTCGCAAATAATCGATCTGCTTTATAATTTTAATCGATAAATATGTATTCGTATCGCTCAACTATAATAAATCTTGTACATTAGACAATGGTTTCCTAACCTGCTGATGCTTGGGGTAACTGCCGGGTTGCTGTACGTCCGTTACGGTAGTCGTCATGTTTCGCGAGTATTCCAGTGGAATTTCGCATTGAATCCGAAAAATTTGTATTTCGTACTGCCTGCTATACGGTAAACACAAATACTTCAAGCGTAAATAACGATAAAACGTATTTACGTGCGGAAAATTAGAAGATTCGATCGCGCAATTCGCAAAACAAAGGCACTGGCGCCATCTGTAACCTATAGAACAGACCGTAACTTTGGCCGGTAACATGTGATTTATCTCCCGAACAGATCTTCCTTTTCAACCTGTTCTCGCGCGGTAAAAGAGACTAATACGCGTCTCGCTAAAATTTCGAGAGTCGATAATATCGATGTCGCGTTTTCATTTCGCGAAAGATCTGCCGTGTGAGTGGCGTGGGTAGTACGATCGCGTGAAAGTCACCTAATAAAATGTCGCACATCTGCCATATTGCACTGAATAGTAACATTTAGCCAAGCGTCGCTATGATCGCGCGGATCGCACTTGACGAATCTGTCGCCTTATCTCTGAAAAAACTGTATCCGACATCGGATTTTCCATCGGATCGATGCCGTACGACCTGAAAATGTCAAAATTCGCCACCGGATCGCAAATTAACGGAACGCAGTGGCGCAGTGATAACCGTATACGTTTTTTCTCGTGTTGAAAATTGAGACAGCTCGACGAAGTCGCAGATATTAATTCCCGATTATCAGTACATGCATGAAGTACCTGGCGATGATCCTTGCACACGTATCCTAGCATATTCCTGGTTGTATTTAGAGCAGAATATCCAAAATATCCTAGAACGGCTAGGTTAGAACGGCAGCTCCTTGGTCGATGCTCCACGGAGCACAAGAGCTCCGGATCGCCGGTACTCCGAGGCATCACACAAAGCGCAGCTCGTGATCCACACGTATACAAAACATACTGCATCACACTGTATTCCAACACTGTATTCCTTCACTGCATTCCAACACTGCATTCCTTCACTGCATTCCGTCACTGCATTCCTTCACTGCATTCCAACACTGTATTCCTTCACTGCATTCCGTCACTGCATTCCTTCACTGCATTCCAACACTGTATTCCTTCACTGTATTCCGTCACTGCATTCCTTCACTGCATCCAACACTGTATTCCTTCACTGCATTCCGTCACTGCGTTCCTTCACTGCATTCCGACACTGCATCCTTCACTGCATTCCGTCACTGTATTCCTTCTGCACTGCATTCCAGCACTGTATTCCATTACGTGTATATATCCATCACGTACGCACTGTATTCACACGCGAGATACTCTTAAACGATACCGATAGCGATCAGAGATACAGAGATACACTTGGATGCATGCGACCGCATCGTCCCGGCATGCTTCTAGAATGTTCTGGAACCAACGACACTAACGTTTTGGGCGCGCAAATCGCTCAATTGCGATCTTGAGAAATTTCAAATTGAAGGAACTCAAGGAACCAATCACATCGCGACGATCGGCCGTTGTCTCATCTGCACTTGCTGTATTCAATATGACGCCCATGTATGAAAACAAACGCGACGAATGCAATTATGACGCGGAACACAGTCGAAGATTGACTTGCCGGAAATATCCGTAATCTGATTTTCGAATGCGCAATTTTTCAAGAATGAATTATCGGAATTGTCCCCAGCAGTCTCGAAAGGTCGATGTAGCACGGACACGCACCACAAATTGTATACCCGCCGTGCGGAATGTTGCTATGTAGTTTACACCCACTTCTTCAGGGGGCGTTAGTGGACGAGGGCTGTCTTCTCTGGTAAATACAATTTAACCTAACCTAAATAGTTCTTTCCGCTTTTCCTCATCGTGTTACTTGCATGACCTCTTTAATTTTATTTTACAATCTATATAACGGTAACAATTGTAAAAAGTAACCTGTACAGATACGCGTAGGCCGTAATTCCATGTAAATACGTGGAAGCTAATAAAATTTAATAGTGGGTAAGCAGTAGCGTACATTCAACTGTGTCGTTATAATGCCGTCATTAGATGTTCTCTAATGAAGTTGCGAAAAACGAAGAGAAGAGACTCCTTCCTTTCGTATCGGAAATTAAATGTGACCCGATCGCGTTTATATTGTATTTATACGCCGGGTTTATTGTACTTTATAAGCCAATTGCGCTAATTTAATCGACATTCATGTCATGTCAGTAAGGTCGTTAGGAAATTTTATATAAAGTATCACCACGCTCCACATAGCAAGCAAATTATGGCCTAATAGTTTTTACGCAATTTTATGTACACGTTAAACACATTTAAAATCCGTGTTTATTGGCACGTCTTGCGCGTGTTCGGCAAATGTACTTAATTCCCAAGCGTGCGCTTGTGCCGAGCCGAAGCTCGAGTATACAGTCACTTGGCTAGCATCGTCGCAGAACTCCAGCTAGTAACAGCCTCAATCTCTCAATGTTGTTCCTGTCTAGATCTGGAGTTTAAATAATGCGATGGAATTCTCACTCAGCCATCTACAGAGTCTGATAAAATAACAGCTCGCTTGTATAATATACTCTCTCTCTTTCTACGGATATGTAATAGGCCCCAGACTGCTAACACTAATGCAAATGTCCAATTTTCATTGCCATTTGTGGTTTCAAATTGATTGGACTTTGGCCTCATTGGTGGAAGTGGTGTGGCCATACAACATGCTTAATACATATTAATCCATGGATTGTTTTGTGGACCTTGGATTTAAGATGACTGAGTATTGTTTATTATTATTAGCTGTATTTACTGTTAATTTGCATACAATGCAATGATTATTATTTGTACAACGTGCATATGATAAGAGATCAACACTGTAAGCTTCGATCAAAGAATAACAGTAGAGGATCACAGAGTATGAGTATTCTGCTGTTATTTGTGTGTAATTGTACCGGTCCTGCCAGTTAGACGTCTGAGCTCTCCTTGTTTGCATTTTTATAATATTTTTATAATATTTTAACAGATACTTCGTGACATACAACGCAATGGAAGTTAACATAGAACAGAGGGATATGGAAACTATGGAGGCTTCAGAAGATAGTGCAAATAATCAAAATCAGAACATTTTAGATTGCGAAGAAGCGGTGTATAGTATTGTAAAGTATCGATACTTTTCCTGACTTAATCTCTTTTAATGCCTGTCGTATCGATTATTACTGACGTGTATATATATAAGCTGGTCACTTGACGTTTTAAAATAGCGTCTGAGGTACCGAATATTATTTTGAATCACGCATCCCACGCGGTATCCGTATATCCAAATGACGCGATTTATTTGCGTAACCATGCTAATTCAATTATCACGTGTAAGACGGCAATGTACAAAGACAAAATCGTACGGACAGAATCTTAAGACATCGCTTTGAAAAATTTATCTTGCGATTTTACTTTTGTATGCTTCATCCAAGTACATATACTGAAAAATAAGAAGTATATATGTGCGTGTCTATTAAAATTTATTGAGTAAGATCGCGCGAAATATTATATCGGATATATATTATAAATCTACTGCGTGTTATAATTAGAATTCAGCTCGTCCACATCATCGCGAAAATCGTATGTTTCACGGTAACATGTGAATATTATACATTGGGGATTTCTTTGGAAACCTTGAGCGAGTTATCAGTGTGGCATTTCCATTAACAAGCTTGTCGCGGTAAAATTACAGGGCCGGTTTGCGTGGCATGCAATTTACACGCGTGACTTTCTTTTTTTCTACGTGTTCCTCGAAATTTATTCGCTACTATAATTATTATTATTATTATAGTTTTTCTTTTTGCCAAATCAGATATCCTTCTCGAAACTTTCTTGATGCTTTCGAAATTGGACTACCCGTCTACTTCTTCGCGATGAATTCAACAGGCGCGGCTAAATTGCATCGCTCCGTGCGCAACCAGGAAATTTTCCGCTGCCACTTATGAACCGATCGAGAATACGTAATGCAAAAGTATCTACGTATAAGACGCGGTGGTGTTAACTAGGGGACAGATGTCCGCCGCTATAAAAGTCGCGGCCGGAATTGTTCGCAGCCTTGTCGCTTTAAAATGTCGCGCACCGCCTCACCAGCTCGGCCCCTCTGGCCGTCCTACGTCGCATTCCTATTATTTGTATTAATATTAACGTCGATGACGCTGCAACGAGTGGGTGCCGGCCCTTTGCCGCAGAAATACGAAAACCCGACGACCGAGAGTTCGACGGAAAATTCGGTAGCCAGCACGACGGGGATCTCGACGGACAGCAGCACGACGGGCAGTTCGACGGAAAATTCGATAGTTAGCACGACGGAAAATTCGACAAACAGCTCGACGGAAAATTCGGTGGACAGCTCGACGGACAATTCGACGGAGATCGCATCCAACACCGACGTGTAATTCTCTTCAGATATTAATTCTTTCGATGTACGATATGATATGTAGAATAATTTTACAATGCCGTAAATATCCCTTGTCATCTTCAGATACGTGATAAAAGCTGTAGTTTACGAGATTGGAATTCTCACGGACACGGATAACACAACGAGTAGCGAAAGCACCGAAAGGTAACGCGTTTTACCTTATTCTTTGCCTGTATATATTCCCGTAAAAAAAAAAGTCGGCGACACGCAAAAAATGCAGTAATTTCAACTTTTCAAATCATCCCTTTTTCGCGACTTGCAGACAAGAGAGCGTCGACATATCGTTGTACAGTGCACCGCAGGAAGATAAATTCTAATTCTAATGGAATTCTTCCACCTCGGGACGAGTACGACTGAATTTTGGAGTCACACAATTAGACGCGTTTATGGATCAGGAGCGAGAAGTAAAATGTGAAACGTAAAGACTGCGCAATATATACGACGACGATGCTATCGGGCTAGACGTGCATAGTAAATTATTAATTATACATATAAGATATAGAACGTATAAAAGTAACGCAGAATGCGATGTACGCAATTTATAAGTTTCGATATTAAATCTGTAATGCTGTGACACACGTGCGTTTCTTTAGGATTTTAGAACAATGTTTTATTAGATTTTTTTTTTCATTTAATTATGAACAATATTTCGTGTACAACGCTATAAACACATTGCTGCTGCAAAATCTGCGAGGCAGAAAAAAGTCGCGGAACAATCAGGTAACATAATTCGCAGAATGATCTCTCTCGAAGAATGTGATGGGTATACATAAGATAGCTTGATCTCGAGGCATATGAACGGCGCTTTGACATTTAGTTTCTGCAATTTAACTATTCACTTCTGGAAGATCTTGATAAAAGTACTGTCAACAGTCACTTAAAGGTACGTACAAATCTTACCTTTCTTTATTTTATATTTTATTTTTTTTTTTACTTCGGAATGCAAAGCGCGCAAGTTCGTCAAGAGCTCTCGATTAATACGATATCATGTACAAATTTCGATTGACTATTACGACAAAAAGGTAATAAAAATACTCTCGATTTTTCTCTTTCTCTCTCTCTCTCTCTCAGCTTTCTTTTTTCTACATCGCATCGTTGAACTAACGTACACTCACAATCAGTTAAACAGTAGGCACTGCACCTAAGTACCTTTGCCTTATCGAAGGAATAAGCAAAAGCACCAGTTTGTGAAATACCGGTCTTATATAATATTAAACAGCGTTACGATAACTCTCTTCTCTCGTACGTGTTTCTCATCCGCTTTTTTTTTTTAAATATATAAACATATAATAAACGTTCCGTGTGTATGTGTGTGTATACATGTGTAAAAATCAATCAAAGTCGCAAGGTGGAACAAGCGGATGCGAGATTTATCATCATATCTCCGTTCTTCCTTTACAAATTGTCTATGTAAATCGCATAAAAGTCGCGATTTCTTTCCATTCTTCGTTCCCTTTTACTTTGTTAGAAATCAGTTACCAGTTACGTATAAATAACAATTTTACGAAACTCTTAACAATAACCGTAAAATATATATGGGGTAGAAGGGAGGACTTGATTTTTTTTTTTTCACAGGGATACTTATGGTGAATGTTGGCCATTCGAAGGGCGGGGTAGAAAGGGAATGGGGGATATACCTATATATAATAAACATCAAATTATTCGCTAAGTGTAGTTGAGCGTCGATCATTTTTTTTTTTTTTCGGCATTTCGGATTTATTCAAAGAGATACCCTGCTGCAGCGGGACAGACATAATGTGCCCAGCATCAACGTTCTTAAAGCATATAATTAACGTGGTGTCTAATAAAAAATAGAGAAGGCGCAATATGCTTCCGTGATCGTTCGCGTACGACTCGATACTGATATGATTCTCTCTTCCTATTGCCATAGATCATTCAACATAGGCAGGGGGGAACGTTTCATTTAGCATCTTTAGGCACCGATACGGCGTCAGTGGTGCCGGTGGTGGATGTGCTCTCCGACGAAGCGGCTGGAATTTGATGTTCAATTGACGGATTTTCATCATTCGCTACATCATTCTTCGCGTCCTTTACGGTTTCGATTTCCTCCGTGTTCTCAACCTCTCTGGAAGAAATAACATAAATTTCTCACGTATTATACTTTAGACTCAACAGATACCGCGCTATATAAAGACCTATTATAGGTATGCTATATAAATACCTGTTGACCGATAACTCGCTGGGATTGGCGTTCTCAACGGCGGAGACCATTTTGTGCTCATCACTTTGGCTGTCGTTAATATTATTTTCCGCAGCAGGTAACTCTGTCCCGATTGTTTGGTTATCTACACGGTCCGCGGTCTCCTCGTTGCCATCTCCGGCATTTTCACTAAAAGTCTCACTCAAATTCTTCTCCGTTAAATTCGCGGCCGTTGCTGCTTCTGATGGTTTTTCTTTAAGTTCATCGCACGGCTTTTTGTCCTCGCTCGCGGTGTTCTCTATACTCAAGGTATTCTCAAAATTTTCGAAATTGGCCCAGCCAGTGGACTCTACCGGCTCCGATGGTACCACATCCCAGGGATTAACTGGCGGAAGTATAGTACCAGTGCTCAACGGTTCGGTATTGTCCCAAGCTGAAATTTCGTAAAATTTTATTTCAGTAAAATAATTTCGAGTTTTTTTTTTTTTGGAATGTCAGATATAGTCACAAGAATCCTTGGTAGAAACGTACGATCGGTCGGGTCGACCTCCATATGCATGTCGCGTGGTTCCTCGTCATCTTCGTCCGACGAACTAGAATCCTGATGCTGTTGCTTCGAGTGCCAATCCCGTTTGTCCACCACGGTCTGGAACGTCAGCTCACCTTCATCTCCCCACTCCAAGCCGCTGCCGCAATCTTCAAGACCGGCTTTTTGTTTTTGTTGGCACAGCTTTAACATAACATTGTCAAATTTTTTCAATTTCGAATATAATTACAATATGCATTTTATTTAATTGTAAAAAACAGTTGAATAGACATGTACCTTATTGAACATCTCTTCTCGCTTGTCGAGATCTTCTTCACTGAGAGTAAAGGCCAACGTTGTTAATTGGTCAACTGGATTACTATAATATCATACCTCTTAACGAAAACATTCGGGGAAAAATGACTATGACAATATTAACATCGCGTCTTTTCACGCGTGTGCTCTCTTGGCTCTTGTAAGCTGTGTACGATCGCGATCCTATTTTAGTAGTAGTGCTATTTTTTTTTTAAATGAGACTCGCGTGTATACTTACTGAAGCGCGTCATCACCATCGTTAAACTCATCGTCGTGGAATCCGAAGTTCTCGATGAAAGGAGGTGTTATTTGTTGACCCTGATAATTGGAGTACATCTAGTACCAAGAATACCGCACGATAAATAAAGAACTAAGACTAATCTCTTATGTATCAATGATATACGAACGTCACCGCTAACCTGTTGAATGTATGTCTCTTGCGAGTAAGAGTTGTACTCGTTTGGATTTTCCTCGGAGCTCATCAGGTACACTGGAGTCTGATCACCCTTAAAATACCATTATAATTAAGCTTTCTCATCGTAGTCGTATTGAAGATTACGATATACAAGAAGATATTAAAACTGTTTTGGTTTATAAAATGTCTTCAGAGAAACGTTAAAATTATTACTATCGTTATCTCTAGTTCCATAAACGCGATACACTTGCAGGAAGAAAGAAATGTAACAAGGAACTACGTACCATCATTACAGTTTGATGAATTTTGTTAATCTCCACCAATTGTACGCTCACAAGATTTTCCCATTTAGTAAGACACTCGGGTGATAAATTGTTCTTTAAGAAGCTGGCCAGTATATTATTTTTATCGCATTGGGTGACGATATTATTCGCGATATTTATTAAATGTCCCATGTAGCCTTGGCGAACGCCATTTTCCTTGTTTCTGCAATCAAATCCCGGATGTTAAAATCCTGAATTTCCGTTTACAACATATGCGAAATATTCCGCGAAATTTAATACTTTTGGCAATCTTACTGTTTACTCTCGTTTTTATCCCATGCTTCTAAGATTCTCTCTATTAATTTGCACTTGATAAATATCTGGAAATCGAGATGTTCGAAATCATTATTTAGTTTGTGTTCTTGTATCATGATTTATTTTTACTATATTTTAACTATAAACTATAACTCACATTATTATATATAATATCATTATCCCGTTGTCCTCCATTAATCGCTAAGGCCAGGCACTGTTGTACTTGTGTATGTAAGAAATTATTCCATGTATATTTGAAAAACAGATCCTATAATAAATTAAATCAAGAATATGTAAACAAAAGGTGACAAAATAATAGAGGCACTTGTCGATATTCAAAGATGCATGCACATATAATGCGATCTTACCAACAATGTTTGGAATGTTCCCAAATTTTCTAAACTTTCGTGGATCTTTAAATTCTCCGTCGCCAACAACGCGCTTAACAACTTTGCTACGTGCAAACGGGTATTTCCCAATGGACATTCTAGTAGTCCGACAGTTGTTTTAACGGCAGGTTTCTGAACAATAAAAATTTTAGTTTTTAAAATAGTACCGAAAAGTAGAATATTAAGTGCAATTGTAGTTAAAAAAAAAAGTTTTTGAAAGCTTACATCTGGTGGGTCCAAAAGAAGTTTGTGAAGATGTTCCAAATATGGTAAAGTAGCATTTGAAATTTTAATACATTGCTCATTATCCGTAGTGTCTTCCCCATTACCATGTACATCTCCGTCATTTGATGTGCTGCAAAGGCATCGTGCTATTATATAACCTGCTATAATATCTGTAAAATGCATCAGTTGTAAAATATTCTCGTTCATACTTGCTGGGTCTTTGACCTAAAAGTACCAAAAGCACTTGTATTCCGCCGACAATACTGCTTTCTGCCTTTTCCGCTGTTAGGATAGTTTCTAGCAATAGGCTCACAGTTTCCCCTCTGTTCAACAAACAAAAAAAAAACCAATATATTACTCGCGAATATTCGAGCGAAACTACAGCTTATCGCAAGTCTGCAAGAATGTACTCACGATTCTAAAGTATTTAAAATAGGATCTGGGTCAGTACGCTCCGTGGATGTACGTTGAGTTTCTCTAGCTACCATCACCATATCGCAAAGTAATTGTGCCGCGTTAGCATGTTTGGCTACTTCTGAAGTAGGTGCTAACATTTTTACCAGTCTTTGCACTAAATGTTGACTATCTAGCCACTGTCAAACAGACACGCATACAAATATGTTGAAAAGAAATATGTAACAGTAGATAAATGAATAGTAGTAAAAAAATATATATATATATGAAATACATCTTACGTTTAATATGTTTTGACGCATATCACTGCCCTCAACCTGAGTAACAAGTTTGAGTACTAAGTCCATGATGGCCGAAGTCTCTAAATGTTGCAGCAGCAAATCTACGCATCTCTGACGACTTTTAAGGAATTCTAAAACCTGTAAGCATGTGAACTGATAGGAATACCAATTCTGGAATGGATGGAAATGTATAGGATGGACAGGCACGTGGACGATATAGGAGAGGCAAGAAAAAGTTTATTATTTAACTAATATTAATTGTCAATGCCAAGTTAAATATCAATCTCAAAGAAAAGTTACTACAATCAATTTATCTTGAATATACACTACGTAAATTGCTTTTTTTTTTTAAATAAAAAAATAAGAAATGTTTACACAATTACCTGGTCACTTTTACGAGCAACAAGCACTCCGATAGTTTTACTGAAAAATGATGCAAGTAGTGGATTTAATGGCTGATCTGTATCTATGAAAGAATATAATTTGGCCAAAAGTGCCTCGTCACCTGAAAAAAAGTTTCAACAGAAACATATATTTACAGAATCCATGTAAATTTTTAGATACTCTTTAATCAATTAAGTACATAATAGAGCTCCAAGTACCTGCCAGTTTCTCATTCAATGTAGGCACATCACATGTGAGCAACTCGCAGGCGACATTGGGATACTTGTAGCGCCAGCGTTCTTCGATGTCCGCGGATGGTTCTTTCGTGGTTAACGTCACCAATTCCTCCATAACGGCAGGCCTCGTGAGACTATTAATTATACGTTGCGCGATAATTTTTACCGTGACAAAAGCACTATACACAATAAACACTCGAATACAAAATCTAAGGAAGCAGCGAATATTTTCCACTTACAATTCCACCAGCTTTTTGTTTTGGCTCTTGCACTCCTGCAGGATGTCCTCCTCATCCATCAACTCGTGCAGCGTGACATCCTGTAAGTAATCGAGTGACCGATTAGATACCGTCTAATGACGACAAAGAGAAGGGGGAGAGAGAGAGAGAGAGAGAGAGAGAGAGAGAGGAGGAAAAAGGCTCGCACGTTTGCGGGAGGGGAAAGACGCTCGCGCATACGAGAATTACCTCCTTGTTGAGCAATGCCTCGATATGCGGCGACGACACGTAATTATTCGTCCAGAACATGATGCTCGATCGTGAGATGCGCTCGAAACCGCCTGAGTTTTGCATCCAACGTCGTCGGTGTCGTGTCGTGTGGATTTATCGATATAGCCCGGGACGAACGTCCGACTCACATCGGCGGCGTGGCGTCGGGACGCACGCACGGGTAAAGGAAAATGGTGCAGCACGTCGCGCGAATTCGTTGGGCCGACGTTGTTGAGCGGCTAACATCGCATGCACCGCGCTTACGTCGCTCCTGTCGTCGACGATTCCCTTTCGCTGCCGTGTCGCGTGGTGTTGCGCCGCGCTGCGTACTCGCGCGACTCGCGAGTCACCGTGTCGTCGTGTCGGAAAAAAAAACCGCTGTCGTCACGCACGCACCACCTTTCGCGCGTGCGACCACACACACTCGGTTGTGCGCGATTACGCCACTTGGCCACTGTGTGCTCCTGCGAGGAGCACCGCGGACCCGCTCCTTGACACTCGCGACGGTACGCGACTCGAATGCGGACCGCCCGACTGCTGTCCGCGAGACGACGCGCAACGATGCCCAGAACAACGAGACGAGAGAGCGGAGCAGAGCGGAGCTACGCACAGCGGGGTTGAACCTGCAGGTTGAACGTGATATCCCACCGGACGCTCTCGAGCGCGAACAGGCGCTCAAGCGCGGAATTACGGCATACGAGAGGCGGCGGAGACTCCTCCTTCCCCTCTCGCTCGTCCTTTCTTCTTCTCCCGAAACGAGAACGCCGTTAACCGCACTCTGCTGGCACTTTTGTCAGTCAAAGTGAAAGAGGGCGAATTCAAGATCCCGATGAAAAAAATATAGCACATCGAAATTTGTAATTACACATTACAACGGTCGGAATTATCATTTTATCGACCGAGACAATAAAAACAAAAATGCAGGATTGCGAGTAAACGCGATTGATGCAAGATGACGTCACGGTAGAAAACAAATATTTTCACTCCGCTGGCGGTCTTGGTAGTTTCTCGTGTCACGGCTTGACCGATGCCTGCCAATAGTCGGCGGCCAGCTGATGCCACGATGTCAGCCGAGGCTTGATTACTTATTGAAGATCGGCTCCAAAATTTTCGAACGGAGTTGAACTGGTTGAAGTTTCTGCCTTCGAGCCTACGTGGAAACGCATTATCCTTGAAAAATGGCAAGTGGAGATTGTTATTCCCTTACACGAACGAGCGAGAGCTCTTTCATTAATTCTCGCAGAGAGTTAACGTAGGTTAATTCAACGTCTAACCTTAATCGTATTCGCCGCACGAGTGCGGGGAAAAGAAGACACAGAAAAAATACAGATCTGAACGGAATATACATATAAGTGTAGATGTAAACGTAAATTAAGTCTACTAAACGACTTTTCTGCGTCTGATTCAATTCTGTTTGATAACTGCTTCAGGTGGAAGTCGAGTCGATGACGAGATACGTCTCGCCGGTGAATCCAGCTGTCTTTCCCCTGCTGGCCGTTGTGCTCTTGATAATTGGAGTTTTTTTCACGGCTTGGTTCTTCGTCTACGAGGTCACCAGCACCAAATTCACGCGAGATATATTCAAAGAAGCACTGATCTCTCTGGTCGCGGCACTGTTCTCTAGCTTCGGAGTGCTGTTCCTGCTGCTCTGGGTTGGAATTTATGTATAGACAACGTCGGATATAAGGGTGTTCAAATTTCTACCGAGAAAATATTCGTAACTGTTAAACAAATATATGTATACAATATGAAATATGTATCAAAGTTTCTTAATTTGTTCCAGTCATTCGAATATGGATAGATACTTAATAGTTCGACTAATTGTAAGCTTCCAGAAAAGTTTTCATTTGTAATATATTAGCCATAGTCGATTAAAAACGCAACCACTCAAATTACTTTTTTTATATTGTGCAGCAAATTGCAAGTTTATTCAATCTTTATCACAATGAAGGCATGAAGTTTTTGTAATACACAGGTACACGAGTTTTGTGACACCTTGAGAAAATAAAGGCTCGCACTCGTTTTTCTGTGAACACAGATTACAGCGTGATTAATCTAATCATGCAATATCATATAATAATAACATATAGCATAGTATTCCGTGCGAAAGGAATTATCATCTACTTTCATATTTGAACGTGCTATAATTACTGTGTCTGCATTGAACATATACACTCTATTAAATTGTTCCTCCTTCTCATGTAAAACACAGTTTTCCTCTCGTTACGTCACAAGGAGAAGAGGATGGCGCTTATTGTCGATAAAATAATCCTCTCTGTGCTCTTCGACACCGGTATATAAATTATATATGTGTTCCATTTTTTTTTTGTTCACCGCATAACGCAATGAGTTATTCTATAACAACATGGAATATTGCAGCTCTAAGGACGAAGCGCACGAGGGAGTATTTTTTTTTTAACCGGCCAGACCGGCTTTCTGTCGACATCTCTGCATCAGTGCTCTCAGCATGAATTGTCTGCGCGACAGTTGTCGAACTTGTTTCAGGAACGCGTCCAGATCTAGAATGCCGGATCGCAGTCCCTCGGCGAGATAGTAAATAGCGTCCTCCGTGGCCGCCTCCTCGGCAAAAGCATTCAGCATCCTGGAAATTACAATGACGTTACAATTACAAACCTATTTATTACCTAGCAATTCACGCGGAATAAGTTTGTCGTGTCGTAAAATTTGTACGCTTACTGTTTGTACAAAGGCGCTATGGTAGTGACAGCTTCGTCGACATCTATCGACTGATTATCCGAGAGCTTGGCGATCTCTTTCTCGAGCTCCGCTTCCTTATCTTGCAAGATGTTCACGTTCTTCTCGAGCTCCTGCTTCTCTTTCTTGAGTTTGTTGAAAAGGTCCGCCAGGTGCGACGAGCCGCTCGTTAGCTCCTGCTGCGTTCGTCGCAACGTCTCGAGCTCAGCCTGCAACTGCGAGAACTGTTCCTTCAGTCGACGTCGGAGCTTGTCCTCTACCGCGGACAGCAAGGACGCTCTTATGTGCTCCTCCGTGATCGTGCCAGATCCACTGGAATTCGGCTGTACCGTCGGCGACTTGCAAATAATTACAAATATTTTTTAATCTGACATATTTTTAAATAAATCGATAATTACTTAATACTAATAATAAATGAAGATATCAATTGATACTAAATTGTTAATATTAATTATAAGTGCTATTTGGGCTAAGAGAAATAACAATGACTGCGTACCGGTTGCGTGGACGGCGGATATGGCGGATATGAACCACTGTAGCCTTGCGTCGGGTAACTGGGCGTGGTTCCTGCATAAGAACCATACGAGCCCGGATATGGGAATCCCCCGGACGCTGCTGAGGGATACGGCGGATACACATTGCTACCGCTGGAGTATTGAGAACTTGGTGGATACGGAGGGAAGCCGGAACTCGATACATTTCCGCTACCAGGTACAGGCATGAATGCTGCGTGAAAAAATTTTATAAAGTATTAAAGAGGGAGATGGTAATAAAAAAAAAAATAAAACAAATGTCCTTTGAAACTTTGTAAATAAAGTACGTACACTGAACAGGATATGGCGTCGAACTCTGTTGCATTTCTGATCTTGTCTTGGCGTAAACTGGAGGCTGTTCTCCAAAAGTGACAATCATAACTTGTATTAAAGCAAGCAAATCTGAATTGTGCTGCAAGACAAAAGGAAACAAATAAACATTGAGTCATGTTTATTTTTCATCGATATTGAATTATGTTTGATTTTCATCAATAATGTGAGTCTACTCACAGGCACCCAGTCGTGAAGGTACGGCAAATAGATTTTACCATTGTGATCCACAAACATACTGACTTTGATATGCATATCTGCCGTTGGCTTGACGTAGCACATGGGCGCATTATTGGGATGAGTATCCATCAGCCATATGCAGATTGGAATATTGTAACAAGAGCCTAGGAAACAAAGTGATAAACAATTACACATTTAATACTTTTTTCTCATCATACAATAAACTTTTACACTAGGAGTCACTCTAAAAAAAAGGATTTACCTTTGTAAATAACTGGAATAGTTCCTTGTAAGTTGAGCAGTTCCTTACGCGAGCCATCATTGAAAACTGAACAAAAAAAATAAATTAAATGGACTTTGGAATATCGAGGAGCCCAGTTAGGAGATTTTTATCATCACAAGTAATTTTACTTACCAAAAGGCTCGATTTTGTACACCAAACCTTTATAAAGATTCAAGACGCTTGCTACATGCTTTTTTGTTATCTCTGGATTTTGATACTGAAAAACAACATGACCTTTTTATAATACAAAAGTCATTGCTATGACCATGAAAAGAGCGACGGTGCAACGATAAAAATTAATAATGATCAATACCTTAGATAGGCCCTGTCTAATCTTCCCCTCATCCAACGGCGTCATTCTCACCATTTAGCGTAGCTGACTCGAGATAGACAGGTCCTGCTATCTCCCTATCAGACGTACCTAATCGACGTTTCAGAGGTACAATTTCTTACACGTAACAGGCGATTATCGTCGGGCGTACGTTGTGCTCGCGTTGTCATCGACCGACTCGAAAGAATTTCGACACGACGAGATTGTCAAAGGCAGTCGCGAGAAATACATTAATCTGTCAGGCGAAATGTCATCGTGAACCATCACCAACTATCACGAGCCATGAATAATTTGGCATTACTGTTGTTCGATCATGAACTACGCATGTCATAGAGACACCTCGAATTTAACAGCACGAATATCGTAGACGCGACTCGCTCGACCAATCGCAGCCAAGAGTTTCTAGATGGCAACGCTTGTCCGAATTCTCGACTGCGATTGGTCGAGTCGTTTGTCGCTCAAACTCACTGCTCGCTCTCTCTCTCGTTTACGCATGATCGTGTGTGGTCAGTGTGGTACGCATGCATTTGGCGAGCGCCGGTTTGTCGAGAGACAGAAGAGAGGTATAAATAATATGGTAGAAAATATTTTATATCCTGCCACGTGAAAGGCAATATATGGCTATCGAGCTATTAATTCCGTCCTATTTACGTTGATTTATCACTTTCGCATTCATTAGCCTTAGGACGATTCGATTGGTTTCGCAAATATTCGTGTATTATGCGCTTCCCGATAAAAATTATGCGCGAGATTATTTTCAGATCGGCGCGTGACTTTCTACGATGTAAATTTATTACGAAGATCAATCCAATTAGGAGTACCGTCTGTCAGAATTGAATTTACGCGTTTCTCTCGAAACTCATTAATTTTCTTGTTGTTTCTCATGTTTTTCTAAATTTTCTGCCTCCCGGATACTCGCGACTTTTTCAGCTTTCCCTCGAAAGAAAAATATACCACAGCAATCTCGTGATCGGGGATTAATGACGTTTTATCTTCTGTCAACAGACCGTCCGTCTGTCTCTTTGTTACCTCGGGCACCCAGTATATTCCTATATACGGTAGGTTCGAAAACAAACTGACGTCCCCCAGCGGGAAGGTTATGTTGGAGGCAGGTGCGCGATGGGCGTTGCTTCGTCTCCGTGAGGAATCCGGAGAACGTGCGTTGTCAGAAGCGTAACGCGCGCTCCTGAGATCCCCTCGGTCGGGAGGAACAGGACGAGAAGCTCTCGCGACGACCTGAGGCAATGTCGTCGCGACGCGCATTCGTCAACTGCGATCTCGAAGAAGGCTAAACGTCAGGAATTATGTACGTTAAACGCTTGCGGTATTACGATTAACTTAGATCAGTGGCTTTTAAATTGTCGGTACTTCTAAAGCGATTAGGTAATATTCATTTTTACCTTTTCCAAAGCCGATGGATGCCATCATGTAGAGTCTAAAGGCGGAAACGAAGGAAGATGACGCCGCATTTCACGACGCTGACTCCGATGCGGAAGCGATGCCTAATCGTGCTGCTGCTGATCCTGGTCCCGTGCGCGATTCTGAATCTGCTGACACCGTCGGATATGCGCGAGGAGGCCGTACTGCAGAACAGCATCGCCGAGCTGCAGGCCAAGCTGGAGCACCTGCACGCCAAGTACATTGGCAGCCAGGAAGAGATAAACTTGCTGTCGCATCAGCTGCTACAGCTGATCGAGAGCAATCACATCCTGCCGGATCTGCAGCTGCTCATCAACAACGGCACCTCCAATATCACCAGCATCAAGCTACCTTCAATCTACAATTTTCTACCGCATTTTCTTAACGATCCGAACAGCCTGCGTCCCGCGTTCGTGCAGAGCAAAGGTAGATCGGGAGTGAGCATGGTGTTGGGCGTACCGACGGTGAAACGCGAGGTTCAGTCTTACCTTATGGCGACTTTGAAAAATCTGCTGGATCGTATGAGTACCTCAGAGATCGCCGACACCTTGATCATCGTTTTAGTGGCCGAAGTAAGTGGAACTATCAGTTGCAAAAGAGCATATCAATTAGGGCTGTTACTTTTTACTCCGAATATTCAAAGTTTCAAAATTTAAAAAAATACATTAAAAATTTGAATTTTCTTAATTGGATTGTTTTTATTGATCGTTCTCTTTTTCTTATTTACACATGTATCAAGGTTAATAACTAATTTGTTTTATTATAGTACTTTCAAATTTTTTAGGAATAATTTCGTATATATATTAATTCTTTTTATTTACAATATTTGTAAATTTTCTGAATAAATTTATCATTTGCACAAATGTATTTTTCGAAACTTCAAAGCTTCAAAAGAATTCAAAGATTTTTATGCCAAAGATTCGAACCTTCGAAGTTCGAATGTCAAAGCCTTTGAAGCAAATCGCCAGCCCTAATATCAATGTCATTCGCGTTTCGAGACATTGAACCGAGTTGAATTAACAAAGTTACATATATACAAATTTTGTTTTACAGACAGACATTGACTATGTGACATATGTTGCGAAGCAAATTGAAGTTCAGTAAGTTCATGAATTCTCATATTGTTATCTTACTCATTTTATGCCTATATTAATATAGACTTTTACAACAGAACTTCTTTTTTTTTTGTACTTTAGATTTCCGAACGAATGCGAAGCTGGCGTGATCGACGTGATATCACCATCATCATCCTATTATCCAGATTTATCAAAATTGCGCGACACTCTCGGCGATGATCATCAACGTGTCGTTTGGCGGTCCAAGCAGAATCTAGATTTTGCTTTTCTTATGTCCTACGCCCAGACTAAGGGCACGTTTTATGTACAATTGGAAGATGATATTTTGGCTAAGAAAAACTTTATAACTACTATGAAATCGTTCGCGTTACAGAAGATTGGTACAAAGGAAAATTGGCTTGTCCTGGATTTCTGTCAGCTCGGTTTTATCGGTACGGCATTGTTATATACTATACGCTATGTGATAACGTACATATTTTAGATCAAAAATATTTCAAGTTCTGTGGAAATTACAGGAAAACTGTTCAAATGTGTGGAACTTCCCTGGCTGATTCAATTCTTTTTGATGTTCCACAATGATAAGCCTGTTGATTGGCTATTGGACCATTTGATATCGACAAAAGTCTGCAGTCTTGACATGGACAGCGTAAGTATAAATAATGATAGCCGAACATTTAATAAAATATATCGATTTTTTTAAAGAAATCCAATTTTTTTTATCCCGGCAGAAACATTGCAAAATGGCTAAAGCAGAGTTATGGGTGCATTACAAACCTTCTCTCTTTCAACACATAGGGACACATTCCTCGTTGAAAGGAAAAGTGCAGAAACTCAAGGTAATGTCAAGTGTATTTACTCTTAAGAAAAGATACAATTGTGACAATATAAACTAATGTCTTAAATTGACGTCTTGCAGGATAAACAATTTGGCAAGATAACACTATTTTACGCTCACGAGAATCCCGAGGCGATTGTGGAGACTCAAATCAAGCCTTACAAACAGTATACACTACAAAAAGCATACAAGGGCGAATCGTTCTTTTGGGGCTTGTTGCCTCAGCCGGGAGACCATTTAAAATTTAAATTTTCACATCCTATTTTTATAAAGAAGTAAGTTGCAGTTAGCTTAATTGAACATTTTACTTTGAGAAATCACGATTATTTTATTATTGTAATATTATTTTGCGTGCAGGTACTTATTCAGGAGCGGAAATCCTGAGCACCCGTCTGATAGATTTTACAATACGACGGTAGAAGTATTGTCCGAGATGTCTCCGTTGTTGGATAGAAACAGCAACGATGTGACGGAGGATGGTTATATTATTATAGGTAATAGAAAATTCTACATATATCACATAATTCAATCGTTCGAGGGATTGTTAAAAAAATATTTTGTATGGAATCAGGTAAGTTTGATGTACTTGGTGTCGCCGAAGGGACCGTGGATCGAAGACTGGGTAAGGTGTCGGTGCTTCGTTTAACTATACACAGTGAAAGCGAAAATTGGGCTATTCTATCTGAGGTAAAAAAAAATTTCGTTAATAGAGTAAGATTGTTAATATATTAATCTCTCTTCTGCTCTAAATACGTATGTAATTCCGTAATTAGATTCACATAGTAGAGGATCAGCCTAGCTGACTAAAGGATGAGGATTCCCGAGTGCTCTTTCGGTACCACCTGCACGGTTAGCATAAGCGACTGATTTTATAAATGTTTATTAATAATTTATATATTTTTTTATTTTGCTGTCATGTTATATATTGAGTGGATCACTTGTTAATTCAATGCCGTCCATTACAAAAGAGAAATATGTTTTAACGATTATATTTAACATAATTGAAAAGCTTTATGGCGGGGTATGTCAAAACGTTGATAATCGGTATGTACAGTCGTGGACAGATCGGTTGCGACACTTTTTTTTTATTTGGTTTCGGAACATACTAATATTTTGTAAATACGAACCACGATTGGTGTATTGTTTCTAGACTAAAGATAGTACACCAATCGTGGTTCGTATTTGCAAAATAATAGTGCGTTCCGAGACCAAATTAAAAAAAAGTGTCGCAACCGATCTATATATACAGATCTACCGACTGTATATACAGATAAATGTTTGAAATTGTATAGCCAACTAGTGAAGATAAATTGTGAAGATAGAGATCGTGTTTACGATCAACATTCTTACGATTTTTCGAGAACGATTTAAGCAGACGAAGCAGAAAAGCTACACGTGTTGCTGCGAAACGACCCAAGTGTTCTCCATTAAAGATAATGTCAGTAATTTTGCAGTTAAATTGTTTGGCGCACAACAAAACTGCGAGAAAAGCAATGGAGAGCTACACTGGAATTTTGCAAAAAGCATTTGAACATTATCAAAATTTATGGTAAGATTATACAAAGCTACAGGAAAAATATGGGCAATATAATATAAAAATAAAAACTGAAACAACATCTCAACAATTACATAACACGCGAGAAAATAATCTCATTATTGAAATTAGATGCGTTAAATATATAAGTTCCATTAATTTTAACTCCGATATGATGGACCCGCTGTAAAGCTTTTCAGTCGAGTATTTGGTATTTTTTTTTTTTTTTTTAAATAGTACACGTAGCATTTGTTACGCAAAAATCAGGTGGTAATGTAATGGATTTACCTCTGATATTCACACTTTTGCGAATATCCGGTTTATGAGTGTATGCAATGGCACATTGTTGAGTCTGGAATTACATAACGTAAGTGTTTCTTGCTTTCTGTAAGATTGTGTTTTTAGTTTGGGGAATTTAACTGATCTGTACCTGTTGTGCTCGCGCGTTTCGATTCGCTCTCGATGTACGCTACTCATTCACGCTCGCGTGTAAATCTTCCGCATGTTAAAGTTTACGGCTCACACACTCGGATGTGGCCGATTTAATTCGCTTATTATTAATTATATTGTTGCACCAAACGTGCGACGCGAGGATGTTGATTCAGATGTTTGCCCGAACAAACAAACAGTGATATGAAGACTATATTCTTCTAATATACAAACAATTATTTATTTCGCGTAGTTTTCTTTATATATGTATATATACTGTCTGTCTGTACTCTTCTAAATATATATTTATACGTATACATGTGTATATGTATATATATAAATAACAATAAAAATATATTTTTGTGACAAATGTTTTATATGAAAATTGACAATACGTTACGCAGTTTATCTTGCAGCCTGTTGTATATAGAGATTTATTAATTGGGAATATTAAAAAAGAATAATCTTATTGTTAATATATCACTTAAAGTAGCATTAAGTTTGAGATGGGAACGAGATAACAGACTGATTCATTCGTGGAAAATGATGCTTCAGTCAAATCTGGCTTACATTCTCAGAGAGACCAATGCCCTGTACGGTTTAGGACCGGCCGTGACACCGTCCACAAAGTCTTGCGCAGATGGTCGCGGCTCACCAGGCACCACCGAGAAGTTGAACGCCTGCAGCAGCGTGGTTGTTATGATGAAAATGTTGCTTCTAGCTAATACCTCGCCCATGCAACGGTGTCTGCCTGTAAGATGTAAATCAGTCCTATTTAAGATCGAGCTTTTATTTAGATTACAAGTTTTACGGTAATGTGTGTGTGTGTGTGTATATATATATATATATACACACACACAAAAGAAAGAAACGTACCGATGCCGAAGGGAAAATATTTTTCTGGCGTGATGATATTACCGTCGTTGTCGAGGAATCTCTCCGGCCGGAAATCCTCCGGATCGTCCCAGGACTCGTCCATGAGTATTCTATTGTAATTTACAACAAGCATTGTGTCCTGAAAACAATGATATACACGTATTTTATATATTAATGTTACATGTACATCTACAATTATTCGTAAACTTATTTCTTTAACTTTTAAAATGTCAAATCTTTCATAATGTGTTACTTTTGGTATCTTGTGGCCCACGATAGAAGTGTCTTTTAACGCTCTGTGTGGTACATTCAAAGTGCGGCCCACGAATACTCTTATGGACTCCAAAACGATGGCTTGAACATATGGCATTCTATACGGAAAAAAAAACAATGACATAATTAATATTCGATGTGCGAAATAATTTTTGCTCGCGATTGATTATTCCGTATTTATATGTGAAAGTGATCAACGATCTGTTTACCTTGGTTTGTCAGCCAACGTGGGAGATCTGTCACGGCCAATAACTCTGTCTATTTCCTCGTGCGCCTTTCTCTGAACCTGCGGATGCAATATTAGATTTAAAAATCCGAAGCCTAGTGCTTTTGAAGTTGTCTCGGAGCCCGCTATGAAGAGATCCACACAGATCGCCAATAATTGGGATTCTGAAATAATTTTATTTTATTTTATTTTATTATAAAATTTATTTTATAAAACCGTTACTTATTAGTAACGGTATTAGTAATGTTATTTATAAGTTGTATATATTTTTAAATACCAGAAAATGTATCGCTGCAATCTTTCGAATTTAGCACAGTCAAGTAGACGTCCATCAAGTCCCGCGGCGCATTTGATAAAAATGTATTTTTATGATTATTCAATTCCTCCTGAAATAGCAATTATCAGTAATTATCTTTTAAACACTTGATCGTAAATGATTTAAATCGATACATCGATGTGAAAATACATGTCCACTCACTTTTAAAAATGCCCATAGTTCCTGATGTGTTTCTACGAACGCTTTATAACCGGACATTTCCGGCGCGATAAAACGTAGTAATGGAAAATGACTAAAAGGCGCGCCGATTATGTCGATTTCTTTCAGAAGTTTCGTGAGGATTTGCTGCAAGTGCGTGAGTTCCTTGTCGCCAGTATCATACCTGTAAAAATCAGGATTTATCGACATAATAAGAATTAATCTTTTTTTATGTTCTTCAGATTCTTTAGACATTTGTGAAAGAGTAGGAACAATCTACGTGATCGTCGTGTACCTTCTGCCAGCCATCATTCTCCAAAGGGTGTTCAGTACGGTCACGCCAAAGGCATCGTGCATCGGTATGATCATTCCCGCAGATTGGGAGACTTTCCTGACCTCCGCGTAGTCCTCGGCCTTCATGTACAAGTCTGCCACTGTACGAGGCTTGAAGACCTTATCCTTGGTAACGAACTCATCGTACAGCTTCAATCTGTTCAATTTGTTCTTCGGGTCTTTCCGGAGCTTGTATATCTGACCGACATTATTATTTATCGCTGTCATGTTTTGCGCGTCAGACGTTTCATAATTATAGCCATTTTGGAGCATCTTCTTGAAATGTTCTACCAATTTCAAAGCCTCATCCTCGATGATCGTGACCATGCTGGTACGACCAAAGCCAAATTCTCGCAAATGTCGTATGACGAATCGCCGTTGCTCCACCCATAGCCTGTCATCTACCACGATGAGACCTGATCACAAATTATTATTAATGACAAATAGCTCGTTATTCTTAAAAAATCTAAAAACAATATAATTAAGAAATGAGCCAAATACGAGCAAACGTTAGATGTAAATTTAGTTCTTATCTCTTTATTTTATTTATTTATCTCTATATTTCAAGTTATTGTTGAACAAAATAAGTCCCGTACGCTTGAAATATATCGATAGAATATTGCTATATAAATTTCCGTGATAATATTAGGCCTATTGAATTTGTAATGTGCTTTGGTCGGTGTTTCGTAACGTATGCGTCTTTTGTTCGACTCAATAACTTGAAACATTATTTTAACATCACACTGTAATTCAGGAGAATTACACCGTTTGGACATGAAGTTCATTCAACAATTTTTATTTTATTCTAGACGACATTATCCACACTTGACCGCGTTTTTTTTCTTTTCATCTATAATTTTATAATAGTACGACTCCGTTTTTGTAATAATTAATTCTTATTGAGTAATTTACTTATACTTATTATTTATATTTAATACGCTGCGATATACGATGTTATTTGGGCGATTGAGAAAGATCTATCGTGAGATCGAAACTAGTATCGCGAAATTTTAATATAGAGATAATAAAGAACTAAATTTATAAATTATTATTTAATTATATTTCAAAATTCAACAAATATTTCATCCGATTTGTTTTCCGAACAGGGATAGTTACCTAGTCTAACGCCCCAAGTTCTGGCCTTGTAAAATGGCCCGGACGGTCTACCGTCACAATCCTCATTGGTCAGCATCGCTCGTATGCTCTCTACATCGTTCAGAATAACGATGCGATCCTGGCCGATCTTCAGGCCCACCACAGAACCATATTTCTTGCAGAGCGCCGAACAGGTCTTAAAGAGATATCCGGTCTCTTGACGGATACGCGCTATTTCTAATGCGCAGCCCAGAATAGGCCACCATCTTGGACCTAAAGGTAATAAAAAATATTAGCCATATAATAATAAAAAAAAAGGAATTTTTAAGAAGAATCGACCTGTACCTGGTGGGTATCCTTTCGGTTTCTGACAGCCTAAGTATAGCAATAACACTATGAGTACTAGCAATAACATCGCTGTGGCGAGCATCTTATAAATCTAGTCTGTAATATATTAATAAAATATTCATGACATAATAATATAATAAATATTAAAAGAAGATAAAACTAATACATGTAAAATACTTTATATTTTTTTCTAAATTTTATTTGATATATATAAGATATACTTAGAGTTTACTTTTTTTTAAAAATAAAACTAACATGTGCGTTTTCTAATTAGCGCTGCTAGCTTTTAATGAAATAGAGATAAAAATGATCTTAAAAAAGCAAAAATATATCTATATATTTAGTAATTACGAAACAAATCTATAAATATATAAATTTGTTTGAGAAATGACAGATTTCAGGAAATGTGTTTTCTCCAAATTTTTTTCACTTCGCCTACTTTTACTGGATATTGAGTTCGTGCAATCAGTACTTATATCGATATTTGTATTTGCGATCAGATACGCACGCACACATTGGTGTAAACGCACGCACGCACAAATATCGCGTGTAATAAAACGTCAAACGAGTTTCGGAGAAGAAAGTGAAACACTTGTCATACTCTCGTAAGAGAAAGTTGCATACGGAAGAATCAGCGCGTTACTTGCGCAAATGCGCCGTCACCCTTATTATCCCATGAATTGTTACGTAATCGACGAGGATATTTTAGCGCTTTTATTGCAAGATGCTCATCGCTTTCGAATTCTTTTTTTAATTTTATTCACATATTCAAGTTTGCATCTCTCGATACATTTGGAGTTATCACTGTCACAATGTACATTCTGCACTAATTTGTATTATTATTAATATTTGCACACATGTATTTTAATTATATTTTTTACATATTTTACATTTTATTTGGAAATTTTATATCTAAAATTGCAATCTCCTTTTTTAAAAAAAAAAAAGCATTTGTAATTTTTTTTAAAGATTAATTGAAATATATAAAATGCACATATTATCTTTTTTTTACATTTATAATACAATATTACGTATATCAAACAAAGTTTAGAAAGAAAAACGTAAAATATTTAATATCAATATTTCTAAACCCATGACATAAAAATTTGACTATTGCTTGATATAACAGCGGCATTTGACGTTATAATGTCTCATATTTGCAATATCCATTCTTTTCAGGATAGTAAATATTGTTGATTATAAATCGTCAAATCAATAAATATTTCGTATGGCGAACACAAAGAAAACTATACGTTACGTGATCACGAGTTTACTAAATGCGCCGCAAGAGAAAGACTTTGAAGAGAATTGACGGAGAATTCGCGAAAGAGAATTGGCTCTCCCTTTCACGAACTTTAAATTTATCTTACCTTGCACTTGTGGAGAAATTTTCTCGTCCGTTGTATAAGCGGGACTGGCCGTGGACCAGCGTTGGGTCCGCTTTTAAATGCCCCTCTTCATCCCATGCGTTCTTCGTAAGACCGATACGTTTGCGTTGTACTTACTCTGCGGACCCTAAATTCGACATCCGTCCGAAACAGGAAAGTGGCAAACTTCGATAAAATTCCGACGTGCAATAATACTTCGGTATACAATTTTTTTTTTTGCAATTTAGCTACAATTTAGCAAAGAGAAATATTATTTTAAAATAATTAAAGCCTCAACTAAAATGTAAAAAAAGGGAATTCTGTGTATAATTATTTTATTCTAAATATGTAGATTATTTTTTCTAACATTCTTTCCAAATAAATCAAAATTTTTATCGTTATTACTTACAGCCCTTCGCTACATCAGGTATTTATATTTAAATACCTGAATATATTTAAGGTATTTATATTAAAAGTTTAAAGGACAGCATATATACACGGTAAAAGACAACGAGTTAAAAACATTTAATGAAACTTTATTTTCTTATTCTATGTATTCTCTTCATTTTTAGTAGCTATTTCACTAACTGTTTCAACATCTTCTGGACTCTCTTGTTGTTCGAAATGCAAAGGTAATCTATCGCCCCATTTACTCGTTTTCGCACAACGGTACATGTGTCTGGCAATAAAAAGATTTCATATAATTATACTCAAACACAATTTAATAGAAAAATATTTCATATACTCAAACACAATTTAATAGAGATACATACCTTCCGTGCTTGTATTTTGTAAATATCTCCTCCTTCAGCTCTCCACTGTTGGTGCACATGCGACAGATCGTGTGATTATTACGGTTTAGTACGGCTCGCACAATCCTTGGCCACTGCTTGTCATCTTCAGGACGTTTGCCTATGAAAAGAAACATATGCAAATTTTGCATTTTTCTATTGAATATTATTTATTATCTTGACAAAAAAAAACTAATATAAAGTATATGACTCTTAATTCAAAACGAAGAATAAAAGAAAACAATAAAGAAAAGGATTCAAAGTCTAGAATGCAGATTACAGTGTATAATGCTTTTTACAATTTACATTCAACAGATGTACACATCCTTGATATAATCCAATTCATACCTTCTTCAGACTTTCATCAGTGAAAAATTAATATAATTGTTTCGGTGAATGTAACGTTACATAAATTTTTTGCTGATAAAAGTCTGAAGGTCGAAACATAGGGATTGACTTATATCAAGGATATATATCTGTTTAATATGAATTCTAAGAAACATTACGTACCGTAATCTGTGTTCTAGACTCTGACCTCTGGCCTATCTTTATTGTTTTTTTTTTATTGTTCGCTTTAAATTGTCATAAATTTTATTAATTCGGAATTTACGATGGCTAAAAAAATGCGTCAGGTTGATTTTAATTATTATAATTTTTTAATTGTAATATCTATATAATTTTTTTAATTTTATTCTCTCAATAAAACTTAGTGATTACTGCCAATTGTATAATTTCTACCACGGTTTTCTAATAACGTGATTCATATAACAATTTTGTTTCTCTATCTTTTATTTTTCTCTTTTACTTACTTTTCTTTAATACGACATAGGAATACAGCTCTGGCTTGTGTTTCGAACCGCCGAGAAATTGCATCGGATGATATAGAACATTAAAGTTGCACGGAGTATCGTCGGTGATGAATCTCGGACACTTCAAATCGTGTGGGCACTAAATTAGGATAATATCATGAGATACAATTCATACATCATGTGTAGATTTTTCTTATCTAATCGATACTTACAGGTGAGAAAACATGTGCGAATTGCGTTCCACGTCTGCGTTTCGAATTCGCGTATTTGAGAATGAAACTTCGCGCTTCATTTACTAGCTTTCAGGAAAGAAAGAACGAACGAGAATGAAAATTTTATAATATACATAAAATGAAATTACACTGAACATGCTTACTTTGAAACCTGCATTAGTCCCTTCTTCTACAATAATCAGATAGTTTTCAGTTTTCGTCCAGAGCTTCAATAGCGTTTCGATACGCGACGCCATACCCGGTAATTCAAATAAAGAGTACGCGCTCACTACGATATCGTAAGTTCGCTAAAAATAATGAAGGTACATCAAATTATATTTTGTCAACAAAAACTTTAACAGCGCTTTTTTATTCTCTTACGTTCATGGAGAGAGGAAAATATTGGCGGTAGTAAACTTCTTTGATCTTAGGTCGGGCAGCTTTCGCTAATCTTTCCGACAATTCAATCATGGATTCCGACGATTCAACACAAAAGTATTCTTTTAACGTGTTCGACCAGATCTCAGACGCCGCCCTAAGAAATTTTTCTTTTCTTTAATTTTGCCTTAATGTATTAATCAATTATGTTCTAGGATTTTTTAAATCAGTCACCAACTGACTTTTATATGTATATTTATATTTACCACATGACTGTGCCAACACCAGAACCAAAATCAAACAATGTTTGGGGCCTGAAATCCTTGTCGCGCAATTTAATTTCATCGAAAATCCTATGCAAGACCGCATAATTCTGAACACCCCTGGCGACCAGGTACGTTAGGCAAGTGAGTTTATCAAAGTTTATTGGCTGCCAATTATAAACGTTTTGCTTCAAGATAATCCGGGATTTTGCATCTTTCTTGAAGTCTATATCCTCCATCGTTATCCCCTCGCCAGGATTATTAAGATTCAAGCGGTCCACTACTTTCAGTAATTTTTCTGGTAACATGTGTTGCTCCAATGGAGGATGGCGTTTATTCAAATGCTGTACCAATTTCTTCGCGCTCTCATTAATGTCTTTCAAGACAATTCTTTTCTCTGGAAGTAGTATTAAGAAATAAGTAGTTAACGATAATATATTAAATATTTCATGCGTAAGAATTATACATATATACAATCTATATACCTTTCAGAACGTCGTGTATCTCCTTTAGTGCCCACTTTGGAAACACTGGTGTTCTAGCAATGACACCTGGATGATGTCTATACTTCATTTCATTGTTAGAGATTGAAGTGGATACTGCATCGTCAAGCACAGCCTTTGGCTTCGCTGAAAACTGATTACAGATCTCACATTAGCATTAGTGTAGCACTTCTTTGTAAAAACTCCATTTCAATAGACATAACTTACATGTCGCAAGGACGCGAATCTTGTGCAATGCAATCTCGATACAATTAACTTCATGTTTGCAGTAAAAAAAAAAAAAAATACGATTGCGATCCAATAATCAACGTGTATTCCTCGGTATATTTCTCGTCGAAACACTTGGACACCTGGTGTATGGAAACAAAAGAATATATATTGTAAAAATATTAAAATCCATGTGCAGCAATTTTATCGCACACATATTACCACAGAACATATATAAAAATATTACGTATTGTATTATTTATACCACGTGGCTCACAAATTGTTTACGATGTGTCACAACCTCCGCGAAAAATTTTCCACATTTTCCGACACAGAGCGCAACGGCGTGCGCAAAAACAATTCGTAATATCTCGGCGGCGAGGCTGCGGCAGGCTACGGAAAAGTCCTGGCTGTCGCGCCAGATTCGCCAGGGTACCGCGGGGCGCGCATAGGTTATGATACGTAAAATAACAATCATAACTGATCGTAGGTTATGACGCGACATAACCTACAAGTACCCGCGAAACATGCAACATGCGTCGTCCGGTGGGTCTACGATTTTAAAAATAATCCGCCACGCGATATTACGCGCGCGTATGTCAATTCGAGTGGCGCGTTCACGCGGAGCCGTCGTGTGATCGCCGACACGACGTCCTCGTCCTCCCTGTACCTTCTCTCTTCCACACCATGAAATTCGCGGAACGTCTAAGCGCTCACATCACGCCAGAATGGAGAAAGCAGTACATCAACTACGAGGTGTGTTTTCAATGTTGAAAAATTCTGAATACAACACCTAGATTTTCTATCGCATTTTTATATATATATTTTTATATATATATATATATATATATATATATATATATATTGTGTATATATATTTTGTATACACGTGTACCTTGTCTATTTTACACACACGCACACACGCACACACACACACACATATATATATGTATATATATATAATACAATTATTTATTATTAGGAAGATTGATTATGTTTCTTTATCTAATTCTCTCTTCTCTCTTTTTATACTTTAACATTTGTTATTTTACAATTAGATAATTGCAAGAGATTTATATAATGCTTTGTGCGCAGGAAATGAAGGAGCTACTGTACGCCGCGGTGGAGCAGGCTCCATCGGCAGACGTGACCGAGGCGTACGTTTTGGACAGCTTCTATGGCAAGTTTGATGAGAAATTTTTCCATTATTGCGACAAGGAACTGGCGAAAATAAATACCTTCTATTCCGGTAAGAACAACTGACTGATTTTAAATATTTCATCTTTACAAAAGATATACAAACGAACGTAATAGTTACTTAAGTATGTACACAATAAATAGGAGATGTGTCTGTTTTTAGAAAAGCTAGCAGAAGCTACGCGTAGATTTGCCACGCTTAACAACGAGCTGAGCGAAATCTTGTCAGTCTCCGAGGATGCCCAAAGCCGCAAGGCGCGTTACCGCAGTCACATTCTTCACAAGAAGCCTGTTTCGGCGCGCAAACTTCAAGAGCTGAAATTGGCCTTCTCCGAGTTCTACCTCTTCCTCATTTTGCTCCAAAATTATCAGGACCTGAATTTCACCGGATTCCGAAAGATCTTGAAGAAACACGATAAGGTACATAGATTTTTAGCTGACTTACAGTTACGATTTATGTGAACATTTAAATGCAGAATAAAAAAAAATTTTTTTTTGCAGCTTCTGAATGTGGACTTTGGCGGCAAGTGGCATGCGGAACACGTTGATACGGCAATTTTCCACACGGGCAAGGATATAGATAGACTGATCGCGGAGACTGAGGCTGTGGTAACTCGAGACCTGGAGCATGGCGATCGTCAAAGGGCCATGAAACGGCTCAGAGTGCCTCCGCTCGGAGAGCAGCTCTCCCCGTGGATCACATTTAAAGTCGGCCTTTTCTCTGGCGCTTTTGTCATACTTTTTATAGCTGTGATATTATCCGGTAAGTAGGGAATGAAATTTTTCTTTTCATTTTATTTGGCATTATGTTGACTTTGTTTTATTTTTTCAGCTATGCGGTACAAAAAGAAGGATAACTGGACGGTACTCTGTCGAATTTATCGTGGACCACTTCTTCTGATAGAATTCCTCTTTTTGATGGGAATCAATGTTTACGGTTGGAGATCTTCTGGCGTGAATCACGTGCTGATATTCGAGCTTGATCCGCGCAATCATTTGTCAGAACAGGTTTTACGACAGATAAAATCATTTTATAGGCCATTAGTTATATTGATTAATTTTAAAACTAATAGAATTTATCATGAGTTCTAGGCAGTTTTAAATAATTATGCCATTAATTTGTTTTCTTATAACGTTATAAATTTACATTATCAGTAATTAGTATGACATTGTGTTTTGTTCTCTTGATTTTATTCGCGTTATTATTAATTTTAATTGGTAATTATTTTATATTAACATCTTATAGTTAAAAATATTGGTATATAATAAAAAATAGAAGATATATAATTAAAAATAGATTATTGGTATCGCAAAATTCATTGAATGCATTAACTTTCAGCATATCATCGAATTGGCAACTATACTCGGTCTGGTTTGGTCCATGTCCATCTTGGGTTTCTTATATAGCGACACATTGGGTGTACCATCGTTTGTTCAACCAGTAAGATCATGTATATTCCGTATTTCTCGATATTTATTTTGAAATTTTTGCGAAAAATTTCGCGAGAAAAAAACGATAAATAATCGATTTTTTATTATATAAAAAAATATTTTATTTTAAGGAATTGATCGTATCTCTTTACAGCTGCTGTTTTATGCGCTGTTGGCACTGTTCTTATTCAATCCCACTAAGACTCTGCGACACGAGGCGAGGTTCTGGACACTACGCGTTCTGGGTCGCGTCTTCTGCGCGCCATTCTTTTACGTGAATTTCGCGGATTTCTGGCTCGCTGATCAACTTAATTCTCTTCACACGGTCTTTCTGGATTTTCAGTATTTTGTCTGCTTCTACATCCAGAATTCTTCTTGGAACGACGTTACAGGTCGGTAATTAGATACAACAAACCATTTACGATGTATCGCAACATTTTTATATTATGATTTTTTACTCCTTATTACGTTACACCGGATTTGGATTTAGATCTCTAATCGATATTCGATATCTAATGTGCTCGTATTTCTCTCTTTTAAATAGATACAGAAACCTGCATAATGCGCGAATCATCGATGAGACCGTTTGTGGTGTGTTTACCGGCGTGGTTTCGATTTGCGCAATGCCTGAGGCGTTACCGAGACACGAAGGAGACTTTTCCACATCTGTTGAACGCGGTCAAATATGCCACAAGCTTCTTTGTGGTTATTTTCGCCTATTTGCACTTAATAAACAAGAGTAAGTATTTTGCTTAGATAAGATATATGCATGGAATATACAAAGTTAAATAGTCTGTTTTTTTTTAAACTAAATTCACTGTTCCACGAAACAGAATACTATGCATTGTCTACCGAGAATCCCTACTTTTACTTATGGCTGACGGTCAGTGTGGTGAGTTCTTGTTTTACATACACGTGGGATGTAAAACTGGATTGGGGCCTCTTCGACAGCAGTGCTGGAGAAAATAAATTCCTCAGAGAAGAGATAGTTTATTCGTCACCTGTACGTTTCCTTCCATGTTATGTAATTTATTATTATATTGCACGCACAAATATTAATAATATTAATGACAACTGATATACTGTTTATTTATCCGATGATTTATCGCAGCTTTTTCCATTTTGCAGTATTATTACTACTTCGCGATGGTCGAAGATTTTATCTTGCGATTTGGATGGGCGTTTTCTCTGTCTCTGACAGAGATGGGATACATTCACGCGGATCTTATGGTTTCCATAGTCGCCCCGTTAGAAGTCTTCAGGTAAATACATGTTTTTTGTGTTTCAATATTGAATGCACGTAGAATATGTCAAAATTGTTGTGAAAAGTATTTGTTGAAATAGTTGTACTAGCTCGATAAATGCGAGTCGTCGATTTTTATCGTTGTTTCGTTATGCTTAATAAAACGTTGATATTCAAGTTTAGTTTGCACTCGCACTTTACGCACAAAATTCTCAATTATATGTCAATACTTTACAGCAAATAAAATTCGAAATACAATACGTACGGACATAGGAATGAGTTGTTTAAACTTTATTTTTCAACTTGTAATAAATCGAAGAAAATAAAATTATTTTTGATTGAGCTCATAAAATATTGACATATAATTAAGAATTAATTTCTCATATTATTTGAAATTATCTCCTACGCTAATGTCATTTGCATTCTGTATAGTAACGAAATAATTGAATTGTCGAAAGTCAAAAAACAGCGACTTAATCGACGATAGACCGGCCAATCTAATCGCTTATCAATGTGCCTTACTAATAAGTCGCTAGAAGGTTCACGTGGAATTACTTTCGAATGGAGAACGAGCACCTGTACAACGTAGGCAAGTTCCGTGCGGTGCGAGATATCTCCATAGGACCCATTAGACGCGACCAGGACAATCGCAAAAACCTGGATAGTGTAAACGAGAATGACAACGGGAATGACGACGGCAATGATGATAGAGTAGTGGAGACCCACGACCACGATTAAATACGTTGTAATTTGCCTTTTTATTTTGATTTTTTACTTATATTTATATATGTATGTGTTTAATTTCTCGATATATTTTTGAAGAAAAATTTTTTTTTGCCACATACTACTAATTTTTTTTACTGCACAATATTGTTGAATTATCGGATGCATGACGTACCATTATGCAATTGTTTGCATGTTCGTATGAATTTATCAATAAATGTATATTACGAAATCTATAATATATATATATATAATTACGATGATTAGAAGAAACTGTATGAGTTACCGCGTAATCTGTATATGTTTGCTTAACAGACGTTTCGTGTGGAACTTCTTCCGCTTGGAGAACGAGCATTTGAACAACTGCGGAAAGTTTAGGGCAGTGCGAGACATCTCGGTTGCACCAGTCGACTGCTCCGATCAGACGCAGATATTGCGAATGATGGACACTTCCGATGGCGTAGTAAATCGCAGACGGAAGCAAAATATGGACGAAAAGCGCAAGCCGATCCGGTTACTCACGAAGGACGAGTCTCTGTTGGACGATTAAGGCGGTATGATCATCGATTTGGCATAGTTTAAATTTATATAGAGCTAAATCGACTTTTTGTACCGCCTTGTTACTTCAACTTTGTTCACAAATTATGATGGCTAATCAAACTGACAAGAGCAGAGAGTAAAAGTATGAGAATATTGGCATACTTTGAACACAAGGTGCTGAATCATCAATTTATGTGACATGTTAATTAGATGTGCTAGTCCATCGATGTGATTAAAGATTACTATCTGTAAGTAAATAGCGAATTGATATCATTCGAAAGCGAAATCAAAGAAATTCGAAGGAATCAGTATCGAAGAGATCGAGATTGTATCAAATGTTGAGAATTAGTGTACTTTTATTTCGATTACTATCTGTACTTCAATTAAATAAATGATTGTTACAAAATAAAAGATTGTGTTTTAAGAGTGACGTTCAGGCACGGTATCATCTTACTAAACATTTGAATTCAAAATATAAATTTAAAAACGCCTCGACATTACCATCATTATTTTGAACATGTTCTTTTTCTCTCAATAGTCTTCTGAAGCATAACAAATCCACCGGCATCCACCGTTGAAATATACAGCTAGCTAGCAATCCTCGCTATTATCGAGTGCGTTACGGACTCAGAGAAAATTTGTTTCTACCGACATTCAGCGAGTGAGCCAAAGGGTGAACGTCCTGGCAGAGGTGAATCGGAATCGCAGCGAATCTTGTAAACGGAACAAAATTCTCACATGTGTGCGGATGCGGGTGTACAGAGAGTAGTGGGGATACGTGGCAGCTGCTTAATGACACCTAATGCGTCCATACTAATCGCCGGCGCGGTACACAACAATAGGGGGAGAAGAAGGAGGAGGAGGAGGAGGTGGAAGAGGAGGAGGAGGAGGAAAAAACGCGTCCTCGAGGAACGCGGCGCGAAATACTCGCGCAACGTCGGAGCAAGACGAAGCCGGAGTGTGGGAGGGTGAAAGTCGGCGGTGTGGTGGTCGTTATTGATTGAACGCGAAGCCGCGCTAATCGCGCAAGCTCGCCGTCCGCCCTGAATGAAGTGACGTGCTCTCTCGCATATGGAGATGCGAATAGAGGGACGATAAGACCTGTGCAGGGCCCACAGCAGCCGACCAACAGCAGCGACGACGACGACGAGAGGATGCTCCTTCAACGGGGCTGTACCTGGCTGACGTTGATGCCGCTCCTGTTGAGCTTGTCCACCGGCGAGCTCAGCTTTTATCGGGGTGAGTACGGGGTAGAGTCTACGGCCTTAAGAGACAACGTCTCTCCAGGGGGAATGACACGGAGAAGACCCACTTGTAGCCTTTCCAAAATAGTCGTGTTTTATTTTTAATTAGCAAGATTCGATCGGTTAAATATTGAAATACAATCGATTGAATGTTTCGCGCAAATATCTTTGTTCAATCGGTTTGTAAAGGAAAAAATATGTTAAGAGGCGAAGTAATCTTTATACGACATTAGGCTGATCTAGATTTTTGAGTGGCACATATGCAAAAAAATTGTTTCTCTCTAAATAGAATCAACTCAGACTTTTAATGTGGAAAGAAGAGATAAAGAAGTTAAAAATGAAAACGACTGATAATTAACATCGCAAATTATTATCGTTATACTTGTGACCTTTTTTATCATTAAAAATCATTTTTTTATCAGCAGAAAATTTTATTTGAAATAAAATGAAAAGGAAAAATATGTTAAGAGGCAAAGTAATCTTTATACGACATTAGGCTGATCTAGATTTTTGAGTGGCACATATGCAAAAAAATTGTTTCTCTCTAAATAGAATCAACTCAGACTTTTAATGTGGAAAGAAGAGATAAAGAAGTTAAAAATGAAAACGACTGATAATTAACATCGCAAATCATTATCGTTATATTTGTGACCTTTTTTATTATTAAAAATAATTTTTTTATCATCAGGAACTTTTATTTGAAATAAAATGAGATGACCTTAGTGTCGTACTTCTTTCCGATTCTTTCAAATAAAAATATTATATAACAATTTCCAAAATATTATATAATTATAATAAAATACAATTATATAATGTGTATTACACAACAAAAAAATTCTATCCCTTTATGGTAGATTGTGTGCACGGGAATAATCCGGGAAGGACAATCCGTTTATAGTATTTTCTATCCTCAAAGCGTAATTGAGATTTGAAGGTCAAGAGTAAATTGCAGGATCATTTGTGATGTAATTAGAGTTCGCCCTAACTTTTACCGATGATCGGTTGACATAGAATTATTTTTATAATTATATAAACAAAATTTTTACGTATTCATTATTACATATGAGCGATTCTACTAGACGGTGTTATCGCGAAACGCCAGTATGTATATCTTAACCGCAGGAAACCCGATTGCATGCATAACGAAAGCGGCAGGAAGCTCGGCGATAATAATCCAAACTGGATACAACTCCAATTTAATCGCTCTAATTCACGACGTTTTTAGCTAATAATATTTATTGGATCAAAGCCAATATATTAAGATATTAAAACTTTAATTCGAAGGAGAGTTTCATTTCAGAATTAGAGTGTTTCGTATTAGAATAATTAAAAATAAATAATAGAGGGCTGTATTAATCTCGATAAATATGCGGTAAATGTTAAACAGAAACATATATACGCTTTCTATTTTCTCAACGTTAGATGCGCTCCCGGAAACGTCGGAGGATGTCGCGCTTAAGCTAGCTCGCTATCTGGAGGCGCATCGTCTTCAGCAGCGTCTTCATCGGTCGCACTTGCCCACGTTCCTGTCGTCGATGCACAAGAAGCATAACAGTCTGCTGGACCAGGAGAAGCGCGAAGTCCTAAGACTTTTGACCGACAAAACGGTCAATCTGAACCTGAAGGAGAAATTATTGACATGGCTAGGGCAACATCATCGTTCGAGTCAGATCGCAGGTCGGGAACCGGAGTACATCTTGTCCTACGACAATCTCGATCTTAAACGTCCACTGTACACCGAGGAGAAACAGTCGGCCGAGAGCGACGGCCGTTTCTCCAAGAATCTCGGATACGGGCAATTTTTCGATACGGACAGAGATATGATTGAGGCCATAATGGACTCTTTCCGAGAGTACACGGACTTCAATCACGGGATGGAAACGTTGCATCACGAGGGCGGAAGGGAAGCGGCACCCGTGCGTTCGGCGGCAGTGGCATCGACACCGACCGAGCCAGAATTCACGTACAAGTTCGACAAGTCGAATCTTAAGGAGAAGCACCCGTTCGCGGTGAAGCCGAACGATCCCAGATACTATGACGTCGAACCGTTTTCGTCATCGGGTAAACGTTCATCCGTTAATTTGCCTTTTATTGGAATCCCTTCGAGTGATGCTTTTATTTCATTTTGGCGCACACAATCCTGAATATCTTGAAAATGTATAATTGTTATTTTCAATATATTTTGTTTTTTATTTTTTTATTTTTTTTTAGAAAATCTCAATATTACTAATGAATTATTTCATAATTTTTTAATTTAATTTTTTATCTCACAAGAGACAAGCTTCGTTTCACGGAATCCGACTTGAGAAACGTTATCCTAGAGTCTCGAAAGGGTCAAATTACGTCAGTCTAACATCGATAATTCTTCCTAGCTTATATTTAACTCTTTCTTTTTTTAAACGCTCCCTTTTTATAATCACTTCAACCTGCTGATAAGTATAGTTCCTTCCTGCCAGCTGCCTTCGATTTCTGATTCTTTTTAAACTATGAATGGCATTTTCTAATTTACTTTTTTCTAATTTATGCAACTCGTAGATGATTTAGATTGGCAAGACGCGTCGAGAATGAATTGGAACGAGGAAAAGACAGCGGATAAAGGGCAAATGTTGATAAAGCAAGAAGACGACATGCGGAATATCAACCAGAAGATATCGAAGGATTTAATCGCAAGACGCATCGACATATCGGAACCAGAAAGATCTGCGGGACCTCATCCGGTGATCGTACCCATAAATCACGATTTCAACAATGACATTTATTTTATCGGTAAGCAGCGCAAGCGAAATGAAAATTGTAAAAGAATTATCCGATTTTGTCAATCAATGCGATTAAATGTGATACTTGATGTGCATTTTCAGCCATTGTGGCCGGTTGCAGTGCAGCTGCGATGTTCGCTTTAGTATTGATCAGCTTGACGTGGTGCAGGTAACACCGATCGCAATAATTCGTCGCTCGTAGCTCGGCGTTTTTACAGCGTCACGCGTTTCGTTTTCTCACGGGATCTCATTTTTTTTTTCAGACTGCAACGTGGCGCGAAAGCTGCAGCGGACATCGAGTATCCTGCTTACGGTGTGACAGGCCCGAACAAGGATATATCACCTTCCGGTGATCAGAGGCTCGCCCAGTCCGCTCAGATGTATCACTTCCAACATCAGAAGCAACAAATTATCGCGATGGAAAAGTGAGCTTAAAATTTATATATGTTTATTTCTTAAAGATATTCGGTACAACTGTTTAAAAAAAAATCAACATATATCGAAATCCATCATTTCGTAAAAATCTCAGGATCAGAAAAATATATTTTGAAGGTAACGCTTAACAAATAATATTTGCTCTAGTCGCACTTCTGCAACGAGGGATCCGGGATCCCTTTCGGAAGCGGAGAGCGATGAAGAGAACGAGGAGGGTGACTATACCGTTTATGAATGTCCAGGACTTGCATCTGTGAGTTTCGCATCACATAAGCAATCTCGTAATTTCCGTCTTGATATTCGGAATCTCAAAAAAAAAAAAAAAAAAAAAATCTGTTTCAATTGTGGATATTATCTTAAGACTGGCTCTCGATGTTTTTATTAAAGACGGGCGAGATGGAGGTGAAGAACCCGATGTTCCATGACGATCCCACCCCGGCGACGCCGGCGGCGCAGAGCAACAAAGAAGAGGACCACATATAGTTTCAATAAAGTAGAGAGAGAGAGAGAGAGAGGGTAAGAAAACCATACGCGCGCGCGATCTGAAGAAATCTTTCCCGGTGCTTAGCTCACTGTTAATATACCATATCGGAAACGTTTATCTATTATATTGAGTGTATACAACTTTAATATTTATATATGGCGCGATGAGGGACGACAGGTTTTATGGAAAGGGCGGGAAGAAAGAGGGAAGAGATCGATTCGATACCAGAACGATCGACGTCATTTTTTTCGTTCCGGAAGTAAGAGAACAGAAAAACGCTTATCTACGGTAGTAAATGAAATCGGAGCACGGCAAACGGGTCAATAAGTGTGCATTTGCGATTTTATGCGGGTGGATTTAGTACCTGCGGTTCGTCGCGGTCACAACGTCGAATTCGTGTGAATCGAATCGATCTTGCGAAACGCCGAGACGGTGCTTCTTCAAGGAAGTTCACAATCCTAAAAAAAAACACCAGTTTTTTTAGTTATATTACAAGAAATATATTGTAAAAGAAGACGATAGAGAGAGAGAAAGAGAGTTTATATCGTCTTTTTTTCTCCCCACATTAGACCAACGTCTGCATTTCCTAGCACCGAAACGTTGTTTTATGAGCGGAAATAACGGAATACGATGGGGAGCGAATTTTATTCGACGATCAAAGCCGCGCCTGTACGAAAGAACACCCAATTTTCTAATGTCGCCGACGTACTATAGTTTGTACTTTCATAGTAGGAGCAGTTCGCCGCACGATCGCAATTATTTTTCTATAACTCGTCACCGGCCGCACATACAGCTCGAATGTCTGATGAACAGATTGACAGATATATTACGATGGATACGTCCATCGGATATGCGTGCTGCGTGAGCAGCGGTATCAAAGTCTATCGTCCGAGACATTACACTTCTTTGAAAGTATAAAAAAAGAAAGAGAAAGGAACTACTACTCTTAATTTGGGACGGTCTATATGGCTACTCGAATCTGTTTAGTACTGGTCGGATGTATATGGAAAGTTATACAGTATTATTGTATAATTACACAAATTATATTTCACGAAATCTTAACTCTCTTACATACATCTGTCTTAGGGTATACAAGCATAAATACTACACTAAACAGTGTTCCGCAGAATGTGTATCCCCGAATGCGAATTATGTCGAATTATATTTCCATCACTGCAAATATCTCCTTGAATTGCAACAAGATTATGAATGAGTAATGTTATGCGTTTAAGTTTGTGTTGTATTTATATAATTTTCTAAATAGATATATATCGAACGAGATGACAGATAAGATGAATGCTTGGCAAGCTCGTTTTACAAAGTAACGATATGTTAACATATGTTAACATGTCAAGTAAAGAAATTGTCTTTGCTATAAAAGAATTTGTCAATCTTCCGAAAAAAAAAATATTAAAAATATCACGCTCTTTATTAATTATATTTTATGATCGCTTGTTATATGTGTACTAAATGATGATACCAAGCAGTCTTATCTCGAGTCTTGAAGCGAATTGTTTGAAAGTATACCGTTGTGCGTTTTGTTCTAATCTAAAGTAACAGTCTCAATCTTCTGCTTGCTATGTGATACAGGAAAGTCAATAGCATGAACTGTGCAATATACGAAATGACTTGAGTTTTCTATTCTTAGAAGCATTTTTTTTCTACGAATAATGATCTTGGAAATGTGCTTGCAGCGAGGAAACTGTTCTCTTTTGACAGTTACCGATAGATATGTACACATACATGCGCAAACACATACACGTACAGAAACATATGATATATATATATATATATACACACACGTATAACATTTGTTGGCTTAAAAGGACAATATATTTTATTTTTCTATTGAATAATGGTCATTGTTAGCTGTGTAAAGAGATTCTAATCGCTATTAATCCTAAGTCAAATGCAGAGCTATACTATATTTATTTTAGTGAAATGTTAAATGTCTATTTAATGCGAGGATTTTAATGCAGAGCTAACGGGAGGTGTGCTCTCCTCTCCGTCTTGCGTTGTAGCTGTGTTACAAAAAAAAAAATCCCTTCTCTATTCGCCGTTTACGCTAAACGCAATACAAGGCATGTGGCATAAGATCTCTAAGTGGTATAAAGAGTTCTTCCTTTTCCCGCGACGCTGATACTTAGTGCGTATTAAGCGATTAATGTATCTTTAGCTGATGAGTGTGAACGAATATGTTATATTAAGGCATGAGTATACGTTTCTAGTCTTTGTGCCGACACTATACAACATATAATTATTACACGAGTACATTTAAACGTATAAAAAAAAAAGCAGAGAAACACTATGAAAGGACAATCTGCGTACAAATAGACTATATATTGCGTATAGCGATTTGTAGCATGATTGTGCATCTATCCCCCCCACCCCACCCCCCGCCTCTCATCCGGAGAGCAGGGAATTATTTATTGTCGATTGAATTAAAACTTAATCCTGATATCGCATTAAAAATTATAATCCTACCCCTGCGACGTCCGTCTATTTAAATTGTACACGCGGATATATTGCACGCGATATTATTATTTTCACTCCTATACACGCACTATAAATCAAAAGCTATAGCGTAAAAAAAAAACAGAATGCAAGTTATATAGATCAGATAAATGTATTATTATTTTATTAATAAATTGTTTATTTTATAAAGTGTCTACCTTTATACGCTGCGCGTTAAAAAAAAAACGCTCGAAATAAAGGAGGAAAAAAACACGCGGCGATTTTTTCGAAGCTCCCGCTCCTCGATCCCGAATATTTTGAAAGCGCAAATGGGGAGGGGGTTAACGCGGCGCGCGTAGCGCGTCTACTTACCCCTCGCCAGAGAGAACTTCATATTACATAAATTAATTATATACATATATTTTTTTAATTCAAGATTTTAATTCAAGTACATACATATTAAATGTTATATATTAAAGCTGCCCCAGCAGTCGATCTCGAAGAATGGATGTAGCACGGACCAGGGGTCGGTCGTATTTAAAATAACATTATTTAAAATATGTATTTTAAATAAGAAAAAGTAAAAAGTTATTTAGCTTATTCTAAATTTTCTTCTGATCTATTTCTTATTTAATATTTTAAATATATTTTTGAAATCTATTTATATTTTTCATTTTAAATAAGTTGTATCAGTTTTTTATTGACCTCTGCGATATTTTATTTTAAATAAGTTTCTGGAATCTATTATACATATATATTTGTTATTTTAAATAAGTTGTGTCAATTATTTTACCGACCCCTGGCACGGACACGTCCACATTCTTGTGCTACGATTTGATCGACAATGTTATAAGATAGACGTGGTACGTAGTTCCTTTTTTGAAAACGTGGGGCGCTAATGTACGGAACCCGGCGTGGCCTCTCTCACGCTTCTCTCTGGTTGCGTCCTGCCGCGAGTGTCGCGTCGTTCGCGGAAGAAGACAGGATCAGTGACAGGACAGGAGCCTGGAGCGGTTTGACGTGTCGCGTAACGGAGCATCCAAGGAGCGTCGGGGGGGCGGTGTTGAATGGGGAATATGTTGGACACCCGCCTCGAGACGTACAAATTAATAACTGCTGCAGCGTAATTCAGTATATCGCTGCACATCTGACCGTCCGCTGTGTTGTTTATTCAAATGCGGCGACTTACTTCACGGCTTGCGAAGTAAATGATAATAAAACGGTGCGAAGCATGAGAAGCAGTACCCAAGAAGCTGCATGCAAATTGAAAAATGCGACGACCTCGAAGACGAGGGAAAAGGAAGAGAGTGCGACGTATGTAAAATTATAATTTCGTCGGAATTAACATAGTTATGTTAATTACTGTTTCAATGCGTCCAAATTCTGTTGTTTTCCAAAGTATTATTTTTTTTAAATCGAATTGTATGAAAATTATTAAAATGACAGGAGGTGTCGGATGTTTGTTTTTTTATCTTACTCTTGACAAGTATTTTCCTAAAAGATTATGTCGTATTTTTTATATTCTTTCCTGAAAAAAATGTTCTTTATTAGTAATAACTGTTTATTACTGAAAATATGAAAATATTATTCTTTTGTAGGAAGATTGATAAGAGAAGATAACTCGTGTGGTATTAATCGTGTATATTTTCGTATAAGACCGACTGACTTGTTTTCCGCTTTGCTTTTCGGCTGTCGAGTCGATCACTTCCTTTCGGCATGATCGTAACGTGTACCTGTTTACGTGTACATTATAATATACCGTCTATCACTCCCTCATCACGTGCCTGTCCCATTATATTTACTATACTTTAATATGACAGATTAACGTGAAATAAGTAAGATAATAAGATCACAACAGTAATTGTAGACTGTTTTTATGTTTTTAGAGACTGGTGGCTTATGTTCGGAGGTATAACTGTGCTTACCTTAATCACCAGATTTTACAAAGTCACAGAACCTCAGCATGTGTGGTAAGAGACATCGAGTATTCTTTTGCTAATCTTATTTACACCCATTTTCGTAATATATGGTTAATAAAAAAGTTAGGTTAACTAAAAAACTTAAAAGTTAATTAAAACACTTTAATAAACTTATAATAAACTAAAGATTATGTGTACATCAGTTGAGGTGGCATCAAGTTAACTTGATGGTTAAGTCCTAATCAAACGTTGTTTGACACAACAATAAACTTCTGGGTAATTTTAACCTTTAGATAACCATACATTGTGAAAAGGGCCTTAGGCTTTATTAACTTTCTTTTAAAGAGAGAATTTTCTCAAAAATTTATTCTGATTTTTAGTTGGGACGAAACACACTTTGGCAAAATGGGCAGTTGGTACATAAACAGGACGTTCTTCTTCGACGTGCATCCACCTTTGGGAAAGGTAAATTGTTCAGAAGAAATTTTATCTAGACTAGGCAGAAAATTCAGCTGTTCATGAAACTGAAAAAAAAATATTTTATGCTCTATTTTTTAGATGCTTATTGCTTTGTCCGGGTACATGACTGGCTATGATGGAGCGTTTGCCTTTGAAAAACCAGGAGATAAATTCGAAAATGTCAATTACGTTGGCATGAGAATTGTAAGTTAATCAAGCTCTTTTTCACAGTTGATATATAAAAAACAAGATCCGTCAAAGGATTTACAAAACTTATCGAAGGCGTTAGAGCTGCGAAAATTTAATCGGAAACATTTCCTGTCTTAGTTCTGCACAATTCTGGGCGCAACCACAGTCCCTCTGTCGTATCTTATTGTATGGGACCTCACCAAGTCGATTCGCGCCTCTGCGCTTGCTGCCTTCTTCATCTTGTGCGGTAAATTATATAACATTCGTATGATATAAATAATTTTGAATTTTGAGAATAACAAAATGATTCGTTTTTTCTGCTGCAGACGTAGGACTGTTGACGTTGAATCAGTATATCCTGCTGGATCCCATATTACTGTGTTTTATGATGTGTGCGACATGGGGCATGGCGCGGGTAGCGTCGCTCCGAGATCGACCGTTCACGCGGACCTGGTGGTCGTGGTTGTCGTTCACCGGTGCCTCGCTCGCGTGCACGATCAGCGTGAAATTCGTCGGCCTCTTTGTCGTCCTACTCGTGGGTCTTTACACCGCGTACGAGCTCTGGCGAGAATTGGGTGATCTATCCAAGCCTATTGTGAGTAACTTAACGAAGACTCGATATCAAGGCTTTTTAACGTCGCGAATGCGAGTTTTGCACTTTTGTTACAACTGACATTAATGTTAATGATTAACGTGAGCTATAGTTTTAACGAGTTTGCGATACTGTTAATTTAATAATTAGTAAGGGACCGAATGGACGATTAAGTTTCCAAAAGACGATTTCGATTTTGCTTTTTACAGTCTTATGTGGGGAAACATTTGTTAGCAAGGTGCTTTTGCCTCATCCTATTACCGGTTTTACTTTACATGCTATTTTTTTACATTCATCTTTCCGTTTTAAACAAAAGGTAAGAATTATTGCGTACGAAATACAAGATACTTCCTTTTCTTCCTATTAATGTCAAATATCTTCATGAACTTGATATCAACAATTTTTCCTTTTATTTTTTTTCTCAGAATCTTCTGTATAATACGTGTAAGTTACAGTTACATGTCCAAATTAATTTGCAAATTGTTTTACTTAGCGGAAGTGGCGATGGGTTCTACAGTTCCGAATTTCAGTCGCTGTTACGCGGAAATTCGTTGTATAACGCGACGATGCCGCGACAGTTAGCGTACGGCGCCACTATCACGTTAAAAAATCATCGCACAGGTGGCGGTTATTTGCATTCCCACTGGCATTTGTATCCCGAAGGAGTCGGCGCTCGGCAGCAACAGGTTGTTATTACATACGAGTACTTTATATTTGCCACAAGACGACATAAAGAGTCAAACGTAAACATAAAATGAATTTAGGTAGAATATATAAATTTGTCATCTTGTGAAATTAGTGATGCATATCTTATTTTAACCGAGAAAAGACCGGAAAATGCATTTAATAATAGAATAATAATCTGAGTGGGCGACATTAAGTGAAATCAGGTTCCTCAATCGCTATCCTACGTATCTGATTGCAGATCACGACCTATTCTCACAAGGACGATAACAATCTCTGGCTGGTGAAGAAATTCGACACGGACGTGATACCGCCGGAGCCAGAATTGGTTAAACACGGCGACCTCGTGCGACTGGAGCATGTTACGACGAGACGGAATTTACACTCGCACAAGGAGATCGCGCCGATATCGAAGAAGCACTATCAGGTCACCGGATACGGGGAGGTAAGGTGATTCCGCAACGTGACTCTCGTCGCTGCTTTTTTGGCTTCTCTTTACATCAAATGTCTTTCTTCTTGTCCGTCTCAGAACGGCACGGGCGACGCTAACGATGTTTGGAAACTGTTGATAACGAACGGAAGGGACGGCGACGTGGTGGAGACGGTGACGAGTAAGTTAAAGTTCGTGCATTACCTTCATCATTGCGTGCTAACGTGTAGCGGCAAAACGTTGCCGAAATGGTTAGTAGGAATTGCATTGAATTTAAATGTGTTAATTTAAATGTCCCGTGTAAAACCGACTTTCCTGATCAACTTTGTACGATCAGTTTTTGAATATTTGTGTAGGGGATACAGCCAACAAGAGGTATCCTGCAACCCTAACATGAGGGACAAAAATGGATTGTGGAACATCGAGGACAATCAGTACGCCAAACGTAAGCGAGCGACACAAGCGACCGTCGAATTATATCGCTGAACAATTAAGGCGACGCGTAGTAACACTGTACATACGTATGTTTTTGTTAGTACCAAACGTCAGTTTTCGAGTGTACGCGCCAGGCTTCCTCGACAGATTCCTGGAGTCGCATGCCGTGATGCTGCAAGGCAATTCGGATTTGAAAGTGAAGGAAGGTGAGGTGTCCTCGCGACCGTGGCAGTGGCCTATAAACTACAGGGTGAGCTAACAACTTGTACACTATTAATTGCTCATAAAATATCGTCTGCTTTGTCGCGGCAAATTCTGAAAGAGATCCCTACTCTTCTCCGCAGGGGCAATTCTTCTCCGGGAACAATCAAAGGATATATCTGCTCGGCAATCCCATCATTTGGTGGGGGAACATAGTCTTCCTCGTAATATTTATAGCTCTCTACGTTCACGCTTCCGTGCGCGAGCAACGGGACTGTGCCGACGATGCCCTTCTGCTCGAGCACAGAAGCAAAATAACGCACGCCGGCAAGTGGCTCTTCCTCGGATGGATCCTGCACTACGTGCCCTTCTGGGCGATGACCAGGGTCCTGTACTTCCATCACTACTTCCCGGCGCTGTTGTATAGTTCCATGCTGACCGGGATCACGTTGAATCACGTCATTGAGGGCATTCTGCTGCTGCTGCCCGGCAAGGTGGGGAATACGATGTACCATGTCGCGTTGGGCACCGTAATCTCCGGCACTATGTACAGGTAAAAATTGTCTTTTGTTTAAATTCTAATCTTGCAACGAAATAATTTGTAATACTTATTTTTGTAAATTAAGACTTAATCGAACGTGAGTTTTTATTAAGAAGCGATATAGATCGAATTTTTTACGTATTTTTAAAAATTAAGATTTAATCGAACGTGAATTTTATTGAGAAGCGATATCGAGAGGTAGATCATATTTTTTACTTTAAATTTAAATTACAGCTTTTATCTGTTCTCGCCATTGGCTTACGGGATGGACGGTCCGTCCGCCATGGATCCCGACAGCTCGATGCACTCTTTAAGGTGGATGGAATCTTGGGAATTTTGAAATCCGATTTTAATCAGCGCAACATAAAAGTATTTTATATATGTTTCGCTGTATAATTAGTAATACAGTATCTTTTACACTGTGCTACTATAAGAACACTAACTTAGATCGTCGACAATGACTGAGATATTAGAAAATGCTCATTTTTATTAATGTTATTAATATTATTTCTACAAATTATACATAACGTTTTACAATGTTTTATACTTTTTACAATTTGTTCGTGCAGCATTAAATTGATTTCATAGTACAATCGCTGTTTGAGTGTTTCAGCCGTACCGTAGTTATTCTGTCGAAAACCCGGACTTCCTTTCTTCCAAGAATATCTTCGTAAAGAGCGACACGGCATATTAAGATAAAACTGCATTGTACATCATGTTTTTTGATACCGCTGCCGAGATTGTCTCGTGACGTGCCCAGTCTGATGCCCCTAGCGATAACATCACTCCGCAGCAATATATCATCTATTCATATCGTAATATATTGTAACGATAATACGGCTATGTATATATAATATACATACGGAACATATATACATAGACACACTTGCTGCGAGATAAGCTTCCACCATGCTCACTTTCAGTCACACGTATAGCTTACCTATGAATGTACCACGTGCGCGCTATCTCCAGAGCCTGACTCTGTGAAACTCGCCTTGAAGACCATCATCGTATCTACCAAAATCTAGCCGGATGCCGGTTGTTAAATGATCGCTTATAGAATTATCGCGGAGACATGCGGGTCAATGAGTGGTAATATATATATACATCTGAGCGACGCGTCGCGTCACGTCGGAGAGAACGCGTGTATGCGTATATACACGTATGCGTTTTTATCGATGACGAAAGCGCGTGGGTAGTCGGCAGGCAATGCTGGGCTTCTTGCTCCAATAAAGTGTAAGTTATCGTTGCAGCGAGATATAGTTTCGAGAAGGAGAAAGATTCATACGGTTAAAAAGATCGAGAGCAGTGCTGAAACGTAATTCGATGGAGCGTAGTCAAGCTCAATGTACAGATCAGTGTGAAGGAAAAAGCATTCAGAGAAGCTTGAAAGCTTCGCGATGAATAACTTCAAGCTCGAAGGCCTCTTCTGCAAAGCTTCCGAGCTTGACGCGGCTCGGCCAAAGGGCTCGGCCGAGTTCAAAAGCTCCGCGCTTTGAAAGCTGCCGCACGCGAGCTCGCCGCGCGCGCACGCGCGAGCTTTCGCTATCAGTGATAAGGAGGGGACGCACGCGTATCTCGCGTCGGCCCTCGCGGTATCACCACCGCCACCACCGCCTCCGCCGATGACGACGATACTGAGGGACAGGGCGAGACGCGCTCACGGATACTCGGTCAGTGCGCGCTTCCCCGCGCCGGCGGCCCGCCGCGAGATATTCGTCCGGACGTGGTCGGTGCCCAGCGTCGCGGTGGACCAGCGGATGCCGCAATCAGCGGCGCGTCGGCGGCCGCTCGTGCCCGACATATTGCGGGCTCGCGAAAATAGGTAGGGATAACGAAATCGCTCGTGAAATTATCAGTGAACTCGCGGAAGAGAGATACGATCTGCTCCGCTTTAAAACAGGAGCGATTGCGATCGCTCGTGCGTGAGCACTTGTTGCTGTTGAATCGCGCGTCACGGCTGGACCTAATCTAGGTGGAGAGCTTTCACCGTCAGACGTCGGTCTAGCTCGTCCCCTCGCGGACCTCGTGAGCGTCGCGACGACGACTTGCGCAACGCGTCGCGTCAACGCGCGACGCGTCGAGAGCGTCTTGTGCATTCGAGGCGAATGAAATAAAGACGCGATTATAACTTGAACATGGCATATATAATGCGCGCCGTTGCTAGGATATGATAAAAGAAATTGTGCCTGTGATGATTCTTGTGTCTGCGTTTGTTTTTAAAATAAATCCAATTGCGCTTCGTGTATAGGTAAGTTTGTAGATTTTAATCGCTCTTTTATCCAATGGCATGTGCTATTCTAATCTCCAGATTCGATCTCATCTCGTTATCGATTATAGATTAGAATACGATAAAACAGAAACGCGCTGTATTAGAAATGCGAAAAAAATAATATTGATGACAATTTTATTGTGACAAAGATCGCAATATGAAAAATAAGTTTTCATTTTGTAGTTCTGAATATTGAGAATTAAATTTCATAGGGTGAAGAAAGTTCGTCAATGTTTTAAATTCATTTTCTATTCGAACTTGCTTCGAATAGTCAATGATTCTATTCTCGAGATTCAATCTCGTTATGATTATTGATTAAAATGTGATAAAATATATATATATTCTAGATACGAAATAAGTAATCTTGATTATGCTTTTATTATAAAATAAAGATTATATATAATCTTTATTTTACAGTATAAAAATATACGGGCAGGTAGAAAAAAGCTTTAAATTTTGAGAATTACCTCTAATTTCTCTGAGCATCAGAAATTACATTCCACAGTGTGAAAAATTTTATCAGTTTCTTTTAATTTTCTATTCGAATTCTCGTATTATTTTAGTTTTAAATTGTTTTCTAATTCTAGTAACATAATTCAAATTTGCTTCAAATAATAATAGAATAATCGAACAATTCACTTCAATCGCTGTTCGAAAACGAAGCTGCTCAGATGTACTTTCGACCTTCTGTCATGATAACGTCGCTTTCTACATGAATGTATAATTATAGATTACTTATTGTTAGTCACGTTACTCCGAAACGATAAGCGGATAGATAAATGGAATATCGATATCCAATCCCGTTTTTGCAATATCGAATATCAATTGTCAATGTTTTATTCAATAGCTTCGGCTGCCCAAACCATGGATAGCTCGATTTTAATTAATCCGTGATACATGCACGGCTGTCATTTCGCGATCGCGGTTTTTTAACTAACAAATCTCATACTAGCTAGTACGGCTCCGCAATCGTCGATTCACCGATACCTCTTCTTATCGAGTACGATTATGAGTCACGCGATATTTTCGACAGAAAAGTCCAGCTTTATCTCTGAGCATTTACGTTACATTAAATTCGATTCGAGGCTTTTATTTATATACATATTTCTATAGTCCTTTAAATATCTTGATTAATATTTTGCGTTAATAAACGCCAATTTTTCGCTTTGCGAATGAGAACAATTTTTTATAACATATTGCGTGTATAGCACGGTAGTTAAATTACTTTTTGCTGTATATAATTCGCCGATTAATAATCGCCGGCGAAAGCCAGTAAAAAGCTTTTGTTTCCTCTCTTGATTTTCTACGGAAATTTATTAACTTTATGGGTTTTACGCGAATTCAAATAAAATCTGCAGTTTAGTAATCCCACGACTTTAATTTTTGCGCCACATATAACGTATAATGGTAATAAATTCGCGGAATGAATTTTTCTGCGTTACGCAGAGCCGATTCATCGCGTGGGATCTTGACGCGAGAGTGCAAAATGATCTCGCGAACAACGGGCTGAAAGAAATCGTTCGCGACGTTCAACATTCACGCGTCATTCACGCGTTTCTTCGACGATAAGCACGCAGCGGGCAAGCTTGTTGCTTCTTGCTTCGAGCCGCAGGAAGTGTGAATTAACGATGGAATCTGACCTACTTGGCGGTGCATACCGTATACTGCTCCTTCAATCTCTTAAATGAGTTATATAAAATTTACCCGTCAGTACGCGAGGAGGCAGTCGGATGCGATCACTTCCGAGCGCGAGGGAACGCCGCGCCGTGGACTCCGTTTAAGTGGTGGTTGAACGGGTCTCTCGCGAAGATCCACGCGTCTCTCTTCGACGGGAACTTATCGACTTACCCCTCATGCGATGCGGAGCACGAGAAGATACTCTTATTTATAGGCAGAAACGCAAGAAAATATTTTCTACCTGTAGTTTATCGATTGAAAGCTCGACGCTGCGCCGCCGCGGGTGGATGTAAGCGGCGGAAATGGAATTGTCACGGATCAAAGTTATTTAAGCCCTAGAAATCTTGAAATAAATAGAGAGACATTTATGTACAAGGCAAGTCCCTTGAGATGTCAAAATATGATTACAAGGCAAAATGATCGTATGGTGAAAATAACAAAGAGACAGAGATTGAGTAAAAGAAGAGACTGTTTAGCCCGCTGACTATTTAATTGAAGACAGTCTCTATATTAGTGTTTCTCGCTGTTTATCGATTGCAAAATTTATATTGCACAATCGCGGAACGTGTTATATCAATTACGCACTCGATAAGAACTGATAACATGTTATTTATTTTGCACCAAGCACGCTTAATGAAGGCGTCCTTGTACGAAGATCAAACGCGAAGAGACCCATCTAACGCTAACCAGTACGTTTTTCTGCGCGAAATTCAATCGTACGTTAATTCAATCGTCAAAGAAATGCGCAAATATATATATATTGTCATCTGAGCTATTGCGATTAAGAAGTTTTTCTACTTTTAAATCGAAAAAAAAAGAGGAAATGAGAGGATTCGTCCTTCGATCGCGCGACGCATCTTGCATTTTTTACGAGTTGCACTTCCTTTCTCTCGCAGTAGCTTTTCGAATCGGACGGACACCTTCCTTATGTAGCAAGACGTCGGAATATGCGAGAAAGCGCTTTAGCCGTGCTGCTGGCATGGACACTTGCGGCCCAGCAGGGGCTGTGCGGCAAGTTGGAGAAGATCGCCCAACAACCGAGCAACGTTCTGGTGGATTATTACGCCTATCGTCACGTCTCGATCATCCACTTCAATGTGCCGGAGCGTACCGTCGCGGTCGCCTTCAAGTACGTATCGAATTGAGAAAGAATCGATGGGACCTTCTTCGAGATCTTGCATTTAACGCGTGCGATTCGATGTATCTGTAGCAGATTTTGTTCCCTTCCTATTTTTTTTTCTACAAATTTTATTTACCTTTAATTAGTTTTCTTTAATTTTTTAAGCGATTGTAAACATTTCTATATCTCTAAGTTATTTTCGTACATATATATTCTAATGAGATCATTCGATGTCAACGGAGAAAGATGAATATTTTATTCCTTCAACTTGTTTTTCGTTCACGGAAAGAACAATTTTGCTGAATCCAGATCTGAAAATAATTTTTATTCAAGAAGCAAAATTATTTTGTACGAAAGTCAAAATGATTGCTAGAATATCAAAACGTTTTATAGCAATGCTTATCAGTTTTAACATTCCAATAAATTATTTTGATGATTCAACAAAAAATTATTTTCAGATCTGTTTTTAGCAAAATTTTTAAACCTTTCAACAAAATCGTTCTTTCCGTGAATTGAAATAAAATTTTTCGTTATCCGTGTATGTTTTTTCCTTTGTGTCCCTTGTGCATGAAGCTATTCCGTCGCGCTTCAGATTCACGGCGAAAGAAGAGAAGACTGGCGGGATAGGTAGATGCACGCCGCTCAACGTTTCGTTGCATCTTAAGTCCGCCAGTCTGCCGTTCGTTTGTCCTGACGGGTCGAAGGTGGCCGCGAAGCTGATGGACGCGAAGAAACGTCGGCGACATTACAGCCTGGAGATGCAGAGCAACGGCGAGCAATATATAATCAAGATAGAGGCTCCATCAGCGGGCGACTGGTACGCGATCGCCTTCCGATCCTGGACCGATCCTGAGGACGGAAAGATCAAGCAGCAAGGTAGTTGAAAATGCAATTTATTATATCTCCTTCAATCAATGAAAAATCGAGGATAAAATAAAATTACATCGGTCGCTTGCGTATAAATATTTCATTTTATAATGAACATTCTTGTAGCTTGATATATCTTTCAATAACAGCAATATTTCTAAAATTTTTTCTTTCGATAGAGAACACTTTTAAAGAAAATTTTAAAGAAAAATTTTTTCTTTCGATAGAGGACACTTTTAAAGAAATATTTATGCTATTTCAGAAATATTGTTGTTTTTCGATATTTGTAAAATGAAAGACTATTTTCGCGAAACTTGAAGAGATGAAACCGGATTTTGTCAGCTTCCGCTGCGCTCTTTAGAATTAACGGGAAACTGTTTGTTCACAGGTCTCAGTGCGTCCTGTGAGACCGTGATGGACGCCGAGATGTTCGTGGAGATGCCGACTACGACGTCGTTGGTGGATCTTGAGGTCGAGTACAAGGTGCAGCTGGACGAGATCTCCGACACGGCGATAGTGCAGTACCTCGTGCCGGACGTCGGTCTCGAGGAACTGAGACTGTCCCTGAAGTCGTCCTGCGAGGACTGCAGCATTGCCGTCCACGTCACGGCGGAGGACAATCTCGCCGATGGCTCGCTCAACTCCACGGCGACGACGCTATCCTTCAAGCCTTACGCAAACGCCTTCCACTACGTGACCCTTCGTCTACTGTCGGGGAACGCGTCGAACGTGACGATGCAGCTGCCGATGAGCCGCCAAACGGACGTCGGGATCGATCAGGTGGTGCTGTCGAGAAAATCCTTCCCCGAGTTCTTCCTCTTCGACTACGAACACCTGCGCGGCAACGACACGAAGCCCCAGCCCTTCAACGTGACCGCCGACGCTCTCTCCGTCCTTAGCTTCGAGATCGGCCGGGTATACGATGTCGGCGGCACGATCACTCTCGGCTTCAAGCTGATCGACGTAGAGGAGAAGTACAAGAAGAGCATCGTCCTCGTGGCCTGCGTTTCCTTAGGTTGGTTCTCGCATCACTTAAAACGTGCCTCTAATTGATTAATTTTTTTGGGGGTCAAAATAGAACATTTGTCGATGCCTACTTCAGCGAGCTTCAAAGTTTGAGGCTAAACTTTTAAATTATCAGTTGCTTGTGTGGCATCTCATTTTACAGCAAATGTTTGTTTTACGATTCAATGTACATATGTACAATAGTACATAAAAAAAAGTGGCATACATGGCCTATATAAAATTTATTTTTACTAATATATAAGATTAATTTCGAAAATAAAGTTTCTTTCCCACACGCTGTCTCATCCCCTCGTTCCTTCGGAATTCCTTAGGGTACTACTCGAACATCACCTCGGGCGGCGGTTGCGTCCGTGCGCGGAATCTCACGACGGCGGACGTGTACGTGAACGCGACCGAGCCGGCTTACGTGCACGTGCCCTTCCCCGAGGCGGGTACCTGGTACGTCAGCCTGCGCGTCTTCTGCCCCGAAGAGGAGGGAAAGACGATCAACACCAGCAGCAGCACCAGCTCCTGTACCTGCAGCCACGTCTGTCTGCAGGGCGACGTCGCGTGCGAGACGTGCGACTGCCTGCCGCGCTGCCCCGCCGTCCGGGTGGAGAGCGTGGTGTCGTCGTCGCCCTGCGTCGAGGGTCGTTGCGGCAACCACGGCAAGTGCATGCACTACATGAGCGGCGGCTTCGTCTTCTCGGCGTGCCACTGCACCGGCGGCTATCGCGGCTTCGACTGCGCGGACAACACGTACGTCCTCAGCAGCAGCGGCATACTCCTGCAGCTGCTCGCCCTCACCTTCAGCAACCTCGCCTTCTTCGGCTCGATCTACGTCGCGATACGACGCGAGTACTTCACCGAGGCGGTCGCCTACGCCGCGGTCTTGTTCTTCTCCACGTTCTACCACGCCTGCGAGGCCGGCGAGGAGGTCTACAGCGTGTGCATCATGCGGCTGAGCGTGCTGCAGTTCTGCGACTTCTTTAACGCGCTGCTCGCCATCTGGGTGACCCTGGTGGCGATGGCGTCGTTCGGGCCGCGGCTGACCGCTTTCTGCCAGGTCACCGGCGCGATTGTACTCGCGATGGGCGCCGAGATGGACCGCACAGCGCTCTGGGTGTTCTTGCTGCCAGCCGTCACCGGTTCAGCCTTGATCGGGCTGTCCTGGGGACTTAGGTGCAGGAGGAAGCGCACCCTCAGATATCCCTCACGTCCGTACAGGTGAGAAAGAAAAGTATGAAGAAGAAATCGATTTTTACTATCGAAACAGAATTTAAAAACGTTGCATAATAGAATGACTTCTTGATAAAGTAAAAATTAAATTATGTAATAGAGACGATCAAATAGGAGATTAAATAGAACATTGTAATCTATAATAAGGTAGAGAAGGATAAATAATAAGGCATGTATCGAAATAATGAAATTAAGTCAGAGGTTTTATCTTTTCATACGCGAACGAATGTATTATTTTTTCATTGCATTTTACATTCTTCTTGCTTTATTACAACACAAGATATTGATCGTCTTTGCGACGTTTCTTCTGTTTCTAGGACCATCTACTTTCCGGCCGGAGTTCTTCTCGTCACTCTGGGCCTCGTTTGTTACGCGTTCCTGCAAACGCGCAGGAATTATTATCTCGTTCACAGTCTGTGGCACATCTGCGTGGCCATAGGTGTTATTCTACTTCTGCCGAAGCGCAAATGCATGAAGTGATGGTCAAAGGGCCCACGTACGCATCCAGAGGAGATTCGACGAGAGACCGGAGATAGTATCGAAAGATGTGATAGTAGGTAAAACCAAAGTGACATCAGGGAAATTATTACAATACAAACAGATAGGTATCATTGACAAATCGGCTTTTGTACGAAAGGAATCGCCGGTCTTAGTTGACGTCTCTCGCGCGAAGACATCCTTGAAAGTTGTCATATCTCGAGAGGATATCTTAAGAAAGAATTATTTATTTATAATTTCATATCAATTTATATCGAAAATATTATTATTAAAGTTATCTTGTTAGGTTGAAACTTAAAATATTCCCTTCTTTTTCTCGTTAAAAAGTTTATTACTCGGTTTTATCGTAGAGACGCGTGATTCGCTTCGTAGAAAAGTTGTTCAATCGATCGCGCAAACACACGACACTTTTACGCATATATACATATATATATATATATCAGAGATATTATTCTTCTAAAAAGCATCGGCAGTCTGTAGATACGAGGGCATTCCGAAGACGGAATTAACTCGGTGAAATCTATCAATAATACACACATTTAGCAATAAAATGCGACACAAAGCAAATTCAACGACAGTATTAAATCAAGGTAAGTCGTCCGCGAAAGAGATTCTTGCTCATTTTAATAAGCATTAAGGGAAACCGAAGAAAGTCACATCGATGTTAAGATATTTTCGTTTTTTCATTAAGCTGATCCCGATAGAATTAAAACTCTCTATCGAATGTAAATAGCGAAGTTTGAGAGCCGACACGCGAAAATATCGGAAGAGAATAATTATCACGATTATTGCTGAAATTGACGTTGGATTTTATAAAGTTGTTCCACTGAAGTATTTTCAAAATGCACTGCGACATTCCGAGAGAAATCTATCGATCGCACGAATATTGAATGTATCGCCATACTTTGTTGATTCAGTCGCGACCTGTTCGTAAGGACCAATTCTAAGATACATAAAAAAATGTACGGTAACGTGATGAAGGAACGAAGGATATCTTCGTGCGAATGGTGCTTTTTTTATTCACGCGAACGTTCTCCGCGATCCTTAGTCTTTTATGAATGATTGCACTATTGTTGTAGCACTATATTAATATTAATTTTTAATCATTACGACACTGATAGCATCGCGCTTTCTCGACGTCATTTTGACCGATCGACGCGCTTTGCAAGAGCATTCTGTATTCGATAAGTATACATTCCTCATTGTTACCTTCTCGTATGTAAGAAGGCATTTTTCAATTTTTCTTCCTATCGAATACGAAAATAATTTAGTCTTCATCGACACTGGGTGAAGACAATCTCTAGCGTAGAAGTGTAACTTTTAGGAACGAGTCCTTCTTTTCCTAGGAATCGATACCTCGCACACGAACGTCCTGCTCCGATAATCCGCGAAAGTGAATGAAAAAGTAAAGATACAAATATGTCTCTTATATTTTAAAACTAACAACTAACGTATCTATAGTGCATATAGAAATTATATTCTTCTACGTAAAGCACGTCTTCTACAGGACATGTTAAAAGAAAAAAAAAAAAACAGATTTAAAACCTGTTATCTTAACTTCTGCACTGATTTGCAAATTTTTTCCGCCCCTTCTAGATATTACAAATAGTCCAAATGTTCTCTCTTTTTTGTGCGATTTAACTTTCTAGCCGATAGCGTTTCTAGATAGGAGGATAACGCTCGAAACGGAGTCATTTTTTCAAGTTGCCTTGCACCGTGACATGCCGGAAGAGCGAAATAAAGTGGGAAACCGTCTCGTGTCTTTACTTTCCGATTCATCCTCGCGCCTGTGTATGCGTGCTGTATATAGTCCGGGAAGAGTGTCGCGTGAACATACATATATATATATAAGTAAAATACACCACATCGTCATGGGCAGTGCCTGTACTGATTGTTGACACGTGTTAAGCGCGATGCGCCGCGCGACCGTATCGCGACTCTAGTCGATTCTATTTTCCTCAAATGTGAAAGCCGTATTAGACTATGTAACATTTTCTATCGTGTAGCCGAAGAGAGGAGGAAGAGCGCCGTCACGCTGAGCGCACGTGAGTGCACGGGGGTTTCGCCGAGGGGGATTTCACTTTTGTTAATTTACAAAAAAAAAAGCGTACACACAAACATTCAAAACACCCTCTCACACATACATACAGGTGTAATTCTCGACGAAATAAAGATGAGATTATCGTTATACAAGTCGAATTGGAATATTGCATGCGAAAGCTACCCGAGACTTTCGTCGCTCGTGATAAATAATTGTAAGTACATCTCAATATTGCGTGTTGAATTGTTAACGAACCTCTCATCCTGCCTCTATCCTCGTCACATAGAATGTAGTAGTATACGCGAGATACAACGAGCTATTATTATTATTATTATTATTTTTTTACGCGCCTCTCTTCTTTTTTGCTCTGAATTTAATCTGCTATTTAAATTATAATCGTCCTTCTTTGAAAAGCAAAAATTATATAAAAGCAAAGTGTTACAATAACGAGGAGCCAGTGGGCGATGCGACGCGCGCGTTCGCCACCGCGACGACGTTAGCCAGCAGCGACAGCATCGTCTCCATCGAGAAGCCGCAATGTGGATACGATCTCGAGCAGTTTCTGCCCTTTCTACCGGCCTCCACCGCCTCCTCGATCGCCGTGCCCTGCATGGCCGTACGGAACACCTGGTTAGAGGTGATCGCGTTCACCATCTTCTCGAAGGACGTCGCCTTCCCGTCCGTCTCGTTCCCGTTTACGTTCTCGTTCTCGTCGCTCACCGCGGTGGCCGCCTGCTGCGAATAGGTGCACACCGCGCGTTGCATGCACGAGGTCGTGTCGACGCCGTGGCGGGCCAGGACATCGTCGATCCTCGTCAGAGTCTGGGTGAAGCCATTATCTTCACCTGCATCGAATTGATATATGTGTTACGGATGCTGTAGGAGCGGAATATTCGCGACATGTTGAAAATTCCTTGTGAAATTTGAAGTCAATTCTTTCTCGACGGAAATATGTTGAAAAAAAGGGAGAAACGTTACTCCTTTCAATTTTTATAAATTTTATTCGATCAATGATTTGAATTAAAAATCTACTAAATTTAAAAAATTATCAAATGTACTCTATTTTCAAGGGCTTATAACGCGAAAATTAATGTTAATAATGAAGAAATGAAGAAATCAAAGTCTCAAAGTTTGTGGGAAAGCTCTGTAAAATTTAAAATTTGTGAGATCTTTCCCAAAAATTATAGAAGAAATAAAATGAGCAGAATTTCTCTCAATATAGATTTTACAAGTGAATGAAACACTCACTTCTCGCGTAAGCGCCATAAGTGCCCGACAGGATATAAAGCAGTTTTGGGATGATCAGGATCGATCCCACGCCTATGATGGCTCCCAGGAGAAGCCCGCCAAGATCTATCTTCGCCGGCGCATAAGGGGACACGCCGCCGTAACCCTGATTCGGATTTAATTGACATAATTTTAATTCAATTGCGCCACAATGAGTTTCCAAGATCACGTTCGCTGCCCATCACGCGCCAGCGCGTGATGAGACTCCTTCGCAAATAGCAGGTCACGCACCAGCGCATGATGGATCTCTCGTTTAAGTATAACAATTTTTGTTTGAAATTGGCTTCCAGAGGTATTCTTTTAGATGGGCAGCGAACGTGTTCAATTATTATATTAAAGCAAAGTAACATTAATTACAGCAATTTTTTTAAATAAAAATGTAATAAAATGTAGAAAAACAGTAGATGAAAAAGAAGAAGCGTGACGCTCTATGTCCCTATTTTATAGAGTAGATATCTATAAAATACGAAAGAAATAGAAAGAGAAATCCGATTCAATACTTACGCTCCCTGTACTTCCAATATTGGTGAAACCAAATCGCGCCTCCTGGCCGCGATCCGCAATGTCATTCGTCTCGGATTCACGCTTCGACGCTTCATCGTGCTGTTTAATCTGAGACGACGGCATAGCTACCTGATCCTGCGCCTTTGCTTGCTTGTCCATGTAACTGATGGAGCTTGGCATAAACCTATCGATAGATCGTGCGAAGGTAGACATTACGGATATTTTAATGATAAAAAAAAATTATATTAATTCTCTCTTTAGATATCTAAATACTTTTTAATTATTGAGATTCTGTTGAATGTCCTTTTAAGTACCTTTTGTTTCTGCGACATTTAGAAAAAAATATTGGAAAAAATATTAGCTACATTGTATATTACAAAAAAATTTAATTTCACCGTTAAAATGAAACTTACCCTCCATCATCGAACTTCGGACTGCAGTTAACCAGAATGGCGAAACAGCTTATTGCCACGGTTAAACTTTGCGAAATACAAAACATCTGAGAAAAAAATTACAGATGACAATAAATGAATAAATCAATGATAAACATATCATATTAATACATTTATAAATGTATAATTAAATACCGATAATATTTGCGTGTTTAGTGAATATTTGGTAGTCTAAAATGTTCCACATGAAAACACATTTTTTTATGGACAAATTTTATTTAATTGTCGTCGAAAATAGATGTTCGAGTCGGTAATTATGTTACTTGGACGAAGACATTCCTAAAGTGTGTCGATAGATTTCTTTAGAACACCGCAAATATCGCATTAGGGCGAATCAAAAGAATAATTTTGCCGAATACATTCGCATGACACACCGCGAATATGAACGTAATTATTCAAAGTGGATCGAGCAAATACCTTCGGTGGCGATAAGGGCGAAGCGAAATCTCTAAGACGCAACGTGGAAACTGAGGTATGTCCTAGAATGAGAAGATATGGCGATTCAGTGTCACGGACTGGCTGCGCGGTGCCTGCTTACTGGCATATATAGCCGCAGCTCTGGTCGTCTGAACACGACAAGTCGCGGACGATAATTGAAGCCTCGGTTTCGCTTTCATTGTTAGGTCTTCGTGGTGCATGACGTCGCCCTGTCGTCGCCTTCGCCGTCGCGAGCGAGGAGAAGGCCGTCTCTTCTTCTCCTGCAACGCAGGCTGCAGCAACCGCGCGTCGTCGCCGCTCGAAAAGTCCCGAGGCTGAAATAATGGCCGGCCGCCAACAATGTCCTCTTAAGACGTTCACTGGCTCTTGACATGCGAGATTTCGCGACTCCTGTCTCTCCTGTCTCGCGACTGACGTGTTCTCCTCTACCATGTTACGACTTCCCGCCGCGCGTTACGAAACGCGCGCAACCTCGAGGGTAGTTACAACTCGCATCTGCCTAATTGTTTTGTCAAAGTTGTCAAAGAGCGCTGTTGTGCAATCGATAATTTCATTTGGAAAGATAAAACTCAATTTTAATAACCGTTAATGTGCGCAATTGAACAGAATAATATTGGCACAACTTATAAATTACCCTTTGGATAATTCGAATTTTGCGAAGAAAGTAGAATAACTCGATGGAAATGAAAGTACATATGTATGTAACAGAAAAAAGGAATTAAGCATTAAAAATTTGTAGAAGAGTTTACAAAAAGGAAGCAAATTTCAATTTATGATAAAACAAAATGAGAGGAGTATCAAAAGGATTTATAAAATCCTGGATTTATAAAGTCACGGAGATATGAAACTCAAAGAGTCACCGAATGAAAGATCGAAAGTAAGATCAAAGAGCCATAAATGCGAAAACCCGTGAAAGCGGAGGTATAAACGGAGGATTCATGCCACGAGATCAACACGTCGGAATCCTTCCGGTGAAATTTTTGGGAAAAGAAATTCCATCTGCGCGCGTCGCACGGTAAAAAATCAGAGCGCCGAATCGAAGCTCCCTTTCGCGACGAGGCTCGCATGTCGCGTTCACTCCCCCGTTCTCGAAGAAGTCCGTTCTGGACGGTGCCCTGGAAAATTCGCCACGAAAGCCACGGCCGGCCGAGTCTATAATTCTAATTTCGTCGTTACGTTCGTGCGCTCTTTTTCTCGCGCCGCGCCGGGTGAAAATTCACGTTTAATAACAATTCGCGAGAAATGGTCGCGTTCATATAATTACCGGGTTCCCTCACTTCTTTCCTTCGGACGCGACGGGATCCGTCGCACACGGCGCACTGTAAAAGCGACTCCCCAGAATGTAAAAGCAATTAATATATCATTATTCTGCAGATCTCGCTGCCTAGGTTCGTTAATTCCGTCGCGAGAAATCAGTATTTCCTGTTTTGATAGGGTCCTGACGAGCCTGTTACGAACGGGACAAATTAGTGGGGGTCCGCTGCACTCGCTGGACGTTGAAAAGCACTCGGGTAGCACAAATGCATTCATTACTTCGCCGGCGGCAGAAAGCCGAGGATATCGAGAATCCGAAAAAAAAGACTGTGTTAACGTTTCGTCCAATTCAACTAATCTCTGAAGAGACTTCGACCGCTGAGGGCCACATCGATGGATTCGACCGCTTTGATTCTTCTACCCTTCGCCCTGTTCTTCGTGCGAGTTATCGGCGACGGCAATGCGCGGACGTTCACGAAGCCTAACGGCCAGAAGCCGCAATTCATCTCGTTTGACACTACAGGTGGAGAGGTCGAGGTGAGTATATCAAAGCTGATTGCGTGGAAATTTTTAGAACACGTATTTGTAAGTCCCAGGATTACTATCATTAATGAATGGATTCTCTTTGATTTCGAGTCATTTCTTAATAATTTGACTTTAAGTTGTTTCGCTTTGAAAGTCTTCAGTCTTTCCGACTGAATTTTCCAGATTAATTGGGATGTGTCGGTGCCCTTTTTCACGATACCGCTGAATCACGTGAGCGAGAGTGGCGAGGTGTTACCACTGCTTAACGTTAACACGAGAGGATTGTCGGTCGCCGGTGTACTAACAGCGATTCTCACTTTCATGGTGCCCCTCTTATCGAAGCCAGGCTCGGGAATGCAATATCGAAGTACGAGTTCTTATTTCCTATTCGCTGCTTTGCGTTAAAATAACAATTCCAATTGATCTGTATCAGGTCTCGACTCGCAATGGTTGCAAGTCGGAGATACGATAAACGAGATCGTGTTTAGCAATCGGTACATCACACCCTGCGTCCAGCGCATCGTTTGCACCGTCGTTTCCGAGGCGAGTCATTCCGACAACCCTACAAGTACGGATAAGATTATCGATGGCTTATCAAGGTATGGCTAATTTTTAATATTATAATTATAATTAATTCTAATTAATATTAAAATTAATTATTATTCATATGTACGTTTGGAATATTAATATTCATGAGATTTTTAAGTACTAATTTAATTCAGAATTAATTAAATTAATAATAATATTACTTTGGATGGAGAAATTGTAATTACTTAGCAAGTGTTAACAAAATTGATAATTTAATAATATATGTAATAAATTTCGCGAGAGTTGGAGAGAGATAATATAGAGGCAAATTGAGACGAGTGATATATACTTAAAAGTAAAAGTGAGATAATTATATCTTACTAGTACCGGGCGATGAAATACGCTACAGTAATTAAATAACGATTAAAGCGAGAGTTTGTTTTTCTGAAAAATTGCCAAGAATTACACTCGTTTATTAAGCTTTGTATAATTAAAGACATTAAAATTTGTGACATATTAATATTTAATCAAGGAAAATTGAATATAGAGATTATTGATTCGAATGGATAAATATGTGCAATATGTTATATGTAAAAAAATTCATTAATTATGTTAGAAATTAAGTTAATCACATAAATTTATCTTAAATGTCCCCAACAGTCACAAATGGTTTAAAGAATACACAAATGGCACGGTCCTTCAGGAGGCTATTAGAACAGGTCGAGAAGGGTACCAAGACTGCGCCCGCGTCTACAAGGAGTGCTTTGTGACACCGAAAATCCTTAAAAATATGATGGCGCAATTCGGCGTAATTTGATGCCGCGACGTATTTGACATTCCATAATTGTAAAATGTAAGAGTATCATATCGGTCACGAGACGGACAACGTTTGCGTAATTTTTTCAAACGATCACACATCGTTTTGTTGCTGAAGCAAACGGCGCGACGTCGCGAATGGCTTTGCGAAAATTTTGCAAAACACCCTCGGACCCGGTGAATCTGTCTCACGTTCAATTTTGAAACTGTCCGCGGCGTAATTTAACGAGCGAGTTACATCAGGACGGCCGATCTTCATTATCCTGATGCACGAGGTGTGAAATTTCGTCGTGCTTAAGAGAAACCGCGCCGCGTTTATTTAGATGACGGCGCTTTCACTTTTCCTTTTACACAAATCACTTCTATTTTGACAAGCACACAATGAGTCTGTCATATATGATTCATTCTTACTTATACTAATTTCGCTTAAAATAAACAATTACGATTTCTTTCATGACAACGCAAATAAAATTAAGAGCATTCGTACGTATGAGCTTTTTCTGCGAATTTTTTTCTTTGAAGTGAAAATATTTAAATTTATTCGAAAAATTGAAGAGACATAAGAAAAAGAATTTGTCAGTAGACAGACATGATATGTGTGTGATTATTTTTTTACTTACAAACAATTAAGATTATTTTGAAAATATATAGTATAAATACATCATCCAAAGAAGCATATAAATATGCAGTAGTATTGTAATCAATAAATTATATTATAAATAATGAGTATCAATTTAAACGATCACAGCTGTTATAAATAGAAGTTATCAGTTGTATATATAGAATTATTGTTATTAATATTATTATGTCTTTAATAGAATGAAATCGAACAAATATCGCTGGTATAAGATCGTACAAAATTAGAATTCGGAATATAAGATTTCGAGGAAAAATTATTAAATTCTTAGGCATTATCCTAAGTATTATTGATTTCTTTATACATATTCGTTCAAAAATGTCTACAGTATACATATACACATAAGCATTTATTGTAAAATATATTTTATTCTATAAACACATATACATTTACCAATTTTAATGGTAATAATATTGTCTATTTGCAAAAAAATAATGTATTTACAATAAATAATACATTACGTCATAGTTTAATTTTGCTACATAAAAAAATATGTTACATTATTATCACAGTTAACTGTGACTTTGCAATCGTGTTATGCACTGTTTCTAACTAAAATTTGAAAAGGCGCTAAAATATAGCATAGATTTCCATCACGCCTGTCCTTTTTAAAAATCCTCTCACATTCTTTTCAGTCTTTAATATCCAATTGCGTCGACTTTTCATTCAAGAAGCTAGCTTTTGTTAAATAAATTTTTCACCTAGTAAGCAATAGATTACGATTAAATTGAAAGATAGGGAATCGCAGTCAGCTCAGATCAAATTTTTTACTCGAAATCCCTTTGAGACAACCGCTTTCAGATCGAGGTAACTAAGACATAGACAGATCAAGATTGTGCATTTGCGTTGCAATTTTGCTGTCGACCGTGTCCTCGGAGACGCCGTTCTGCTTGAAAGGGGCTAACAAGCGCGCGGCACCCGCGGCACGCGCGGCCACCGCGAGATCCGCCGCGGTCTCTCCCAGCATGTCGACGCAGCGCGGATCCGCGCCGTGATCCAGCAGGAACTCAATCGCTTCCGTGCGATCGTGAAGAGCGGCGAAATGCAGCGGCGTGCGTCCGGAAAGGTCCTTCTGCGACAGATCGGCGCCGGCCAGCAGGAACGACTGCAGACGCTTCGTGTTTCCGGTGGTCGCGGCCGTGCACATCCTCCCGCCGATCAGCACAGCGTCGCCGTGAAGATGCGCTCCGCACTGCAGTAGCACCCTGATGATCTAGAAAAAGTCAGTGTGGAAAACGCACTTTCAACGATGGTATTTTCGATGGAAGATTTTAGTCAGTTTATTAAAATGAGGCGATATCTTTTGATAAAGAATGATATCGAGCATTCCGAGATTATCAAGATCCTTTTTGATGTGTATTGTAAATAACACAATATTATCAACAATTTAAAATTTTTTTTTAGATAGAGAGGTATGACAGAGATAAGATAGAAAGATTATGAAATTCGAAATCTAATCTCTTGAATAAATGTCCTCACCTCGTGACGATCGAATTCGATTGCGTCGGTGAGAGGCGTGCGATCAAATCGATCCTTAATGTGAACATTCGCGCCCATCTTTAGAAGACGTCGCACGACTTTTATGTCCCCCTCGCAACAGGCTATGTGCAAAGCCGTTCGGCCATCTGCGTTCGCCTGCGAGATATCCGCGCCCTAAATATAGAGAAAGCCGATTGTAATAATTAATTAATTAATACAAAAATAACTTGTTTGTAATACGCTATAAATTTATATTATTTTTATATTATATCGCACTACGTAATCAGTGTAATCCAGCTTACTATCAACGTGTGTCGGAGACTAACATTTTTTTCAATACAGTTCTATTTTAGTATTTAGTTTCAAGATTCTCTTTGCTAATAATATACAGTGTAAAATATAAATACAAGAGAAGAGGAAACAATATTTAAAAGATATTTGAGTTTTTTACATATTCTTCAGTCTGGTAATTAATTTTATTGAAAGAGATTAATTTTATTGATATAAATAATGAAATTAAGCAAACTGAAGAAATTAAAATAAAATAAAATAACTTACGTATCCTTTTAAAGACTCAAGTTTCATGACGTCGCGCCTGATCACTGCGGCGTTCAGCATAGCCGGGAAGAGGATTGATCCCAATTCCTGAAGCTCCGCCGCCGAGGATAATCTCAAGGACCTAGCGACAGCCTCCACCAAGTCCCAGTCCTGTATGGTAGGCGGTCGGCCGGCGGTCAGCTCGCCCCGTAAATTCGTTTGCATCATTTGCCGCTTGGTCTCTGTGTCCCAATCGTTTTTCGATAAAACGTACGCGAGTTTCGTCAACGCGGCCTCCGGTGTCATGTCAAAGCCCGATATCACACCTGTATTGATAGCGAGTCGTAAATTAAAGTGTATCTAAAATAGAATACACTATCGTAACTTGAACATTATCAGCAGGAAAATATTTATGTTTATAACTCTGTGTCGCGTTTTATCGCCTAAGTTTTGCGTAATATTTTCCACAATCTTAATGCATAATTTTATCGAAAGAGAAGTACGAAATTTAACGGAGAGATAAAGAATGAAAATTATTACCCAGTGAGAAATGATCGCCAATTCGATGTCGAATCGATGTTGAATTAACGTCGATATGATGATTTCGATATCAATTCGTCATCGATTCGACATCGAATTGAAAATCGAGGAAGGAAGTTCAGCTTTGATATTATTTAAAGTTTAAAGTATTCAGGCAAAACCATACAGATTTGAATTTAATCTCTTTCGAATCGATGCTTTTAGCCAGACTGTACGGTATATATACCAGCTTTTTGGAGCAATTTTCCAGCCTCGTACGCATCCGAGACGCATCCGGTCGCGCATTGCGTGATATTCACGATGATCACACCGCGCTTTGCCGCCACGCGAAGCTCCTCGATGATGTCGTCGCGATTTGTCGGGACGTTTCCCATGCCGTAGGACTGTAGCACGACCCCCTCGATGGGCGGTTGAAGAAACACCTTGACCAGATCGGACGTGATGCTGGGAAACAACCGGAGCAGGCCTACGTTTCGATTGAGCGACGCGTGCACGTAGAACTTCTCCATGATACATGGACGGAAAATCGAACGATAGTCCACTGCGAAGGAATATTAGAACTTGAACTCCTTAGAGTGTTGTCTCATAAATTATATCGATCAAATTAGATTTAAATTTGTAACAGCTGCAAACAGCTGATGATAAAAATCGTACAACAATACAGATCGCGTGCATAATAATTCAGTAATATTTCAAGCACTGATTGAATTCTTTTCGTATCGTCCTTTAAAACTCTGGAAAAATCTCAAAAAGATACATTTTGCAGTTTTGAATCTGCGTGGCAAACACCTTCGATCTTGATGTTCGCCGTGGCGAGGGGTGGAAAGTTCGGCGACTGGAAGGCTTCGAAGGACGTCGCGGACGCCTTGCTCGTCCGATTGCCGCGCAGCAAGTTCGTGCCGAAGAACACGCACACCTCGGGTATGTTGTAATTCGCCGCGATCACGAGCGACGCGAGGAAGTTGTCCAGGCCGTCGCTCCTCGTGTCGAAAATCGGCACCTGCGAGCCGGTCAGGATGACGATCTTGCCCAGCGCCTCGAGCATGAAGGACAGAGCGGATGCGGTGTAACTGAGGGTGTCGGTGCCGTGAAGGACCACGAATCCGTCGAAGCGTTCGTAAGATTCCTGCAAAAGGAAAGCTGTGAGGATTGCCTTACAATAACATAATCTAGTTATTGCCGGATAATCCCCGTAATCGTTTATCAAGCTGACACATAGAGTGATATTTTCATAGCAAGTTTAATCACCTGTAACTTGAGGATTAGATTAACTGGAATAAGATTAACTGGAATAAGATTAGATTAACTTGAATTGTTTCAGAAACATCGCGCGCGAAAATTATTTGATATATATTAAAGTGAGCTGAAAAAATTTTTTTTTTTAAATCGATTAGTTAAAGATAGATTAATATCCCCCAAAAGTTAGATTAAAAAAAAAATTGTTTTCAGCCCACCCTAATATATATATATATATATATATATATATATATATATGTATGTATACATTGTGAAGATATATTGTTATTAATGATTACTTCATTTGCCTTTCGAGTACTTAAAGTATTTAGTATTTATAATTTCAAGTATTTATTTATTTTTTTAAATTAATAAATCGAATAAGATTATATTTAAATTTCTTTTAGTTATTCTATCTTTATCGATGTGACTTGAATTAGCATACCTTAATATCGTTAGCAATGCGAATCCACTCATCCATGGTCATATTACTGGAGTCGCAGAGTTTCGTGTATTCGAATACGGTATAAACGACCCGGCGACTGTCGGTTGCGGTCACGCTGCAAGATTAGGAGGAAAGCATTTTTAACATTGCGCAAGGGAAAGCGAAAGGGTACGCGGGGAACCGGTTCACATTCTTCCGCAAATTAGAGATGGAAGACATTTTTACGGTTCACGTTCCCCTGCGGGAAATAATCGAATTGAGGAAAATTGGAGAAATTTCGAATTTCTAATTTCCAGGAATAGATTTATTTTTAAAATCATTAAAATTTCCTTCTATCTGTAAAATTTAGTATTTAATTATTAAGGGTAAATTGAGTAATTATTCTTAAAACGTGCTATATTTATTGTGTAAAAAAATTGAGACTGTAAAGTAAAGACATAAAATACAATTATATTTTTAGAGACAATTTAAATGATTTATTTTTAACGAGTGAAAATTAAGATTCCAGCAAAAATCTAGTTGACAAAACGAGTTTGTGGAAATCATTGTCGACTCATTATTTTTGCATAGGAATTCGCAATTATGATATCTGAAAATATCTGAAAATAATAATTTTTTGGAATACTTACGGCAATACTAGCGGTCCCATCGCCCCGAATCTTTTCTCGGCGTATTCGCGATCATGCAGTTGTGGATATTTCCGTAGATTTTTAACAAACGCATTGTTTATTGGTACCAGCACTAGAAAACAGACACTTTGTTATTGTCATAATATGATAAAGATGGAAATAATTATGACGCCATAACATTATTTTGTTACACTTATCTATTTGATACACGCGGAGCTTTGATCTTGTCATGTTTATAATTTTTTTTAAATTCACGTTCAAAGGTGATTCTGTGGATGAAGATAAAATCAGAGATCTAAAACGAATTGCACAAACCATTCTTCGGAAATAAAATCTGTACAAGAATCTGCACAACATTAACTATATGAATAAAGCGAAGAGCACTACAAGTAAAATTCCGTGAGACGCAAGATCTGTGAAACGATCGAGCTAGAAAAAGAACTGCAAAAAATCAAGGATGTACAAAATTGAAGATTATTCGTGGGACTAACCGAGATTCTTTGGAGTTTCATAAGAAACGAAGATACTCTCGAAGTCAAGGGGACACGTATATATGTACGCGAGGTTTACGGTTCGAAATCTATGGTAATTTTACGGTATAAGATTTCATCATCCTCAGAAATCCACAAGGTAATTTCTTTAATTTCACGAAATAATTGTACCTCCTTGCTCGTTCCTCATCATTCCTATCGTGCCGCCCGTGTAGAGCACCAGAACGCGGCCTTCCGGCTTGTTACCATTGACCATGCTGCCGGTGACGCTTCTTCTGATACCACTTTCCATATTTCTGCCATTGCTATCGTTATCAGGCACGTAGTCTTGTGACCCGCTAAGCAATCGTGACATAATCGTTCACGCGTGTCCGGCTTTCGCGTGCGTGCAGCTGTTCCGATGACTCCTACGAGACTGATTGCTCATGCAAGACCGACGATTGGTGTCGCATGATCTTGCCACCGATAACAGACGTTTGTCAAGGAATTGGTGTATATAACAGTTAGTGGGGATGGATGGAGTCTCATTTCTTAGATTATTTAAAAATTTATATCTATGAATTATTGATTTCAATCTTTTATTTTCTATCGTCCCTAATTTAAAAAATCTTTTATTAAATATTGTTTCAAATTTAAGAAGTGTTTAAAGTCATTGACTATTAAAATTAAAGGAATTATTAATTCAATTAAATTATTAATTGAAAATTCTAATTTGGTAAATAAAGAAAAAGAGATTTTCTTTAGATTTATAATTTTTATCCATTTGGAAAGAAATGAAATGAAAAATAAAACTTGGAATCGTTGTCAAAAATAGAATTTCTTAATGAAAATCAGGTTTATTGGAATACTACAAAACGAGAATTTCTTAACTATGAATAACGACAGACTAAATCTATAATTAAGAGGAAAAAAACGAATAAGTCCCTGTTTTAAATGTAAAAAAAAAACAAGTCTAATAAATGCAATAAAATAATTTAATTCCATAAACTTTGATGAAGAATCATTTTACATCATCTATTTTACGTAATAAAATAAATTTGCCATGAGTTTCAAGCTCAATAAGTATGTAAAAGTCAGTTTTGTAGTCAATCGCTTTTGTAATTTTCTCCCATTTTTCACGTTAAATGGAATAAGTGAATAACAAAAGGAAATATCACCTTGTCGCTTGTTATCATCAGTTAGCAGCCGGCTTATTCGATGGTAATTCACTTTTATACGCACACTATTATAGTCATAGAACGTGTCAATCCTAAGCGCTCAGAAGGCAAATAGCGAATTTTCAGCTGTTCTATAACTATAAGTACGTGTGTGTATGCAATATTTATCATCCAATAAGCCAGTTGCTAATAGACTACGACAAACACCTAGGCGATAAACGATGTTACGTTTCCGTAGCCAAGAAAGAGCCATTGTGAAATAACGAATATGTTCTATTTTTGTGCTGCTCATAATGGAATTTACGATATTTAAAAAATCTCACCTATTTATTTTTTTTTCTATATATTGAGTATTTCATTAAATTAAAAAAATATGGATTTTTGTTTGCAAACTATACAATGAAATAAAATAAGTATATGCAAGAAGAAACGATTAAATTATTTTTTATTTATAAATTTTTTAAATACGTTGCTACGCTTACACGTGTAAAAGAAAGCACAGGTCAATTTATTCTCAAGATAAATATCAAATGTTGTTCTTAAAAAAGAAGAGAGAATAAAAACTGCTATCAATTTTTTATCTTTTTTCCTCATTAATTTATTATATTTTTATGATAAATCGATTTTAATTAAACGGTTTCTTTCGACGACTGTTTATTATTTTATAATATCGTGCAGCTGTCATAGCGGAATATAAATAACCGCGGCATATGACAACTCAAAATAAGCTCTGCCAATATTGTTATAAATATTTAATTAGGATTCCATTTAAAACGCGGGTACTTGCTTGGTGATTTGTGATTCTCGAAGTATCAAAATAGATCTTTCAATAACTATTTGAAATTGATAATATTCAAAATATATTTCATAAACGCCAAAAACGAGCGAAGTAATTATTAATCGTAATTATTTATTAAGGATACGTGATTTTCTGATATCATATATAGTTTTTGTTAAAGACTTCTCTCTGGCTCGACCTAATATCTCGATATCTCGAAAGTCGACGATTTCAACTCCAATTCATTCACAAACGCGTTGCCAACAGCTGACTGAGCTGACGCGTCCACACGACTCCACACTCGTCGACCGGCCATCATCGCGATGAAATCGGAGCAATCGCGATGACGACGGTGAAGGAGAGACTGGAGGCGTACAGGCGCAGGAAGCGCAGAGAGGAAACGATGGAATCGGTAAAGAGCGTAATGAGAAACATGTTTTCGTGGAATCGTAAAGACGGAGTTGAGAAATCCGCCGAAGAATCGACGAAGGAAGAGCGGGTGAGGTTACATTCCGTGGTTACATTCATGGGGTAGGGGGGCAAAAAGGCGAGAGCTTTACAAAAAGAAGTTTTAAAGATGTATTTAAAAATATATATTTCTTTTTCCTTTGTTTCTCAAGGCAAAACTGTGCGAACAGTCAGTGGACGTCGAGGAGGACGTCCAGGAGGACGTCCAGGAGGTGGACGAGCAGCCGGAGGAACAGCAGTCGCGAGGCAGAGTGATGTTAAACCGAGTAATCTATTTATTATACTTTTTGTTGTGGGCCACGTTGTACGTGATCGCGTTGGAGTACCAATTCGGCGCCGTCTACTTCGTGCTGTCGGCCCTGGTCTTCATCTGCTTGAACACCAGATCCGGGCCGAAGCGGCACGGAGAACCCAGCGCCTATTCCGTCTTCAATCCGAATTGCGAGGCGATAGAGGGTACCCTCGACGCGTCGCAGTTCGAGAAAGAAATAGGATACGGTATAGGAAGGGCATGATGAAAAATCGAGATGAATCAGTAAAGTGTGAATATGGGTTTGAGAGGATACTTACATTTCAATCTATTTAATGTCGTTACTGGATTCAATATGATGTGCGAGATGAGTGTGCAATGCAAATTTTGAATAAGTAGCTTCCGATTTGAAGCTGAGTAACATCACTCGAGTAAATGCCTGTGGCAACATATTTGGCTCCTCGAAAGTTGTATATATGTATCTGGAAGTCAATACTCTTATTTAATTTATTTCGATTAATTTGAAAAGAATCCAGCGTCTCTTATGTCATGCGGGGTACAAATTACGTATATAAATTCTGTCGCAAAGTTTTATAGTTCCAGATATAAAATGTGATATGTCGAGCATATGATAGGCATACGTATGACAATATAAATAAGTATTATATCACGTTACTTTTGTACTTGTATAATATTTTTACAGAGAGATAGAAATATATATTTTGTTTTACGTTTAAAATTGTAATTGTTCGTAACTGGGCAAGCAATGTAAAATAATATAAAGCAAAGCAAACGTCAAAACGATTTTGATATATTTTTATAATACAGAAACGAATAGATTCTAGATGGAGCTATTCTTAAGAGAATCGCTAATTCAACTCGTTTTGCCGTTTGCATTGCTTTAGAAAACAACTGATCGTGAGACTGAGAAAATAACAAAAAGTATATTGTCAATATCAGGAAGTATGTGTTTTGTAACAATTAATATCTATGGTTGATATATTTTTCGAAGTTCTCTTTCTTCGAGAGTTTCTCCTTATCGTCTTATCTTTCCTGCAGAATTTGTATAGCGTCCTCGTAACATTTCGTCATCTGCTCGAGATAGTCTAATATGGTAGATTCGCGCGATAGCTTGCGAAACGTCGCTAGATCGGTTCTGGAATGCGAATCGGTTTCGTCGGGACACAGAAGCGCCTTGTCTAAATCCAAAAGCAGATCGTTCCATATTCTCACGTGCAGCATCCTAAAATATACACCGCCGCATTGAAATATAATTCTGTAATCTTGTATTATCACGTTCCGAGAAAATTTTCCCAATAACTTTAATTCTAGTAACCTTTATGATATCCGTAAAAAAGAGAGAGCGTCATTAATTTCATTCAGACTCATTCAGATTGTTAATTAATTGATGATTTAATTTATTTTAAATTTATTATACTCACTGGGTATTATCTGTCGCATTGATTTCTGCATTGAAATCTTTTATGGCTGTAAGTAATATTTTCAACGTTCTCTTCAGATTCTCTGAAAGCGTAAAAAAGCAACGATTAATTCAAGCTCTTTAACTTTTCCGTCAAAAATTAATAAAATAAAGAAAACGAAAAATACCTTTCACGTCTTGAAATCTATTGAGATCGATAGACTCCAGTATTTCATTAACGGTTTCGTTAAGATATTTCGGTTCCCATTGAATAACTGTACTTTCAGACAGTCGCCACATAGTTTGGCTAACCATCTGCGTCAGAGTTACATCGTGCAGTCGAGAATTTTGATTGTAATGACTGCGTGCAGGGCTATTATCATTCTAAAAAAAGCAGATGAAAATTGTTCTAAATTATTCTCGATTAAACGTAAATAGATATTTAATGAAATATTTAAAAGTCTTAACTACATTTTGTAATCTAATAAAATATTTTAAATCTCTCTTAATTTAGAATCTAATAGAGCGATAAATTTTATTATACAGAAAATAAATGTAATTCATTGAATTTCGAAAGCGCTAAACCTTTGCGCGAAACGAAACTACTTACGAACGAAAACATCACTTGCGGAATATCCAGAGACAGGCGAGGACCGGATACTTCGTGCTCGAGGTATGACCAGTTACTATCGCCGGGGATTGTCTTGATAGCTTCGACAGCTACGGACCGCATGATGTCCGAGCCGGACAAAGCCACGTGACTGTTAGCTGAAATCAAATAGTTCTTTACATTACGTTCTGCATATCGGTGGTCGTAACACGCGAGTAATGGAAATTCAATAAACCTCGTATGAAACGACCGTGGACCGTCGCGTAAGCCACGGCCTTTCGCCACATAAACGTAGGTAGAGCCTGTGGGCAAACGTCCGAGGATACAAGAGACACGCAGAAAATTAGGCTTCGTCGTGGTCGCCAACCGTGCGTCGAATAAATTTTATCCAGGACTCGCGCCAATTCCAGAGCTACTGCGATACCGTCTTCATTAACGGACAGAATAACATATCTATCTGGAACAGTTCGGTGGAATAAATGGACGAAGTCCTATAAGGTAGAAGAAGAGAAAAGAAAAAAGAGGCATTGTTTTTCAACTATGTAAAGTATATCAATGATAAAATATTTGATACATGATCGCTTTAAAGATTATTCCATGTGACTGCGTGTGAATCATATGTTAACGTAACCAAAGATTGCAAAATGTTTCGAGAATATACTATATTAAGTAGAGTGAAAAATCATTATATTTAAAAAAAACTTAAAAATTATACTTAAAAAGGAAGGAAAATCTGTTTAAAAAATTTAAGAATCGATATAGCACAAGATCTTCATTTCCGAGTAAATCTAACTAAGTAACGCTTTATAATCCATTAAGAAATTCACCTGGTTCCCGCGAGCCGCGAACAGTCGCGCGAATGCACGATGCATGGTTGGAGACTTTGTGAATGAGTGACAAGTTGGAAAAGAGCCCATTGATGCGTCGCATATCCTCATCCAACGTCTGTCTATTTCTAATCGAAAATAACACGCGAAATCACTTATTAACCAGAATAATTTAATTACATCATTTTCAATTCTGGAAATTTCCGTAGAGATTAATCTAATTACGGTGTCATATTCCGATCGTCGTACATAAACAAATCGAATGAATGAGATATAAAACAACGTACGTCGTGCGATCGTAGTCGAACGGCGCCCTTTCCAATTCCAGGAGCGCCAGCTGCTGAAGATGTTCCGTGTTCCGGAGACCATTCCCGGCCAGTTCGCCGCGCGCCTTCTGCGCCTGAGCCTCTAGCGATCTCTCGACGGTGAATCGGCCCAGCAGAAAGCCGCAGAGGAGGCACAGGAAGCCGACCGAGAAGAGAAACGAGAAACACAACCGTTTCGTCACGTATTCGCTGGACTCGCCGATATTGCGAGTCATTTGAAAGCTGAGGACTCGATGCATCCTCGCGGGCTGCTCGTAGAAATCTTTTTCGAATGTATTAGTGACAGGTTCCACCTGTCATCCTTTGTCGCATCCAGTCAGATTAAATCCTTCTTCTGATACAACCGCATACTGAACAGCTTCAAAGACACAACCTAGATTTTCCTTATACTCGCCGGAACGAACTCACATTCGTTCTAGATCGAACGTATACACTAAATTTAAATAATTTAATTATTATAAGTATTATTAAATCTTGAGTTTGTTAGATTGATATTATTAAATCGCCAAAATCTTGTAACATGCCAATATTTTCCCGTATATTAATTCGGAAGTGCCAATTATGCAACGAATCGCGAAAAATGATTCACTTCCGCTAATTGAATCGATCACCACTGCACCATTCATATCATCTTGACAACATCACGATTATCAAATCGACGATAAATCTTTGATAATTTCGTGCAAGCACGCGACACGTCCACTTGGACCGCACTTCTGTCTTCACGTAGAAAAGTCTCACGTCGAGTTTTGATCGTGAAGACGATAGAGCTGACCGTTTTCCGCTGTCTCCGCCGTCGCCAAATTGCGTGGGACTCCGAAGATATATTTTACAGTCCGCCTCTTCGACGTCTCGTTTATTTTATTCTCGCGTCGAGAGCGTGCGCGCGCGCTGTTCTCTTCTCCGCTCCTTTGCGTGGAGGAAAATAGGGAAGTGAAAGGAAGAAAAAAAAACATATAAACAATATAACGGCGAGAGTTGGTTCTCCGATGGGACTTGGCTTTTGCTTAATAAGATTTTCAGAAATTTATTTGTTACTTGCCATTAAGACAAGAAATATGCTGAAAAAGAGACAGTTAAAAGCTTAATTATTTTAAAGTATTTTGATAAAAAATTTTTAATGGATAATTTTTAAGATAATCTGAGACTGGGTTATCAAACAGAAAAAACAGGGTCACAATTAAGATCTTTAAAAAATGTCGCGTATTTTTAAACTTGAGACAATCATTTGGGGCAAGACTATTTGACAAGATTATAAATCCACTTAGAAAATACGACACTAAAGCACGTTTTTTTCTGGACGCCGCATATGCAAACGTCAGAAGTGTGGACGTCGCATGTTGGGTAACTTATTTCGAGCAATAATATGATGGCGGTGTGTTTCATTTATAAATAGTTTTCGATATATATTACGTGCGCGTGCAAGGTTGTTCCAACTATAGCGTCTTCTGTGCGATGGACTTTCGAAATATATATACAGATTTTTCACTCGTGTTAGTGACAATGTACCTCAATAGTCAATCCTTATTTTTATTCCTTATTTCAGAAATTTAATACAGGAAGATAACTATTAATTACTTATTTTGATTGTTACAGATACCGTTATATAAAACAGTGTTCAATATTAATTAAATTGAATTTCTAAGTAAGGGACATTGTTGAGTATTTCTTACATTAGACTTAATACACTTAAAAAATTTAATATTACTACTTACTAAAGAAGAAGCTAAAGAGAAGGTAATTTATGAAATTTCTCTGAAGAGACTATGCAACAAACTTTTTTCAAATTTTTTGTGATTTATTACATATTTTTAAAAATAAATCAAAATTATTACAAAATATTTTTATATTTGTACATTTAAGCAAATTCTGTTTATGTGCAGTATGTAAACGTTCTGTTACTTCTTCCAGATGTTGTTGCTAGATATACTCAGCAAATTTCGTGATCGCTGATCGATATGAAAGCAATATCTATAAATCACGCAACCCATATTTCGGAAACGCCTCGTTGTAAATGTCGAAATATCGATCAGGACAAAATTCGTGTTTAAACTACAAATAAGCATTTCAATTGGTTAAACATTATCGAAATAGGACACGTTTTTAATATTTAATTAGAGGAAAAAAAGATCTTTTTTTATTCCTCGTAGTTAACTTTTACTTACAAACTTATTACATATTTATATACATGCGTTTCAGTTTTATATTTGATATGTTACATTTGATTAACTGCTATGATATAGCAGTAGTCAAGAATAAAATCTAATCATTTGACAGTATCATCATGAGTTGTACGTTATTAAATTATCCTGCTAAATCATTGCAAAAGTAATATGTGTCAAATATATGCGGTAACATTTGTAAAATATATGTATGCTCTTTAAAATAACACGTTTTATATTATAAGATTCCTTAATTTTATTAGAAATTAAGAGATTTCCTTATCAAAAGCTGTTTTTAATAGCACTGGTTTTCGACACGAAAAGAGATCAATATAAAAACGCTCTTCCCGTGTATTATATCTGATGTAGCTTGCGATTTTATTCTTCTCTTTGTAGTGGAGTTGGACAAAACGGTAAGTAGAATGGCGTCTCGGGATGCTGCAAATTGTGATGCTCCCTCAAATTTGACAGCGTGCTGAACGTGTGGTAGCATATTATGCAGTCGTACGGCTCTGCGGAAACGCAAATTTATTAAACGTTATGTTTGAACAAAGAAAAAAAAAACTGTTTGCCATAGTTGCCGGACAAAGATATATTTCTTTTACCGTGCATTCTCCAGTGCAGTCTCAACCTTCAAAAATTGGTGTGCGCTTTATAGCAATATGGACAGAATACGAGGGAACTGTGAGATAACCGAACATGTTCCACGAAGCTTAACCAAGACTCGCAGATCATATTGCAGCAATCGCACGTGAACGTCTCGGTGTGGTCTTGCATGTGTGCGTTCAACTCCACCCTTGTGGCAAATTGGACATTACACATGCCGCAGATATTCCTGACTTGAATCATATTGATAAAGTATAGAAGGCATCGCGTTGATCTGCTCTCCACATCTAGAACTGTTAATACCCCGGTAGCCATGTACGATGATGTTTCAATCCAAATTTCTTTCGGAAGCAGAACGTCGCAGACGTTCACTCGTGACAGGCAGATGCTGGTTTTATCGTAGAAACAGGGTTTTATTACTTTTATTTTTTCACCTTCTTTCCGAACTCACGGGCGCCCGTAAACGTAATAAATAATATATTATATAGAAGCCCAGACCGTAATAGTTTTGCAATTTAAATTGTAAAAGATATTGCAAAGGAAATTGCAAAAGGAAACCCAATGTCGCAGCACGCACGGTTGACGGACTCGAGGAACACTGTAATATTAAATTCGAACGATCGGAATAAATACAAAGTTTTCCTTACCGAACACGTTTAGAAACAAACAAATCTTGTTTATATGCATACGATTGCGAGGAAACTTTATATTGCTAGGTATCGCTGCTGGATGAATTCAATAAATTTGCGACTGTTGCTCGGTATAACTTTATAGATAATTATACGAACCGCGCAACCCTTATTGAAAAAATATTTCGTCACAAGTATTAATCTCTATTATATGCTCCATATATGCTTTCTTTTGAAACCGCGGTCGCGCATATTGCAATCACAGTATTTTATTTATAATTATTGTTACATGCAATATTTTAATTACAGATAATACTTGTAGATCTTTAACACAAATCATGGAAATATCATATGGATATTTTACGCATCGATGTCGAGACCTATTTCAACAAATACTAATAATTGTCCATTGGAAATTCGTTACTAATTTGTTTTTTAACTATAGAAAAGCTTTGATAATTTAAATATTATTTTGAACATAGTATTTATCTGTGGAGTAATTGTAGGTGAATATATAATAGTATTGCAGAAGATAATTCGAAGGATACTGGTCTTTAATAAAAATTTCAAATTTTTATTATAGAAACAATTTTTATAGAAATAACTTTTACATATATAAAAATAGCTTTTTGACTTTATATAAAATAAAAGTTAAAATACTTGTGACCAATTTATTTATTGTTAATAGTAATATAGATGTACATACAATACAGAGAAAATCATGCATTTGATTTTTTTCTATACATTTTTTTCATAATATTTCCTAAAATGCTACTTATAAAAAAAATGATTTTCTATCGCTGATTCAATAATTTATAATAATAATTTACTAATAAGAGAACAACAATATTTTAAGAAAACTAAATATTCTAGTAAATCAGAAATCTTTTAATTATGGAACATCAAATTCAATCATTTTTTCAATAAATCTTTGCTCACAAGAAAATTATTACTATAAATTATTGGATCAGCAATAGAGAATCATTTTTATTAAAAAATAACATTTTAGAAAATTTTCTGTTGAAGATAACTCGACTGTTAAAGATATCGCTACTACATATGTCTATCCGAACGAGACGTTGTATAATCTTTATTCCTTTTTAACGGTCTTTTTTTATAATTTATTTAATATTTATTTAATAAGCGTAAGGCTGTTACGAACGAATATTTATGCGCTATAAACGTTCAATTTACCAGAGAAAAGTGTGTGTAATGTGCGTTGAAAATCTCGACCGAGTAAGTCGCGAGTAAATTCGTCAATTTGAAGCTGAGAATACATATACTTTCCATGGCGTGATATTGGCGAATAATGGCAATTGGATTTACCTATTTTCGGGTAATTATCTCGTTCGGAAGATCTCAAGGATTTTAAATTGGATCACATATAAAATCGATTTGCTCGTATCTCGTCTTTTAGCCAACTTTCGACTGCTTTCAAGCCAGAAGTTGCGGACCGATAAGTCAAGGAAAACACAAATTGAGCTAGACGCAGATTGTTCTGTCGAGCCTCAGTCAACTTTTAATCATTAAAAATAACCTGCACAAGAGAGGGAAAATTCTTCGGATTCTGTCTATTATATTGAATGCCTTGTTGGTTTCGATAAAATTCATTTTATGCGTATGAGTATCTTGCCCAAGTTTTTCGAGAATAGCTATCGGCGATTGTCCATTAGTGAGCAGATTCCAATTTTATAATCTGCAAAAGTAGAAAATACGTTTATTTTCTACACAATATTCGTGAAATATTATTTTCATTACTTTTCCCCTCACTCAGTTTTTTCTACTATTTTGGTATCAAAATATGTAGAAGAAATTTTATACTATTTCATTTTAGAACGTTGCGTTATTTCTTCACATCGCGGTTATTTAATATGTCTCTTATTTAATAATATTATATATCTTAGTTCTTACCTTTGTTGCGCCTTGAATTTTTGGGCCTGTTGAAACATGACTTGATAACCATTGATAATCCTCCTCTGGATGTTCGTCGATCAAATGCTGCCGCATCAATTGTTTTGTTCTGAACTTCTTCCCGCAAATTTTGCATCTCATCGGCTTCTCGTGTATGCTCATATGAACATTCAGCTCTTTCCATCTGATGAAAGATTTGCGACAGTACGGACACATATGACATCCATTATTGAACGTTTTCGAATAACGCCTGAAATTTTCGTAGGATGCACTGCAAAATGAACAGCGACAGTGCTGTCGCTTGTGCTCCGCTAGAACGTGGCTCCGAAGCGATTTCTCACTGGTGAATATCTTCGTGCAATGATTGCTGCACTTGGGAGCGGTGACTTGTGAATCATGATTCACGAAGAGATGATCGTCCAGCTTGATTGGGTTGGAGAATCGCAAATCACACATACCGCAGCCGTACGGCTTAAAGTTGATGCAGCCTGGATTCACTGACATCCTATATATTGGCCTATTTTCGCGTTCAACTCAAGTTAGAAGACACGTTCCTCGAAACGTTAATTGATTTGCAAACGTTGATTTCGAATTTCTCAACGACTCGATGGAGAATTCGACAAATGGCTCTCCACTTTTCACTGTCTTAATTCACTCGTTGAGATTCCATTTGATCTTTGTTACGTGTCCGTTTTATATACTCTTTTACGATTAACTTAATTTTATGATTAACGAGGAAGACGTATTCAGAAGGACGTACGAGGAGGACTATTTCAGGAGAACACTGTCGTTGCTGTGCGTTCGCAAGACGTACTTACTAATCGAAAGTCTCGTACATGGCATCCCATTTAGCGATCGGTAAACATTCAAGGGCTGCATTCCGTTTCACGCATCAAGCGCATGATACATCATGTTAACCTTGCTGCTCACCAAATATTAAACAAGAATAAAAGGATAAATCATGCGTATTATGTGTGAAACGGAACGCAACCATAGTCTCGTCCAAACGTAAAACGATGAATTTCGTATATTTATACCGTGTATATAGCTTCGTTAAAACAGTAATATATTTCCCTCGTGTGATTAAAAAATATTTATTTTCTTTTTCATTGTTTTTCTGTAATTTTATAATTTGGAATAAAAACTTGGAAACAAAGGGCATGGTTTTTCAAGACGTTCTCCAGATGAGATATCGCCGCATCGAATATATGTCTTGTACTGAAATACTTCCTACAGATGTTGCAGATGAATGGCTTTTTATGCACGGGCAAATGAATATACAATTCCTTCCATCTGATGAACTTTTTCCACACAGTACGGACATTTGTGCCACTTTTTATTTATATCTCGAGAAATACTCCACTTGTAAGGCTTAGGACAGAAAATATAGTTGCCTAATTGTTTGTGGCTTATATCCGTATATATAGAATTCTTATTTGGGTAAGTATTCGAGTTAGAAGATTTGTCTAAATCGGGAGAATGAACGGCTTGAACATGCTGGATCAAATAGTATGATCATGATACATATAGTATTGTAAAAGAATTTTAAATGCCCTGGTTTTTGATAAAATTAAGTATAGGCTTTCGTTCTTTAGCTACTTTTCATTTTCAAATATAGGATTGTGATAGGATTATTAATGTATTTTACGTACATAAAACTTTTTTATTTTATATATATACACGTGTCTCGTCTTTCTCTTTCTCTATTATAACCTATTTAATAATTATTATAAAGAAAAATCTATTTCAAAATATCACATGTCATGGGATTAATTTATTCTACAAAAATATAATGCACAAATTAATATAAAATTTAACATTAATATAAATAATATGTACCTATTTTAGAATAAGTCCTAAAATGTCAGTGAAATTAATGCAATACAATATTGTCACGTGTTCAATTATTTCGCGTTTTATTCGTAATAAAAATATATTTTCTATTCAGACTACTGACATTTAAGTAATTTTGAAATATTCTGATCTATTAAATTCTTGCATTATATGTTGCATCGCGTTATTAACTTATGTATAATATATTAAAAAATTAAATGTACTCACATGCATACGTCGTACGTTGTATTCTCCGTTATTTATAGATACAAACAGAAAAGAGATAATTCTACGCGAAGAAAAATATATGTCAAAAAATTATTCGTATTCAAACATTATTTCAAACAGTTAAATTTTAAATATTAAATTGTACAATTATTAATACTTATGTAAAATAAATAATTATTTATATGCACATGTATGTATGTGATACACATATATACATACATAAATAAAAAAATGGACAATATGTATCATGTTATAAAAAATAGTTGTCATTTTTTATCAATCTATGAATATTGTAATTATTAATTTATTATAATTACAATTATAATTTATAACTAATTAATAATTATAATTATTGTAGTTATTTATACAACAAACCATTGTTATGGCATATTACTATGGAAATTATATATATTTAATTCAAAATATTTACTTTTCCAAATCAAAGTTTTGTAGAAAAAAGATTTTACTTCATGTTTATAACGTGATTCTATTTTACATTTTTGCATTTAGAATTATCCTTCCAATTGTAACATCAATAACGGATTACCCTGTATGTATCTTAAATACGATTGCGCGAGTATTTACTTATGGAATTATCATAGATCTTTCGAGCAGCTTAAAAATTTTTAATATCAGGAACATTTGTGTATTATCCGAATTATTTATTTATCCGAACTCAACTCGAATTCGACGACGCTAATTCGGACTCAATTCTATTTGAACTTCGCGAATACCCGCACGACCCTAACTTTAAGCGTTCGTGACTTTTGAGATAACGTTTCTGGCCGAAGCTGATGCCGCACTGCTGACACGTGTACGGCTTCTCCTCGGAGTGGACGCGCTTGTGCCTGGTCAGGTCGTTCTTCACGCCGAAACCCTTGCCGCACACGTCGCAAGTGTGATTCTTCTCGCCTGTGTGCACGGTCAGATGGCCCAGCATCTGTTGCCTCCAGCGGAACCTCTTGGCGCAATAGGTGCACTTGTGCGGAAACTCGTCCGTGTGGGTCTTGCTGTGTATGTAGAGGGACGCCTTGGTCTTGAACGTCTTGCCGCAAGTGTGGCACACGTACGGACGTTCGCCGGTGTGGATACGTCGATGGTCCTCCATGGCGGTCTTCATGGCGAAGCTGCGGCCGCATAAGTCGCAGGTGTGATTCTTCACGCCGTCGTGCACGTGTTTCAGGTGATAATACAGGCTGCCGCCCTGAACGAATTGCTTCCCGCAGACGTGGCACGTGTACGACTTCTCGCCCGAGTGCGTGCGCACGTGGGCCCAGTAGCTCTTCCGCGAGCGGAACTTCTTGTTGCAAAATTTACAGACCATCGTCGGGCTGGTGCAGGCGGCCTTCTTGAGCTTGGGCTGCTGGGCGTTCTTATCCAGATATTCGTTAGACTCACTCACTTCTTTCGCGCAACTTGATCGCGTTTGACTAGCAGAATTCAAATCTTTGTCTTCTGTACTCTTCTTCTTCCCCTTTTTCTTGCTATTTGTTAATTCATCCGACGGGGACATTTTTGGAGATGTGCTTGTGGAAGACGAATGTTCGATTAATTTATCGTTATCGATATTATCTGCAGGAGAAAAAATACTCTTCGAATCTTCAACGATTATATTGGACGTTTTACTTTGGATTGGATTGATTTTACTTCTACGCTCTTCCATCTTGCACGCTCGTCGGGAACAACTCTGGTCGATTACGCGATCGTGGGTAACGATCTGATTTTTCAATCTGTAAAAATAAAACGTTTTCTTTTTATTTTGTTAATTCTCTGTAATTTTATAAAAACTATTCGACGTAATAGATAGAAACAGAGAGCATATTTGGTTCTCTAGAATATTTGTGGATGAGATGCCTTCTAAGCAAATATTTCTTATCAAACTTCTTCCTGCAGATTTTACGGAACGTTTTTCATAAATATAAAAATGACAATATAGTTTCTTCCATCTAAAGAAACATTTGCTACAGTATTTCCGATTATGCAAGTATTCTTATGCGATACTTTAATCAGCTGTAAGCCTTTGGACAATAAATACAATTTGTGCGTGTTCTCGATAGCGTTTCTTTAGTTTTAAGAGCAATTGCTTACGAGGAAGAATTTTTTTCCAAGTAAGACGGCACTTGGATATTTCGTATAATATACAGTATCGTGATACTCGTCTATGTACAAATAAATTTCCAAATCTGTTCGTTAAATCCGGGTTTCGTGGAAAATATGACGTTCTTAAGCGGTCTGTGTTAAAATATTATATAAAAATTGCTCTCCTTTTCGATTCGACTTTGTGCGTTTTATGTCACTTTTTTTAAAAACACCTTCTTGTATGACTCCATCATCCTCGGAAAATATTAATTCTCTCCGAAATCTCTCGTTCCCGATTTTGCCTTCGTCACTTCTGTATACTTGTGATTTAATTAGACTTGACGATTGCGATTCTTCGCCGAGGGTTCGCACATAGATTTGTTTATCAGATCGTGATAATTTATTTTGTCATCTCGATTAACGAGACATTTTGATGATAGCAGTGCGCGCAATCAACGTTCTAGTCAGACTTACAATTAGTGGCATATCGAGTCCAATGAGCAGCAAACGTTCCACGACTTTATTCGTCCGGACACGTTCGGGAACAAACAAATCCCTCGTCTCGATCGTATTCACGTGTCTACAGCCGCGTGCAAACTGCCGCGGTGTCTCTTCAGATATCGCTCCTGAGTGAACCTGGCGCCGCAGGTCGCGCAGACGTGCGAGCGCTGATCGGTATGGATGCGCCGATGACGGACGAGGCAGCCCTTGCTGCGGAAGCGCTCGTCGCAGACATCGCAGGCGTGCGGCTTGCGATCGGAGTGCCAGGACGCGTGCTTGTCCAATTCCTGCTTCCTCCTGAAGCCGCGGTCGCACAGAACGCAGCGGTACGGCAGGACCTGGGAGTGGTAGAGTCGGTGCACGTGCAGGGACGCCTTCTGCTTGAAGGACTTGCCGCAGGTCTCGCACACGTGGGGCCGCTCGCCGAAGTGAGTGCGCCTGTGCTCGTCCCTCGACGCCCGCGAGGCGAGACGACGGCCGCAGATGTCGCAGGCGAAATTCTTAACGCCGTCGTGGACGTCGCGCACGTGCCTGTTCAGGCCGGACGCCGATCGGAAGCTCTTGTCGCAAACGGGGCAGACGTAGGGTCGCACGCCGGCGTGAATGTTGCGATGAATCAGCAGGTTGTACGACGTGGAAAGAACTTTCCCGCACTCGTCGCACTTGTGAGAGGCACACCCGTCACCCTCCGTCATCTTCGAGCGAGTTAATTCGGTCTGCTCCAATAATTGTTTCGATGGTTCTGCACATTCTTGAGAGACCAGCGTGCGTTTCTCTTGAAGGGGCTTCTGCGTCTGCCCGGAGTTGTCCGGATGAGAATCAGTCGAATTGTCTCTTTTCGATCTCTCGTCAAAATCGCCAAGGTGCGTCGATGATAGGCATTTCTCGCTGGACACCGTTGCCCGAGCTTTCCCGACATTAACGTATCCCTCAGACCGCTCGTACCTCGGCGAGCTGTCTCGTGCGTGTCTCTGCGACTCGTCTTTCGACACTCGACGCGTGCATCTGAAAAGAGAGTCAGCCCGTTACTTGGGGGGCGGCCGAACTGCGCGGCGGCTCGTGATTGAGCTTCTTATGATTAACTAAGTAGCGCTTCTGGCGGAACGAGAGGCTGCATTCGGTGCAGCGCCAGGGTTTCTCGTCGGAATGGATCAGCCGGTGCCGCTTCAGCTCGTATTTGATGCGGAAGCGACGGCCGCACACGTCGCACGCGTGCGGCTTCTCGCCGGTGTGCTTGGTGATGTGCAGCAACAGCGGCGGCCGCGTGCGGAACGTCTGGCCGCAGTGGCTGCACTTGAACGGGAACACGTCCGTGTGCGTGCGATTGTGGACGAACAGCGAGGCCTTCTGCTTGAACGTCTTGCCGCAGACGTTGCAGACGTACGGCCGCTCGCCGGTGTGAATGCGCCGGTGGTCCTCGACGTTGCGCCGCGTCGAGAACTTGCGGCCGCACAGGTCGCACTCTATGTTCTTGACGCCGTCGTGAGTCTCCTTCAGGTGCCGCGCCAGACCCTGATTCACGCGGAAGCGCTTGCCGCACAGGTGACAAGTGAAGAGCCGCTCGCCCGTGTGGATGCGCAGGTGCCAGTAGAAGGTGTACGGCGAATTCAAGTTTTTGCCGCACTCACCGCAGTGATAGTACACCTTACCGTCGTGCTCCATCCGGGCGCGCAGCACCGTCTCCGTGGCCACGAAGGACTTTCGGCCTCTCTTCGCGACCTCGGGATGCGCCTCCGCCAGATGGGCCTTCAACAGTTTCCTCTTCTCCACGGTGTGCTCGCAATAGCCGCACGAGTAAATTCTGGATCGTTTTCCCAATGATTTTACTGACGGAAGGCAAAAGTCTTCGTCGTCGCTTGTGCTTTTAATATCTTCCACCAACAGGTCCTTCTCTTTTACCGTACTCTCGTCTGTCTCCTTATTCTTTTCTATTACTTTAGTATGCGTTTTTGGTAAATCTTCATTAGCTGAATCATGATGTTCGCAGTCCGTCATATGGCGTATTAGATTATGTTTTCTTTTGAAGACGCGATGGCAGTTGTCGCAAGTATAATCCTTCTTCACAGAGTCGCTCGTCGACTCTGGAATTGTCGATTTATCTTTTTCTTGATATCTCAAGACGCTCAAGACCGTTTCTTCGTCGCATTTCTCTGCGTTGCAGTTACCCGACGAATCGCGTGTCTCTCTTTCCGAAATTTCTTTAGCCTTCTCCGCAATCAGCGTCGTGCTTCTCATCGGATTGCTTTCGTACTTTATCGTGGTATTACTCGCCCACGGTGCAGCGTTACACGAGGAGCGGTATGCCGCGAAAGATCTCTCCTCTGCCAGCTCGCACCTGGAAAAACAATAAATGCGGCAGTTTTTGAATCGGTTTCGTTGCAGGTGCGGCGACGAAGGGCCTATACGTATAGAGAAGGAGAGGGAGAGAGAGAGAGAGAGAGAGAGAGAGAGAGAGAGAGAGAAGAAGAAGAAGAAGAAGAAGAAGAAGAAGAAGAAGAAGAAGGGCCATATCGTGCGTTCAGCATAAATTTCTATTGCTAACCGTCATGCTTCTTATCGTTAGGACGTTCGCACGGGTTCGCTGTGCCGGCTCTTGACATGATTGTTCAGGTAACGCTTCTGCCGGAAAGCGAGGCCGCACTTGCCGCAGACGAACGGCTTGCTCTCGGAGTGGATGAGCTTGTGCCGCGCGAGCTCGGACTTGACCCGGAACTTTCTCTCGCACACGTCGCACTCGTGATTCTTCTCGCCGGTGTGCGTGGTCACGTGGGCCAGCACCTCCTGCCGCCGGCGGAAGCGTTTGCCGCAGTACGAGCACGGGTGCGGGAACACGTCGGTGTGCAGCTTGCTGTGGATGTACAGGGACGCCTTGGATTTGAAGGTCTTGCCGCACGAGTCGCAGACGTACGGTCGTTCGCCGGTGTGGGTGCGCCGGTGATCGTCCCGCGTCGCCTTGGACGCGAACGACCGGTTGCACAGGTCGCACGTGAAATTCTTCAGCTTCGCGTGCACGTCCTTGAGATGCCTGGTCAGCCCGCCGGAGTCGCGGAACTGCTTGCCGCACACGTGACAGGTGAACGGTCGCTCGTCCTTGTGGATCCTCATGTGTCGCAGATACGAGTCCTTCAGCTTGAAGCATCTACCGCACTCGGTGCACCGAAACGTCTCCTCTCTGTGCGACGCTTTTTCGACAATCTCCGAGAAGTCCTTATCATCTTTCTCGTCATCAAATGTCGCGTGCGTCGAGTCGTCCGTGATCTGATCTCTCTCAATTTTCTCCTCCTTGTGCGCGACCGTGATCGCCGATAGCTCGGCGCTGTCCTCTCGACTGGAATTTTTTATCGAATGCTGCGCCGTCGCGACATGTTCTGCCTTCACTTCGACGGACAACCGATCGTTACTCTCGGCCAACTGCTCGGACACGGTGGACGGTTGATCGTGCTGCGCCGTGTCCACGACGGCGATCCAGACCGAGTCGGAGTCCTCGGCCGTCGCGCTCATCTTTGCCTGCTTGCGCGTTCTCGGCGGGCACCGTTTCCTGTATGGCTTCCAAAAAGGTGCTTTCGGCGTGTCCGGGGACACACTAAACGGTGTCCGGACGCCGCACGACCTGCAAAATAGCCGAAACTTGACTCCAGGTTTTTGCGATTGCGCGGCACGACGCAGCGGACGATTTGCGATTTTTTTCGAGCCGGCCGTCACAGCCGCTCGTTTTACTTTTTCTAGGTAATCGCTAAAGCCAACCACCCCGGCTGTTCCGGTTGCATTACCTTTCTCTTTCTATTGCTTTGCTCGCAAAGCTTTCTTTAAGCTGTCGTAAAAACTTTCTTGGCGTATCCAACGCCGGCAAATTGTTCTTTTCTTTATGATTTCTTTTTAAAAAGTGGCTCAGCGAGAGTTCCACAGTTTTTGTTACGACGCGTATCACGAATGCCCGTGGTCTGTACGTGATGTCGAACAGTCTTCATCTTTTCGTAAAATACACGGGAAATGTTTAACAAGCTCTACGTGACACATTTAATTCTTATTATATTCTAATATTCTATTATCTACATACTGTAAATATGGCGACTATGAGCAAACACTTATTCACATAAATGGGGGAAGCAAGAGAGACAACTTCGTGCTTTTTTGTAACTTGTTGTGAATAATGTGAGATTATTACCTGTTGGAATTATTAATTTTTTCAGTACTGCAAACTTCGTTTTTGTCGTCGTTCTGCTGACTTGGCTGCAATAAAAGAAGTTTGAATTGAATTTCTTCTAATGTAGATAAGAATATTATTTTTTTATTTTATCATACTTACCAATGAGTTTGTGACACTAGACGCAATCGTCGTACTGGCTGTAAGCATCGGCGTAGGAACTTCTAAATTATCCAAAGAGGTAGGATTGTAATACTGCAAAACATTTGTAAAGGATATGTAACTAAAAGTAAAATATATTGTATATGTTGCGAAAGATAAATGAGGAGCAAAAGATCAGATAGAAAAAAATCTTAGGAGCAAGAGGGAAAAGCAGATGCAGGAGAGGCGAAGCGCATTCAAAGAAATATGTTGTTTTGGAGTAAGATGTAAAATTAGTCAAGATCAGTAGATTAAAAAGGCGAATACGACACGATGACAGAAAGAGAGAAAATGGACAAGTTAAATCGAAGCAAAGAGGTATATATTTTAAAAGGCAAAGCGCAACATATAAATACTCGCTTTATCTTATACATGTTATCTTGTTTTTTTCTGAACTCTCAAAATGCACTAGGAGCATAGCTGATTATAGCTACGTTATCTTAAACAAAGATTTCTCAATCTCATCTCGTGCAGTTTTTTTTTTTACCTGCTGCTTATTTCGCAGATGCATATCCTGCATTTCCAGCAGCTTCCTCTGCGCGCTTAGGCATCCCTCGCTCAACTCGTGCCAGGCTATCAGGGTGTTCGCGCAACGCTCGCACAGTTGTAACGGCAGAGTGTCGCTTTCGGATACCTGCGAAGGACGAGTTGGCGGATTAATCAACACGTCCTTCAAGTTGAGGTCAAACTTGAACTGAAACTTTACTGTATACACACGTGTATCGGCAAGTATTTGATTATTTTGCCGGACAAGTCGTGCTCCGCTCCGTTGCCCACGAAGATGGGTATCATGTGGTCGCTCGCGTTGGCGCATATCCTGCACAGGTGCATCCACTCTAGCGTTACCTCGGTCTGATGCCTGTGGGACACCGTTTCCTCGACGTTACCCTCGGGATTATACTGCACCGCCTGCGGTTCCTGCGATATCAGGAAGAAGCCCTCCTCGATCGTCCCCGAGTTGCGCCCGTCGTTCGCCACGATACTCTTCACGGTTTCGAACTCTTCGTATCGCAGAATGATGTCCTCGCCGGCGGATTCGATTTCCGGCGGCATCGAGTCGCTGGACTCCATGCCGACGAAGAGGACGACCACGTGTCCGGTGCGCGATCAACGGAGATTCGTCGAATAATCTAGGAGTAATTCACTCGCTGCGTATCGTCATATACGCAAGATGCGTTTGATGAAAAAACGTTCCTAAACGAACGCGAACCAGCCAGCGTTCGCATGCGCTCGACGATTCATCGAGGAATGGTCGGTAGCTTCACAACGGCATGGAACGCCGGATGCGTACGCATCCGTAGTAACCTTAATGGGTCTCCCACTTGGCTGGAACGTGGCCCATATGGTCGATGAAAGTTGTCAAAGATTGGTCGGACCTGGGAACGCGCGCAGGTTTGAATTTTTCTGAAAGAGTCGCGGACTTTACCCGAAGAAACACCTTCGCACGATGATTAAGTGAGCTCTATTTAATCGGGATAATCTAGAATAAACGAAATTCTACAAAGTAATTAATTAGAATAATCTGCAATGTAAGATAATACCTATGATAAGTAATCTGTATTCCTTTCGATTTAATTGCTTATCTAATATAATCATATAAGAATGATTCTTGATAATTTATAATAGCACAGATTTTTGCTTGTGTTATGTGTCGGATAGTATACGCATAAATTACATTAATGACGTCTGGTGCGTTTTTCATGCAGCGGTCAAATTCTATTGTAATATTTTAAAGAATACATCTTTCGCTTAAATAATTAATTAAACTATATAATTTAACCGTTTTCTGCTCGCAAAACTCGAGAAGAATTAACGAGTGTGTAATTCTGTACGTAAGTAATTTTTGCGAGCACATCAATCCGCAATATTATTCATAGATTCATTGAAAGGAAGTTTTCACAGACTGTATCTATTTTTTTTTTTAGCTATTCTTCTTCTTCTTCTTCTGCTTCGCTACCAAGTTTCTATTTGAAAAGAAAGAAATTGTATTACTTACCCGCAAGTTTCGTTTTTGCGTCTATTTTTCTCGATGGAATACGTGCGTGGGAACTTTCCTTGAAATATTCTATCGAATATACATAAGGAAAATGTAAATGATTTTGTAATCCGTTTAATGTTTTATACTAGTTGTTGCAATTTATGTGAGAAAAGCGAATAAATCTAACGAAAATCGTAGCGATAATTTAAGATGATTGATGATCGATATAAAAGAGTTCGCGATATTTTTGTAGAATACATTGTTCGCTTATTAATTTATTATCGCAAATACGTGATTTCGACTGCGATGTTCGGAGAATGACTTGAGACTGACAAGGCTTTCGCGGAATAAGCACGTATACGTTTCTCGAGATGTGATTCGATGAACTTTGATAGCGATATGGCATCGGCTGATTGGCGAGGAATTATAAACACTTATTGTAAGAGGCATTTGATGTATGTGCTTCGAGTAATGAACAGCTGGAGGCGAGACAAATGTCCCAAATGTCAAATGAGAACTCCGAGACGGCATAAATTGATTATATAATGCCCTTGTCGGAACAGCGAGTATCGCAATTCGGCGCGACGTTAATTTGTGAAATCCGCCGCAGTCCTTGCATCCTTTCATCCCCTCCCGATTTATCGGATTTGCACTCATTGTCGCCCGAGAAGGGCACGAGCCCAGCGCGGCGCGGCGCAGCCTCGTTATGTGAACGCGAATTCAGATCGGTACAGGCTCGTGAATGTCATCGAAATATTATTGTTTCCATTTCGCACCCTTCGGTAACTCGATAACACCCTCACTCTCTCTCTCTCTCTCTCTCTCTCTCTCTCTCTCTCTCCCTCCCTCCCTCGCCCGCTCTTTTGTAATTGACTTGTTCCTCGATGAATGACCGCGACCGACTGTGATCACTGTCCTCGTGGGCGTAATGAGAGAATTAAAACAACGTCATCCCTCGTCACCGTTTAATTATTAGCGCGGTATCGAGGCACGGAGAAGAAGGGGGTGAGAAAAAAAACGATACCCCGAGCCTGGTAGCGATGCGTTTTATTGACCGATCAAACAGCCGGATTTCATATTTGCACGCGCGTTCGCGAATGACGCGCGCGCGATGTAATGACCGCGATTTAAGAGCGCTCGCAATCGTGTAATTAAACAGCAGGATATACGTACCGGATTTAGTGTTCGCAGAAACACGCGCGCGGTGTTGGCCGCGTAACGTGTAAATTCGATAAATATCGGAAACTCGCGTACAAATGGTCGCGTACATACGTTTGACGAGGACAACAATTTCGTAATAGTAACCTACGCGCTATACGAAACAACGGATTCGCGCTTATTGTTTTTTTTATCGGATCGGATGTATTCGTTTTGGATGCGCATATCCGATACCTCCATTAGATTGCCCCTTTCAATCAGGACGGAATTAATCATCACTTCTGGGACTGCAGGCCGGGCTCTACACGAGACAAAGCGCAAAATGTGCGACGATGGATTATTTATCAAGCTTAATTAAGATTACAAAGGAATAATTATTTTCTTGTCGCTGGTTCAATTTGTATCGTATTTTAAATTTTTCCAGCAAATTAATCGCGCTCGTCTCTGCCATTTCCTGCAATTGAAAACGTGGAATAATATACGAGTCAAGTAACAGCAAGACGCAATACATCAAAATATGTACCATTGATTATTCATCAATAGTGCATTTTGTGAGTTTTAAATATTCGAAAAACATGTCGCGAGGTGCAATTATATTTTGTGTGTCAATTGCATTACTCGGACGCGCATTATTTTTTGTCAGATATTAATTAGTTATTAATTTGACTTTATATCGTCGGCATCGATGCGAAGTTGCCAGCATTATATTTTCGAATATCTCGACGTAATTAGTTAACTGATTTCAAAGTTTGTATTAACAGAAAATTTTGTGTCTAAAAGAATTTAAACACAAAAACTTATAACATTAAAAATGAAACATTTAATAAAAAAAATAATACGAGAAAACTACGATCGCACGAAGCTACGATATCTTGGAGTCTTCGCGAGTGTCATGCACATATAATTATATATAATTATATGTGGAACTTTTTTTCCCAAATAGTGATACAATTTACAATATAGTCTACAACAGTTTATAAGTCTAGATTGTCTACGTAGCAAAAAGACCATGTAAACATCACGTAGATTCCTATCTTAAAATTGCCGTGTTACCTGCGATGAAGCCTCTTTTCCCCAATGTTTAAAAATTCATATCTTCCAGAAAAATAAAGATATACACTTCTTTCTAGGCTTATCTTAAAGATGAATTATGTGGCTATTTTTAAAAAATCGTGATTTTATTTAAAAAAATATAAAAAATCGACCTAGGTCAACTCCTACATGGTCATTTATCGATTTTTGACCCGAGAAATTTGTCGAGAAAATTTTTATTGCAGAAATCGAAAAATATAAAAAATCGACCTAGGTCAACTCCTACATGGTCATTCTTCGATTTTGACCAGAGAAATTTCTCGGAAAATTTTTAATTGCAGAAATCGAAAAATATGAAAAATCGACCTAGGTCAAATCTTACATGGTCATATATCGATTTTGATCCGAGAAATTTCTCGGAAAAATTTTTATTGCAGAAATCGAAAAATATAAAAATCGACCTAGGTCAACTCCTACATGGTCATACTTCGATTTTGAACAATGTTAAAATTTGTTTAATTAAAATGTAATTTGGTATAAATGTTATTGGACGATGTATGGAGTTTAATACGCACCGCGCGCAAAGCGTCATTTTTTTTGAAAATTTATTTTTTATCAAAAATTGTTAACATTTGTTTAATTGAAATGTAAAGTGGTATAAATGTTATTGTAAGATGTATGGGATTTAATACGCAGCGCGCGGGAAACGCGCGCCTGTTATGTATGTACTAGTCACGTAAATAATCCGTGTAGACGTAATCTTGAAATCTACGGCACAACTCTGAGTGTGGATGTAGCACAGATTCAAACCACATTCATTTTCGACGTTATGATTTTATCGACAACGTCAGAAAATGGAGGTAGTATCCATTTCATAAAATGGATGTACTGGCGCTAGTGTACAGAGGGTTTCTCCGTCGTGCAAATGAAACGACTCCCGTCGCGTCGCGGAATCGCGGGATCGTCAAAAAGTCGCTTGTCGCTCGTGGTCGCTCGTTGCGTTATCGCGATATTCCTTCTCCGCATTATTTCTCTATCGCGACAAGATTCGTGTCAAGTACAATTAATATCGAGAGCGCCGTATAAAGTATCGCGCGATTGTCACGTTGCGACAGCGCGATCGTGATTAACCGTTTCGCGAGTATATGCATGTGTGTGATATGCGTGAACGCCGCAGAAGCAGCAATAAACAATACAGCGGATTTTAGTGGATCTTGAGACTATACCTATTTGATTTGGAGATCTCTTCGATACGGAGGTTCTCGATGAAAAATCCGCTGGGCAGGAATAAGAAACGACGAGGAGGAAGTTAAGGAAGGCTCGGGCGACGGCGAAATATAATTGCGGGTATAATTTAGCAATTTGTAACTTATTAAAAAGAAGATTATTGTGAGATCCATATATTGCTCGTTTATTTCGATACAACTGTGCTTTTCTGCATCTTTATCAGAATTTAGGTTATTAAAAAAACCTTTTTAGTTTAATTTATAATAATAATTTAAGTTTTATAATTATAGATTTAGAATCACTTATAATCATTAAAATTTTCAACCAATATAATTATAATTATTTAAATTATTTACTTAAAATAAAAAATTAAATTTTTATCGAATTTTATAAAAATTTAGACACAAATATATGTAGTTTTATTTAGTTTTAAATAGTTTTTTGTAGAATATTTGTTTAAAGAATAAAATTCCGTGATTATTTCTTAAAATATTAATTATTTTGAACACTGCTGTAATTTGAGATTTTTATCTTAATTATCTTTGTATTTTGCAGATCAACGTTCTTGCGTTCGCCGCTGTACCGCCGTCAGTAAGTCAAACATTATTTTTTGTTAGCTTACCTATATTGCTTTTTATTAACTTACCTGTCTTATTATTCTGTTCAATGATCTGTAAGTTTTTTCACCATGACAATGAAGTATGTATAAATCCTTGTAACAAGCTTGCATATCACAGAGAAAAGAAATCTATAAAGAATATCTATGTAACATGCAGTATATAAATTCGTATAGTATACGTGCAATAAATTTATATAAGTACATTGTATACTTTAATTATATTTAAAATTTTAGTTAAAATTTGTAAAATATGTTCCTCAAAAGATTGTCGCAAAACACAATATAATACATAGATATTAAATTTAGATATTAATTTTAATGATGAATAATAATTAATATTTAAATGGTACTTTCAAGCTGTCGATATAAAAGTTGCGAGAAATATATACAATTTTTATATTCAAATAAAACGGATATTTTTGACGAGTTGAAATAAAACCTGGAAATCGATAAAAATTCTGTCGAGATACGAACTCGTCGCAAGGGTGCAGTTATGACTGGGTGAAAATAATGATAGACGTCGCAATGAAATCGAATAGTAAATCGTTTATTAGTACGAAGGTGTGTGATAGTGTCTCGAGATTGCCGCCTCGGCCGACATTTCCTGATTAAAAATGCCAGACCGCGGCGGTGTGATACCGTGACGTGAACGAATTTGTGACAGAGCTTTCTTGTTCCTTAGCTGACGTAAGAGATAGGTGTTAGAGCTAGTTACCCTGTTCTGCGAGCTGGTGCTCCGCCTTTTCGTCACCGCCGCCAGAGCTCGAGGGCAATCTTTCGCGAGGGCCTTCCTCGAGGATCTTCCCCGAGGCTCGCCCTCGTCGAGGATCAACGTCTCGATTCACTGTGGACGGTAGAAGTTGGGACGCTCAACGCTATTGATACCGAATACCCGATTAGATTACCGTATAGTTCGACCGAACTTCACCGATGGGGCCTCGCGTTGCGACCAGGTCGCTCGCGCTAACCCTCGACTAGTAATTCGAACTGAATTGTTGGCGAAGTTAAATCGGACCAAGCGGAGATTTAATCCATGTCGAAACGAGATGTGTGTAAAACGAGCAGCGTGTTCGAATCGCACTTTTAAGCGCTTTCAATGCGACAATTTCCAGCCGCGATTTTCCGTGTCGAACAAGTAAATTTAAGATTAGATTATGCTACATTCGGCATTGCTTATATTAAATAAAATCAAATAAAGTCGTTACTGATCGAATTTATTACTTTTACATGAAGATCGCTAGGAGAAGAGGATCAGACGATCGCGCTTGATACATTACATTGCGCTATT